TAACAATAGGCCAAATGTGCGACGCGCTTGTTATCGCGGAACAGACAGAAGCGCCGTTCACCTAAGGTTTGTCAGCCTTCTGCTATTATATTGGCTTTCTTATACAGTGGCACAGATAAGGCAGGGTAAACGGCATGGATGAAACTGGCGAGATGTAATGGAAACCGATAATTCGATGGATTTAGATGGAAGATGGATAATATCGCACAGGTATCATTGTAATATGCCAGTCAATATTTAAGATATGTCAGTCGATGTATTCAGAAAATCTGTTTCAATAGCGTCTTCATGGGCCAGTTCGCACAGCAGGCAGCCGCCATAGATAGTAAAGGTGTGGCGAGCACTCAAATTGCTAGAAACGTAATTTCTTTACGATTGTGCGATTTCAAAGCTTTTTCTAGGCTCTGTTATCGGACACGGGGTACATGCAAATGATTTGACTGATTCACAATAAATCGAAGAAGACTACACAGACTTTGGTTTGCGAACTCTTGAAAACCGGAACACTAGAATATGCCTAATAGCAAATTTCCAAACACCAGCCTCCAGTATTCGCCTCATCAAACCCGGTTAAAACGTATATATTTTACCATCATATAAGAATTTCTGCATTGGAGAAGGAGCATCAGTCATCTGTCAAATGATTTCTCTAACATATTCAATCTTAGCCTAGTTTTATGATGCCATGAACGCCAACTCAAAATTAGTGGTAGCCAAAGTATATGAGTGACGTTTATATCAATACACTATATCTCCCATTGACAGGTACTTCATAGGCTCGTGAGACCACTTGCCCTACGCATTTCCGTATGCTTTGTCCGTCCTTGATAGGATCGCAACCTTTTGTTGCGGCCGCCGCTGCTCTTACGTTTTTATGACGGTACGTCAATACATTCTCCCTACTGGATCTCTCTCTCTTGGCAAGTCACATACGCACTTATGTCGCCACAGTTCCTCGCAGTTTTTTGGGTAAAAGTAAACAACGGGAATATTGCCCGAATGTGCATGATGGATGCTACCTGGCAGCACTACTGCTTCCAGCGGCATGATAACGTAACCTGAAATTTAGATTTGCCCGTTCTTTCAGTGGATATCGGCTACCTATGTGGTGCGTGCGTGTGTGGGCGGACGTTCGATATGCTGGCAGACTTTACGGAACGCCGTAACAACAGCACGAGGTAAATTATCCCAATGAATAATCACTTAGATTATCCGTTGAATTTCTTACACAAAAAATAGCAAGAAACGTAGATCAAAGCGAGCTATACACTGAACATGGATCAGACTTCCGGATCAGAGGTAAAGGAACGACATATAACAGACTCGAGTGTGTCCGTCTTAATGGATCTTTATCTTGAGAGAGCGTTTACCCTTTGAAACTGTTACAGTCATTGGTTGTAACAACGACAATAAGTGAAGAGAGTCAATAGGTAGCTATAAGTCTATATATCCCTATTTCGTTATGTAATTATAAAATAGATTATCCATCTATATACACGCTGCATGTATGGTATTATCTTGTATGTGTGTGCCTGATTCAATGTTGATCATTCCTGGAATTAGCTTCTGCTGGCGGGAATTCAGAATTTTTAGGAGGAATAAAGCATTGGGGGAACGTTTATTACTCATATACTACAAACGAATAATTGTCAGTTCTAGAAGTCAGACGCTTTTTTTCTCGACAAACCAACAGCTACCTGTCTCGCACACTGGAAACAAGCATTCACGAGGTTTGCAACAGGTAACAAACAGTCGGGTAATAGTGACTGCATTATTTTCTATGTCTTTTGTTTTATACCAAATAGCTAGCTATAACAGAACAAAGCAAGTTTTCATTGAAAATAGTCATACGTAACTCACAAGCCGATATGACACTTCCGGTTAACAATTCTTATTGGCCAAGCAACACTGCTTCGGATCGCCATCGAAAAAAGCATATGACGAGAGGAAACGAAGCGTCAGCCTAAGATAGCAGGGGTCACTAACTAGGTGGAGTCGGTCCACCCATCTAAAGATCATTTCCGACAGCGTCGACAAATCAATAATTGAAGAGTAGAAAGCGGGAACGAGAACGAGCTGCCGCAACTGCGGCCGCTGCACTCGCCAATGGTGAACGTGGTCACAATAGTTAGAGGCCGCTGTTCTTCATCGTTAACCCAGGGCATCACTGAGTTCTCTATTGCGCGAGAAAGCAACAGATGGAATGGCAATGGGGAGTAGGTGTCGAGTGCTAGGATAATGGAACAGGATAAGGCAAGCCAGCATGAAACAAGAAGGTTAGTCCTAGGAGAATCTCGCGGAATAGATCAAACCAACGAGCGAAAAGATCAAACTAGGATATGTTGCTATCAGTTGAAAAACACAGGGTGAATTGATACACGGGAAGCACTGGCCCAAACCAATTCGTCAGCCAAACGAAGAAAAATCGGCATTATCGGTATCATAAAGAGGTGCCTGGACGCCCATGACTGACGACCAACTACTGGCTACAGATTTTGGATTGTCGACTGCCGTACAAATAATTACGAGTTAAAGAAATTATCTCTCTTAGCTAATTAGAGAACGACACTCATTTTGTCCAGATTCTTTCCTTCTTCCTCGAAGACGTTTGAGCAGTTCGACGGCCGCGGCAGTAAAATCAGTGTGAAAATCCGATATCATTATTATTTGTATTGGTCCATATGACTCCGTTAATTCTATTCGTATTGATTTCCGATGCCGTACGACACGCAGGTGGTTTTTAGACAATATACGAAAAACTTATGAAGTCACCGCCTACGGCGAGGCTATACAGGAGAACAAATGATATGGACGTGGCTGGTGGTAAGCAGGTTCCAGGCTTTTAGGTCAGCTATCGATCTGGTAAATGCTAGGGATAGGAGGTAAATATGTTCTTGTAAATACGTTCATTGCCCCAGTCGTCCCTGTCCATTTGTTTCCTAGAGATAGATCAAAGAAGAAACGCTCCAGGTAGCGGAAGTGACACTTATGGCTACAGCCCTCAGCATGACTCAACAGCGACAGAAATGATGAGAGCCTTTTGGGAAATAACAGCTTTTGGTGACACTTCGTCGTTGCTCGTTTCGTTTGAACTACTAATGTCATTCTGTGTCTAATGTAATAAATACTAAGTCAATGAGATATAAAAAAGTAATACTTGCCGATTTCTGCTATTCGGGTTGAATATAAGTATTTGAAAACTTCGACTTTTTAACCGACTGTTATTTATTTATTTTTAAAATCCCACTGTTTCATTTCGTCCCAGTTCAACTGTTTGGCTTGGCTTATCTTTGTTAGAACTATTACGTCCAGCTAAAGTTAGTTATAGACAAGCTGACATAACTGGTAACCGAAATCACTAGGATCGCTTGCAACACCTCCTGAATGAGTCAACTGACTGATGATATCCAATTGTGCCTTCGATTATAGAAAGCATAGTAAACAATGACTCGAGCAAAGCTTTTTGAATTTTATGGGAAAATTTTTCAAGCCACTCACAGGGTTAGTTCACGAAGCAGTATCATGTTCACGAATGCCTCTGTTTGCTTCTGTAGTCGTATCCAATTGGGATTTTTGGGACTGTTAATCCGTAATGCCTGACTCTAGATCTAGACATGTTCGTTTTAGAAAAAGAGCGACAGAGCAATACAAAAATGTATATCCTTATCAAATTAAACAAGAATCAAACCCTGGTTCGATTTCGTAAACGATCGTCTATTATGCTCTATTATCCTATTATGTATTATACTAGAACGAACCGCAATTCACGGGAGGAACTAATAGTTACTAATCGGAAGTAGCACATAGTATGGTCTACGCATACAATAAATCTACTATTATATAATTTTACTGTACCTATCTAAAATGTAATTTTTTTTAAAGTTAAAAAAAAGTATTCAAAAACCGCCTGGATAATAGCGGCCCAAATGTTTGAATTCGAGATTGCCAGAGCTGGAGTGGAACCACTTCCATATCTGCCGGTAGATAATCGATTCAACAACGAATACTTATCAAAAAATCGACAATAGGTAACGACACTGAGTCTTGATGAAGCTCTCCTCAAACAAACTTCCATCACAACATCATCAACTCAACATCCATATTGATATAAAGCTGATTTTTGTCTAGCAAAATGATTACGTTCAGTGCCTCAAATATATACGTTACTTGGCATATGATTATACTCTTCTCTACTCAGTGCTCTATATTTGCACTTTAGGTTAAAGACAGAGACTTTACTCGTAGATGGGCACAATTCTGAACCGCATAACAGTCCGGTATTCGACCGCGCTCACTGCGCAATTAGACAAATATGTTCATAACAAAATGTAGCTACTCGTTGCTATTATAGACGAACGGTTACATTTAAATCAAATCCGGAGGATCTGACTAGACCGCTTGATCACGGTCGTATCATCTCAATAATTGCGAGTCGATATTATCTTCAACAGTATTGTGCTAGATCAGACAATCCCACGCTTGACACTGAACTGCGATCGGGATCCCCATATTTAAATCGAAGTAGGTTGACTCACGTGAATATAACAGCGCTGCAATATGGTCCACATCGTCATGAGTAGAAAAATCAAGACTAATTGTAACTAGCAATGGGTATGCCAACGAAGTCAAGTATTTCCAATTTGTTTCAGCAGTAGTGTGCCGCATTGACCGGCTAATTTAAATCGATTCGGTTAAATCAAATATAACCGTGTAGAAGTTCTCTATTTTTTTTTTGTTTGGAGATTCTTGGCCATCTGCATCATTATCCATTATATGATGCTAGTTACTCTTATTATGTATATATATACGCGTTATTTTGCCTACCTGATTCATCTAGCTTTATTAAACTTCTATATATATTTCTTTTACATGAAGACATTACTCTTTTATTTGATGTTATAATGGTGGGATCTCTAGTGCGAAAAAAAGATTTTAAAATAGATATCTAACCTCGCATGCATACGAACATCGAAATCGCTTTTTGTGTACCTGACACTTACTCATAAGGAAGTAGTGCTCCGTGGTTGCTGATTAATGTGGACCAGGTTACCTTCCAAAATGTGCGGTTGCCCCTTGTACCACGTGTTCTCTAACACTGGAGCACTCACTTCACCGTTCAGATATGCCGCCCCTTGGTCTTCTTTACGTGGCCTAGTTTATTGCCACAGCGCAATAGACTACTCCAGTTGGGCACGACGTGTTCTGGGCTTACGCCCAAGTAGTTTCTTCCTCCACTGCACGTGAACGTAGCCTACGTTCTTCGTGTTAGGCCGTCGTGCGCAAATATATCCCTTCGTGAGATAAAGCTTTCCTTTGAAGATTCAAAATTCACAATCATTTAAATTCACTTCCTTCATCAATACTATACCTTTTTACTAAAAACTTACAGGAACGAAGAGGTTCAAACCTTTTTATACTAATCAAATGATGCCCCCTCTCTTCATGTTTTCTATTACTACGCACTATTACACCAAACGTACTGCAGCCACAGCTGGTGTTTCCCGTGGGCTGTCGTGGGTGTCAGCTGAAGAGTTGGGCAGTCACCGTAGGCCGTGGCCTAATTTCGTCGAGTTTTTTAACGACTTTTCGTGGTGCGTGACACCTCAAAGGATGTTCCGGAATTTCTCGTGTTAAATTATTCAAGGCCAACCTTAAGTAAAAGGACCCCGTCTTGCACCCATTTTGCCGGCTGACAAAAGCACTGAAAGCGAATCGATGAATCAAGTTGCACGACCTTGACGGTGGCCTAAGAACTAACAGTTGCTTTTTCACGTCCTGCTGCCTGTTATTCTGTATGGTTTTCGTTGCTTTGTTAAGCCCGAGCCGAGCGGTCTAAAAACTATGGGCGGTAGTGTTATATCCTATGCTATCGATAAAAGATCGGTCAGCTTTTTTGGCCAAACGAATAAACACGATTTAGTGGTACTACAAGATGACAGCATAGTTCTATGAGTTTATTTTACAAAGTATGACTTGTCGCTGTTTGGCGTGTTACGCAATGCTTCAAGCCAGTGTAATCCTCCACTGATCCCTGACAAACTTCCAAGACCGTCCTTCGGCATAGGATAGCACAGTGCCAACGCTATTTGCTGTTACCGCCAATAGTGTTCCTTGTCTAGCCCTACTATAAAGCTCGACACGACTCGTGAAGTCCAACGACACCACAAGCTGTATTCCTGACCTGGATCACGATCGCCGCGTGCAGCGGAAGCCCAAAGACAGCCGTTGTGAACACACTTCTACAGCAGAAGACCAACTATTTTTTGCGGTAGCAGCAGATCACGGAACCGAATGGAGACCGATCCGAACGATGAGCCTTCGAAATGACCGCACTTTCTCAGAAAAATCGTGGTCGCTTCAACGTTTAACTACGATCGTTCATCGTCACGACAACAAACGTCGCTAAGAAGAACTGAGATGCTATTGACAGAATAGTCTTTTCAACTAAACATCACCACTCTAGCAGATTCCACACGCGAAAAGACAACGAATAATCGACCAAAATATAAAGCTGAGACACAACGACAAATGCAGTTAATTTTTTGAGGGTTTTACTATTGATGATATCGTTGGTTCCAATAGTCCTCGCTGCCACTTGGTCGAGCTGGTAACAAGGTTAGGAATGATGCAAGGTTACACTGTCGTTAACTAATTTATCGACTTCTAGCAGCGATCGACAGATGACGTCGTTGCTCCTTTCCACGACAAGGACATCATCTTTTATACCAGTATCCTTGTCCATTTACTTCGTGGTAATAATGTGCGTCTGAGAGACCGATTTCATAGTTGCACCAAACCAACTGCTTCCGACATGAAGCAACACAATGATGGAAAACGCGTTCCGCCAAGGATAGGAATGTAAATTCGTGATGTTAATTAATTGTCAATGAATTAGCTAGAATAGGGTACGCACGCTAGTGGATGCGAATCGCAAACCGAATGATGGACAATAACATTTAGGCGTCTTTAACTGTGTTTATCCTTTCGATTGTTGTTCACAGGTATGTCCTGCTTAGCTGGAGTACCCACTTCACTTTTGAATTAACTTCGTGACATGTTCCTGAGGTAGAACGAAAAGCAACAATCGAAGTTTTATCTATTCACATTACACATCGTAACTGTAAACATCTCATATTTGAGTTGCACGTACTCACAGGATGTATGTATCCCGGTTCACTTTTGTCGCCTTATTAACTCTGGAAGGCAGATCATTTTTTGGCACTGCTGACAACGACTAGTTACTCTTAGCAGTTCTGCGTGCAGTATATGCAACTCTTTGAAATACGTTTTCTGTTTGTGCTCTGCCTCGAAATCCACAAACGTCGTAATTTTTGTCTTGAACTTCAAAGGAACATTTTAACGCAGGCAGATCTCTCATTAAGTTCTTTATACGTTATCCGTCGGCCAATTGACTGAATTTAATAATCGGCTGCTGTTGTTTCTGTCATTGCTGCTTTTATTGTTCTGAAACATTTGTTTTGAACGAACCTGTTCCGGTTGGCGTAAAAGTATTCGTTCTCGACGACGCTCTCTTTGTTTCCTTAGGAACGATGACGACAGTGGCTACCACAGTGTGTATATCTTAGCGGCGCTTCTGGATGTCGCTTGTCCGTCGCTTACTGACATCACCCCAAACAAAGACCTTTTCCTCCGGACACCTCAAACACTGTGATGCTAGCGGCTAATCTGACTGGCTAAATTATACCACTGTCTTTGCCGTTGGAAACGCAACTATCTGCTTCCACAGATGCGGCAGAAGCACTGCTCGCTCCTACGGCTTCTGTAACAAAACACTGTCGTTAGCCAAAGGCGAAATACCCCCACAGACAAGCAGCGGTCGTTGGAGAGTGTACTGGGTAAAGTACAGCCTCGTATTGCTTGTCAGTGTTGGTTTGTCGATCACTGGCTCGCTCGTTTACTCAGCACACATCATTTGCCTCCATGATTGTTCCCGACTAGTAGTAGGCTGACAACTAGAGTACTCAGCACTCACACATAGTACTACAACAGCATGGCATGACAATGTACCATCACAGCAAGGGCATTCCACTATGATGTGTATGGCCGATCGTATGTGCGTCTGCCCGTTCGCTCCGCTCAGCTCAGTCCACCACCGAACGCAACGGCACGACGGAACTACGTTTGACTCTCTCACTATTTACTCCTTCTGCTATACACGCATTTGCTGCTGCGAGAGACAGACTGCACGGAATATGTGTAGTCGTTGTTCGACGGACTGCTGCTGCTTCTGCTGTTGACGTCGCTGCCGCCAGAGGCCAACACAAGACATCAACAGCTCACGACCAACACACGCACTAACGCAGTACGACAATAAATACATTACTTTCATTACTGGCTATATAGTAGTCGCTGTTCGTTTCACTGGTGCTGCCAGCCAATGCTGCCTACCGCTCCTTTGCTTCTATTGCTCTGTTTTTGCTACGACGACGATGACGACGACGACGACAACGACAACGACAACGACAACAACAACAACAACAACCAACCCACCGACTGCCGACGACCAGGCAGCCAAAGGCACGAACGCGAGCGACTTAGCCTTAGCAAAAGCGCTGCTGCGGCCACCCACTCCTTGTGGTGCCTCTCCTTCCCCCTTTTCTCCTCTCTCCTCTGGTCAACGACTACGACAACTATCGGGGCTGCCACAGCCAGTGCTGGCCGAACTCGACCCGGCGCTCCTTTGCCGACACAGTAAATGAGCGATGCTGGCTGCCGCTATCCAACCAAGAGAACTCAGCCAACGCAGCAAGCAGTTGCCTCTCAGGACTCTTTCGCCAGGCCGCTCACGATGTTTATGCTACTGCTGGTGCCAACGGCAGACAAAACCAAGAAAACGACGACAGGCAGACGGGCGGAGGGCAAAGCCAGGACAAGCAGGCGCTGACACGAGTAGTGGCAGCACGTCGCACCGCTCCGCATTATGCCTGGTCTATGCTATTCTCTCTCGGTTGGTGTATGAGGGGGTTCTGCTATGGAGAAGTAGAAGACGACGTCGCTGGTCGGTGGATACCGGTAATGAATAGTGGTCTTGTTGCGGTCGTCGCACCGTTCCTGAAACGACAAAATGGATGATATAGCGCGCTTATTCTCACACGACGTTGAATAGGGACGACTGCAGACTGACGGGTGTGTCTAGTATAAGCTGAGCGATACCGGCCGATAATATGGTAGTAACAGCGGGTACAGGAAAGAGCTTGCTGGTTTCAACAGGACGAATAGGTAAAATGCGACAGTCGCTTTTGAAAAAGTCTGCAAGGAGACGTAAACAAAAATATTTCCTTCAATTTCCTTTTCCCTAGTCTCTTTCTCCCTCATTCAGTTGATCGATCTTTCCCAGTACTTCCCTTTCTAGTTGATTACTGATTCATTAGCAAACGGATACAGTTTCTTCGATTCTGCTTGTTTTGAAGCAGCAGGTAAGGCTGAGATTTGTGTGGCGGACTGATTGAAAACATTGCGCTTATTACGCAAGTACGATTGTATTGCTGCACGCACATATTAAAAAACTAACCGTTATATAAGCCTATATTGCACTATAACACAAAGAGAGCTTTAGAGATCTAATATTAACCGAAATAGACGCATGTTAGCACCTGATACGGTATATTATTCCGTTATATTGTCATTTCAGTTAAATTACTTGAAAATTTGCAAGTTCTTGCAAATTTTGAATAAAATCGCATAAGGTACAGAATAGTACATGCATAGTTTGCTTTTTGGAGTTAAACATTATTCGAGCGATTCATTTTGAAATTCCCCCTACCAAATCACACTGAGAATAATATATTAGTTGTTTGATTTTCTGAGATAAAATCCAGTTTACACAGGTGTCAAAAAGCGAATAACCTTGTAAAAGAAAAAGTAATACAATAAAGAAATGCAAGAAACCAGTTCCTAAAAGATTTCTGGAAAAATAACTAATGTCATCATCATAATAGTGTAAAATAAAGTCGTTAGATCTAAAAAACCCTAAAAAAGTACGAATTTTCGATGAAGTTAATCAATAGGATAAGCAATGTTTTATAACTGTGTGATCTTAATTAATTTAATTAAAAAAAAAAACTTCCATATTCTCAAGGCATCAGTTGCACTGGCACCACTGGCAGAAACAATAATTAACTAGAGCTAAAGTAAATTGTACTTTCATCACATTTGCAGAGCTGACCAAGCATTTACTTGCTCAAGGATGCCAAACTATTAATTGAAGGATTTGGCCACGCAGGGTGCTAAATAAAAGCAGATATTAAATTGAATTCAAGATCTTTTTATATATTTAAAATAATTTAAAAAAATAGACTCAAAGAAAGAAATAAAATTAGGGTCCCCAATATTCACTAATCAACATGAATATGTTGATTTTTTGAGTCTATTTATATTCTAACATAATTATTGTGCAATTTACTTCACTTTATTACATGGACTGGCTTCTAATTCATATGATTTTGTAATCCTTTCAAGATACAATTTTGTGAGGGATTTTGCCGCGCCTTGACAGTCGATAAAGAATAAAACCCTTGACCTTTGTCATGGGAGGTGCAAAATAATCTGCCTTGGATCAAAACTCTGGGTGTAAACTACCAGTATTACACTCGATATCTAATTTAATTTTATTGCAACAATTTTATCCCAATATATTCTTCCTAAAGTCCACGGTATGCGACCGCTTTGGCGCAACCTTATAGTTTGGAGAAGGCCCTTAACACAGGGATACTATCGCAGACGACATAAGCAGTACTTTTACGTGGTCTGTTTTTACCAGCATCGTACAGACTTCGTAAAGACTTCGTAATGCGTTATGGAATGATGAGGGGTCGCCATTTACTTGCTGGCGCTACAAAGAGACACTACTTCGTGCGTTTTGTAAACAGAGTGCCGCGAGGAGAGTTTCGCTTCCGACGTGAATTTCTGGCTGCTTGTTATTGTCTGCCAATTTGGCTTCGGTCCAGTGTGTATGAGTGACCCTTTTCTTTTGAGTTTTCTTTGGAGTGTAGCATTGTGGATATAATAGCGAAGCGGTCCAGAGAGAAAAGTCACAAAGATGTGGCGACACGCTGATCTTCCACGCCAGCTTCAGCAGGTTAGTAACTATACGGTGTTTTGAATAGGATCGAGTTAAACAAGTCAGTAGGAGTCGCTTTATCAGCCAAGCTAATGCCGAATGCTTCAAGTCACACCGCCTATGCCAAGGAGGTACCGTCTGGTGCCAGATCGTCGAAGAACAATGTGGACACCTATTGTAATTTCCATCGTTACTATTGTAGCTTCTAGGATAGATATTTAGAGCAACTGTCATTATCAGTCCGGATGTCAATCCATAACCGTGCTTAGCTTGTCGAGATCAGTCGAATGGTATGTTCGACTTAAAACTAAGAGCCGCATTGCCCATGTACTATATTGATTGTTTTTCGAAGTCTGTAGAAACAATAAACACAATACGGATTGTGAATTTATATAATAAATGCTTCAAGTGCATACCGAAATGGGATTTGTCACTGAAATCTCGCTCGACGTGCTGGACGATTGTTTATACCGCCCTATAATTAATAAATCTAGTTGACTAGATTTAGGAGGCAGCTTGAGCTCAATGCACTGAATAGCACTTATGGTAATGGACTAGTATAGACATTGTGAAATACCGCAAGAAAATTTATTTATCGTCCCGTTGTGGGTCTAAATGTTCACTAGATCTCGTTTACTATAGGCCTTCTTTTCTAATGGTAACTAAGAACGTACTAAATTTGATATCACAGATGTTCATTCTTCGCACGACTACTACTGAGACACAGACAGTGCTTTGATTTTTGTTTTTCTAATGATGCTGCGACTATTTGATTCAAACGTCGTTATCCAACTAATAACTATCACCGAACTTCAGCGGCTGATCACATACATAGTCTTAGGAAAGGCTAATGTTTAATTTAGATTACACGAAGATCGTTCGTGTCGAACAATGTTTTTGCTCTGCGCATTTCTGATATTTTGAAAGAATGCAAACTGCTATTTCAAATGAGTTGAATTTCGTCTTTTCCTTGAATGAGAATAAGTTAAGGACCATGAGCAATATTAAGGCTTACATTTTTTGATTAGTACTTTACGAATCGATCTACAAATTTGCGGAAGATATAACCTCTAAAACAGGTGCTCTCGCATGCAGGTATAGGCGCCATTGATTTTAACGTGTTTCGTATACCCTTCCCGAGCAGAATATTGACTCACTGATATTTTTTGTTCCTTCCAGCAAAATCCAGAACCGATGCAGGTGGACGGCATGCAAGTTGGCATTGACGAATGCTGTCGCGCCGGTGAACCCGCTGCCGAGGAGCCCATAGTGACTGTCCATAGGCCCACCCTGGAGTTGGAATCGTACGCTGCTAATTATACAGGCTTGGCGAAACTCAACCGCCTTATGTTTATAGCCGATCGTTGTCCAACATTACGAGTCGAAGCACTCCGGATGGCACTGGACCATGTTATGGGAACTCTCAATGTAGCTAAATATACGGTGCGTAAAATTATATATATATATATCTATATATATATATATATATAGTAGAAAAAGGTATTTCAGGACTTTCAGTTGATGATTTACGTTGTTTGAGGAAAATTCTATTATGACAAAAAGTCTTTTCATGCTATAATGCTAACCATAATACTGCAGTCCTATGAGCTACGAATAAACTCTTTCACAGCCAGATTAACAAGCAAAAGTGTATCTATTATATTTACAATTAACCATTTCAGGAAATCCACCGGAAGCTAACGGAGGCGTTAAGCCGTGGCCCACCTAGTGATGTGCAAATGGCAAACGCTGGTCCGGGTGGAGTCCCAGACGTTGCCGAGAGTAACGAGATTCCTCCGCTGGACAACGCATGGATTGATACACGTACCAAGCAAACCGCTCTTAAAACTGAGAAACTCGATACCGATCTTAAAAACTATAAAGCCAATTCAATTAAGGAGAGCATCCGGAGAGGTATGTATTATACGTATATTTGGTAATTCTTCTGCGATAACATTAGTAATATATGATATATGGTGTATCATAGATTTTTCTGACTTAGAACACAATAGCATTATTTTAGCATGTGACTCAATTGGAGAAAGCTGCGCCCCAGAGGGCAAAAATTAATTCTTATACGAGATGAGCTCGATTTTTACAATAAAATCAAACGACAGAAATGACATGACTAATATCTCTGTAGCTGGCAAAATGCGTGGATTCTAAAAATCAATAGATTAATAAACAATAATTCGCTTTTTACTATACGTTCCGTCACGGTAGGCACGGACGATCTTGGTGAGCACTATCTTGATTGTGGCGATTTAAATAACGCCCTGCGCTGTTTTGGTCGCGCACGTGACTATTGTACTTCGGGCAAGCACATCGTCGACTATTGCCTCAACGTTACTCGTGTCTCCGTCTATCTACAAAACTGGCAACATGTCGAATGCTACGTAGCTAAGGCAGAAAATACGCCTGAGGTCATCGAAGGTGAGCATGAGCATTCCGACGAATTGGGGTGAACCTTAAGCGCTAGCTATAGCGATTATAATACCGTTACGAGTGTATTATAGGAGTATCCGAAATAGTTCGAGGGAATAATATGTTTAGCTAGCTTTCTTGTCAGCTATTCTAAAATATCGCTCATTACAGCCACTTCATCAACGGGTCAGGGTCCGGTCGCTGCTGGAGGGAATGCCGCATCCTCAGCTCGTGACTGTATTAGCCCTGTGGTCATCAACAAACTGCGATGCTGTAATGGCCTAGCTAATCTCGCCACCCGAAAGTATAAGAAGGCAGCTCATCACTTTTTGCAAGCGAACGCTTACAATTGCGACTTTCCAGATGTAAATGTCAGATAAACGATAGTTAGCTGCTTACTGTTGTGCGTTGTTTGTTCTTTAACTTTTAGCTTTCAACTTAGTGGGTAAACTCATGTAAAGCGTTGGTGTCACGCTTTTAGGTGCATCTATTCGTAGCAGAGCTTTCATATAGTTTAGCCACTGATAAAATGTAGCAATGGCACAACAAAAAAGCTGATGAGCATTCGTTAATTCTGAACTCGAAATTTTTCACTACGGAATTTACCTGAAATGAACCATTGTGTTTTCTTGAATCTTTAACCTGCATGCCCAAGAGGGCTTGCCAGTTCACAGTTTATGTGCTAAAACTTACGAAGCTTGCTAAAAAACCCACGTTTTTGAATAAGACGGCCTAATATTTATACTATATAGATAACACTATATCTCAATTTAGATAGGATTACAGATAGGAAGAGAAGTTGGACTATTCTGCTATGCGGTACCTTTGCAAAAATTTTACACAAAAAAATTACAAAGTTTACCTATATATATTGAAAGTTATCGTACGACGTTTAAATATGCAGCAGTAGCGATATGCGCACTTAGTTGCTTTCTTTTATTAGAAAAATATTGTACTACAGTTGAAAAAGCATATTTTCTGCATGTTTTTTGTTGTCTTCGCTTTCTTCGATAGTAATATTAAGTACTATTATCAGCGTAGCAGTACTATTGTCATAAGTCATAAATCTTTCTCATATCATACTTGACTTGTTAAGTTAGAACGTAATTTATGTTTTTTTGCCTCTTGTAGATAATGGCTGCACGCGATGTGGCCATTTACGCTGGTCTTTGTGCCTTAGCCTCGTTTGATCGTGCCGAGCTTGCGCGAAATATAATTCAGCAACAAAACTTCAAGCAGTTTCTCGAGCTCGATCCCCAGTTGCGGGAGTTAATCCAGCATTTCTACGAGAGCCGTTATGGACAGTGTCTCGCCTTACTCGACCAAATTCGCGATAATCTTCTGCTAGATATTTACCTTGCTCCACATGTTATCTCACTGTACGCACAGATCCGTAATCGGGCATGGATACAATATTTCTCACCGTATTTGACTGCCGACATGAACATGATGGCTGTAGCATTTAACACAACGGTCCAACAGGTAAACATTATAATATAACCGTAATTTACTCGCTAGGGTAGGCGGAAAACGTCGTCTATGCGCGCCTAGAAATGTGAGCATGTCGGTGATTTGAAAAAAGAGCGACTAACTAATGAAAATAAGTTCATCAAATTTATCGTAACGCTTTATAAACAGTCCTAGCTTTTTTGAGCACTATGTCCCTTGTCGTCTGCTGGTTGTTTCATTCTTGTCCTTTTTGTCGTAAGGACGCTACAAAGCGTTGAGGCGTACAATTCGCCATCGAACGCTTGAGCACTAGGATCATAGACATGGAATTCCTTGTTACAGAATATAATAATGATTCTTTTTTAAATTTTCCTTAATCTTATAAATGAAATTCAAATTAATCAGTGTCAAAGTGTTAATTAAATGAACTCGTGCATTATGTTCTTCGTATTATTTTTGTTTTCGCAGGTCGAAGAGGAGATGATGCAGTTGGTACTTGATAACCAAATTCAGGCCCGAATCGATTCGCATAATAAGGTCATCTACGCGAAAGATGTAGACCCGCGCGCAAGTACATTTGAAAAATGTTTGCAGATTGGTGATGAGTTCGAGAAAAAAACTAAGGTAAAATTTGATTTACTCTTGCATAATTGTGTAATTTAAAAATAATTAAATGTATTTATGTATGAAATATTTAATGACTGTTTAGCATCATAATAAGATAAATATATGCCTTTAGGTGATTTGCATACAGCTTCATTGCTTTGTCGAGTTCTCAATTTTTTGCTCAAACAATTATTTGGTCTATTATTTTTTTTAATGATGTATATTTCAGTGATTCATTTCCTTAATAGATACTAAATAAGACAATTATTCAAGTGTTCCTTTCGCCATGTCCTTAGGCGTTAATGCTCCGTGCAGCTCTGATTAAGAACCGCGTTTGCGTTAAGTGTCCACCCCGAGGTTCCGGGTCCGGCCAGGTAACCAATGGCGATGGCGAGAGGCCGTCATAATTATTGCCGTCACGAAAACATACGTCGCCCCGAAGTTGTCCGCATCTTTCTGCCTACGATGCTCGTTGCTTTTGCTGATTGTTGTGGTTTCGAGGCAAAATTTCCCAGAGTTTCTAGTAGTGAAAAGATACTGCGTTCGAGCTTCTATGTCACGCGTACGTGTGTAATGATACCGTGTGACTGTAAAGTAAAGCCGAACTGAGAAATAGTTTTAAATAGTATACCGTACAGAGTACACCACATTTAGCCCTGCTGCTTGGTAGAAGTTCGTGGCGCTAAAAACGAGAAGGTGTATGGCAAATAGTGATGCGACCTGAGTAGGTCGGAGCCTTGAAAAATTTTTGAGAGGAAGAGAGAGACGGACAAATAGCCTACCGTGATCATAATCGTTGTTGTAAGCCTCTGTCGATCTGGAATCATACAAAAGAAGCTATTTATAGTTATGGCCTACATTTAGTAGTAATAATAGTAGTAACAACATTGGGGTAGGGGAAAAATAAGAGACATTCTGAATAGCTTCATATAACATACACACACGCAAACACACATAAACATAAGTATAGCGTCGTCTAACTTTGGTTTGGCCTTGTCGACGGAAATTTACTAAATATGGATGCATTTTTTAGGTCAATACCGTGTTAGCCTAAGGTGTTCCAGTCGTTTATGGGTATACATTGAGGAAACAAGCACAAAGGTAGCATATTCAAGCTCTGGGGAATGTTGCCAAGATGTTTTACTTTATCGGCCACTTTGAGTGGGCTTTGCCTCGCGGAGCTATAAAAGGGAGCAGAAATGGTCGTTGTTGTACAGCTAATGTTGAATACCTTCGTAAGCCTAACTGTATAAAAACAAATCTCACAGTAATGAAAGTGAACAATAAATTAAAAGAATAAATATTATTAGGTACATATACAATAAATTGAGTTTTTTATTTTCTTATTGACGATTTTAGTAAGTAAAATTGGTAACAAGGATTAAGATTTTTAGCAATTTTTTTTTATAGAATGTTAGCTGCGAAATGCCTTCATCACCAATTCCAGGCCTTACACTTGGGTGTTTACTCAAAAATGTAAAGATCTGATGCTCCTAATAAATATTAGTCCTGTGCTTTCCCCACTCCTACCAGAACCGATCATTCTAAACGCGTTAATTGTTGTTTCTCTTTCAGCTGAGCTCGTCCAAATCCCGGGCCGCTCTCATTTTCCGTTCACTGATTTTTTTCGCCGTTTTGCTCAGCGTATCCGTTCATTTTCCGTTTATAAGGGACCAGTATTTATCTCGGATCATACTGACGATCAACTTAGCTACGCGTCAGCCTGAAAACTTTAAATTTTCTGCGAGCAACCTTGAAGGCAGAAGAGTAGAAGAAAGAAGGGGTCACTTACCACACATGTGGCTGTTTCAATGTTTTTATCGTAAATAGGGGCTTTCTGTAAATTTCCGCGGCCAGTACTTGTTAGGCAGTAGGTGGTGGCGCAACGACTTGTGTTGAACCACGTCATCAGACCTCTTCAGGAAATTGAAAGCGCTGGTTTCATCGGATTTAATAATGACGTATATTTTCTTCAGTCACTTTCTTTTGCTCTTCTGTTTTTCAACTTCATTTAAAAGCACGCTGATGGTGGTTTCGGTGGACTGGACATTATGGAGTTCGTATTGAACATCTGAAAGCGCTCCTCCAGTTTTGCAGTCAACCTTCTTTGTATAAAGGCTTCGATAGCTTTCTCAATTGCGTGTATTCCCAGCTTTTCATTAATTAGGTGGTATATTATGAGGTCTGTGAAGGGACCACGATAGCTCTGGTTCTATCTAAGAGTATCTTTTTCACCGATCCTCATCGATTCGACTGACATTAGGTTCAGTGCGGGTACTCCGCTTTTAGCTAGTTTTTTCAACACAGGCTCAGCCTCTCCTTGATAGGTGAAAAAAAAATTCTTTTCCGTGATCTTGTCCACTGGCCGAACGGGGCCCAGGTAACAATCTGTCGCCAGTTTGCATCAATAGTTTTTGCATAAACGCGACCCTTAACTTCCTTGATTAACTGTGATTACTTTTTAGGTCGTGTTCTACATGTCGCTTTTACGTGTTCCCACATTTTTTTTTTCACTTCTTCTCTATATAGCTTTTATATAGCTCTTTCTAAGTTTTTTTCGTTTTGGTCAAAGTCATAGCAACGCGTCTACGGTGCTTGCGCCTCGTTCCATAGTTTTAGTGCACCCTTCTAGTGATTTATGATCGTTGGCTCCGTTGCTATTATTAGGTTGTCTGCTATAGAGGCAAAGCTACTGATTCCTGCTAAAAATAAACGGCTAAGTTTTTGTTTGTCAGAGGTAAGGGCACTAACAGAATCGATCAATGATTGGTAAAAATACTAAGTGAAATGGCTTTCAGTGAAACAACAGTGTGCGTAGTCGAACTGTAACGACGAACGTGACTACATATCAAAACCCGTGACAAAAGCATTTGACATATAACTAGCTCCGGGCGTGTTTTTTGTGAATTACGATATGCAGTTGATGAGAAATCAATTTTTTGCTTTTTTTCTTTAGTTCCGCAGTCGTCGTCACAGTTTCACAGCACGTGCTTCAATAAATTCCATATTGATTAGGCAGGTACAGCTCTGTTCTTCTCAAAAGCTTCTATGATTACGGCAGTTTGTTCTTTCGTTTAAAATCCTAAGGTATAGTCACTTCCTGTGAGACCATGAGCCTCTGTTTTTGTTCTGCAAATAATTGCAACAATAAAAAAGCTGATATTTCTCCGATAACCTTCGACAGATTTCACCTTTAAATAAAAACACTAACCATTAATCGTCAGTTTTCAGCAATAAACGATATCTTTGTCTGTTAAATCCTCTCTGATGAAGTTTAGATAATCGCCGTCAATAGTTAACGAGCCATTGTAAGTATTTACGAAATTTAGTCTAATAAAAATTACTTATATTTTCAATGCCCTAAATACAACCCAATTTTACGAATGTAAACTGAACCTTACTGCTTTAAAAAATGCAGTTCTTTATTATTCCTTTATTGGAACACGTTTTTATGTAAAATAATAGCTACCTCGGTCAGTGAGGTCTACAGTGTTGTTCTAAAGAAATGTGAATCTAATCAAGATCTAGTTAGCTCGAGCTCGACCCTGTTGTCGATATGAATATTGTAGTTGTTATGGTGTTATTATATAATCATAACAGACTGATAACTATCGAGACGCAGAATTTGTATCGGGCTTTTTTCTTCAATTTACGCTTTATATAGTAAACACCAAAACGAACGTATCGTAATCTAGCGTCGTTATTACCAATGTTTAAAGATCATGTAAGCTATCGTGAAGCGTGAGCGATATAGTTGAGAAAGAAACATTATCGTAAATTAACACTTATGTATAATGTAATACTATAGATTTAATACTATAAATCAAATTAAATCAGATCAATTACTTCGAAAAACAGTGCTAGATGGATCTTTAAGTGGTATAAATTGGCCGTTATTTGCTGCTACCTTCAGTATTTAATTGATAATTAATTGGAAGCAGTACACTTTCCTTAGATTTTCGAAAAACCTTAACCCTCTTTTAGAAATTACATTAGAACGGAACTATCACTTGGGTCACTCGCTATTACACAATGCAGCCAGGACCTTGTTGTAGTCATCCCATAAATTTAACCTGACCGCGCTGTGAAGAACTTGTCTTTTGAAACTATCTCTGTTAGCCTTAAAACATTTCTCTAGTTGCTATACCTTCTCCAACGGTGTGCTCTTATTTTATGTAACTTCTACAAGTAACTTAAAGCTATGCAGTGTAGCTGTAAGCCTCCATCAAGCAAAACTGACTTAAATATGTTAGATTAGTTTAGATATGGTAAACGTACCAATTTCTAACTGTTTGTACTCACTGCAATAACTAGACTTATGAATGTGTGTTCTTTATCACTGGGTATCTAAGCATAAAACTTAACTTTTCGTACCAGAATATACAATTACGCCTGTGTGTTTTTCTAACTTAAAAATATGTAAAGCGGTCTTGGTTTGGAACCGGATGTAAAGGTACTTTGTTTCGGTCTGGGAGTGAGTTGTCTAAAGCAACTGTTTAACGGCACTACCGGATGAAAAAGTCAGGACATTAATTTAGATTCGAACCCCAAAAAAATGCGATGAAGGCTTTACGTACGCAGTGTTATTGGTTTTTAGAATCCGAATTTTTGAATCAACACAACTTTTTCATAAATTAAAATTTAATTCTACCGACTTAGACTTTTAATCAAATCCTCTTCAATTTTCTACATTATTTTCGTCTCTATTTTCCTGTATATAATTTTTCTGGATTTCGTATCCAGGTTTCTGTTTCAGCCATACAGTTTCATCAATGCCGCCGTGGGGCTCTTGGCAGAGGGTACATTAATAGTTAAAATCAATTTCACGTCTTTCGTTACTAAACTACGGGTAATTATTTGACGTTAATAACAAATTAAAATTAGAACGCTTCTCAATGCTGACGTGTTACCAACGTGTGCACCCACCAGTTATCTGTTATTATTATCATTGTGGTTAAAAAAAAAATGTGCCGCATAGGGGGCAGTCGTTTACAGATTTGAATGTATATTCCACGTTGCGATACGGTGACTAGTGCCACCGTTAACAGCTTTAGTAGTAATAATACTTAACGGATAGGATTTGCCATTTCGGGTTATCTGGAGGTTCTTGTCGTTCTTCTGCATCTGCGACAGTTTCTTCTTGGGTACAAAGTAAGCAACACAGTCGATGGAGGAATGATGATACAGATGGTTTAATCAATGGTGCCGTCAACAGGGGGGTGGTATCTTCCCCCAAGCTGATCGAAATATATAGACCAGTCACAGCGGCTCATATTGATGACACACAGAGAGCGGGATCGAACGTCAAGGAAGGATCACGGTTAAAGCCAGCTATACGACACAATACATAAATACTTTGTATAGCAAAACGGGCTCCTTTCGATAGAAATACATTATCGTCAGCCGGTGTGCTACAGGAACCGACCGGTGCAATTGATGAAATAGATGCACGACCAGGCGATACAAGACATTTTTATTTGTAACTTATCCCTGTAAATAGAAATGGTAGCACAGCTGGCGGAAAACTGCCGGGAAACGGAGGTCCTTTTGAAATGACAGTGTCCTAAATAAAAACAAACATAAGCATATTGTTATACACCAAACAATTTTCTCAAATCGCATTAATGCCAATTAGCAAGTTTAAATTGTTCATTGTTTGCTCGCATTTTTTCATATTCAGAAAACAAGTAGGTAATGTATTTCTTTTAATTTTGGGATTGAAAAAGGATTCGAGGGAAATAAAGAGTTGAATCACGTGCGGGATTATAAAAGACGATCTATTCACCTGGGCCCACCTTCCCTTGTTTCTCTTCCAATCAAACAGTTTAATCGGATTACAATTTCGAAACGGTTTCTCATTTGTCTTGCACCGTCTCATGACTCCTGTAGTCTGTAGGGTATGGTAAAAATTGAGGCGACCTGATGCATACACAACTACCTAAAGAGCGGAAAGTTTGACCTACTTGACCCTCTGCGTTGATGGAGGCACATGTGAGCCTTTTGCAGCCACGTTTCTTGTGCCTGTTTATTTCTGAAAACTGAAACCACTTCGTTATTAATATATAACCTACTTATATTTTCAGTCAATGGCGAATAAATATGCTCAACTTTTTTAACATAGCAGTAAATAAGTTTGTGTAATTATATAATCTTACAGATATGTGTCCCCAAAAAAGAAGCAGAGAAAACCTTAAACAAAAGCAAATATTCCACCAGCAGTCGGCTTTTTTGGCGCCGATTGTTAGAAGATATGGCAACCTTGAAAGGCGGCCATACCAATATGGACCCCATATTGTGGTTAAAATCTGACTCTGCAGAAAACGAACAAGGGGCATTTATCACCTTTATGCATACGGGAGAATTTGTCGCAACAGCATCAGCAACTGTATATCAAATATTTATATACGTTTATACAGAATGCAGAAATATATAGTGCATGTATTGAACAACAAAGAGCTGCTTAGTTTAACAGTCAGTCGACATGTTAAGAATAAAAGATCCCGTAGGGCAGTATCCTTGTGCCGGATGTCTTCTGTACTGCAACAAATGCTTTGACGACGTGCTCTTCCCAGTAAAAGCTGATTACTGGTGTCCTCATCTGATTAATATTCTAAGCGAGTCACCTATCTGAAAGGTTCCGACGTATTAAATCCCCATTGAGAAGAAGACCAAGAAGAAGGCGATGACGACAACAACAAACAGGCATAACTCAACGTTAGCTGTTCATATTACCGCCCCCTCCCTGATATATTTATGTCAAGCGATTCACATTATCCGGCGATCAGAGGAACTGCTTGGTAACAGGGCAACAGGCATGCGGCTTCACCTGCTTACTGCGGTGATCGCGCCATTCCTATATAAGCGAGTCGGCGTCATCTTGAAACACATAACAAGGCAGCAGGATCCTACAAACATGAAGGTGAATACAGTCTCATTGTTCTAAGGTGTTTAATAGTGCTCGCTAATCTGTGCTTCCTTCAACTGTGGAGTCTATTATAAAGGGCTGTTTATTCTACTTTATTTACCACTAATATTCCTACAACTATCAAGAATCACTCCACCGAAAGTCATTTAACTTAGTTTTGTGAGACATCTTGATATTTGACACAGGTATTTATTTAACAACACTCCTAGACGAGATTTGATACGTTGAATCAACTTTAACTCGCTCGCTATATATTGTATATGGATAACAAGTACGGCACATTTTTTGAGTATATACCTTCAGTTCATATTCATACAATATTCTCCGGCATATTTCCTACAACCCTAACCTTTACTTCAGTCTATAATCATCGCCGTGGTGGTTTCGTGTATGTGTGGAACCGCACTGTCCCAGCTGGCTCGAGTGCGCGCAACCAATGTTGGTGACAACTCTGGTACCTATATCGCCAATCAACAGTACCCCCCGACGCCGTTTCAATACGCTTATTCGTCGGAAGATATCGAAGGGACACATTCGGCAACGCAGAGCGGCGATGGTAGTGGCCGCATTGAGGGTTCCTACACGATGACGCTGGCGGATGGCCGTACGCGAACTGTGACGTACGTTGCCGATGAGAATGGATATCGTGCCGAGGTGACGACCAACGAGCTGGGTACTGAGTCGAAAAATCCCGCCGATGTTATCATCAATTCGTCAGCGATTACAGGCGAACAAGCTGCCATCCAATATGGGCCAGCCGCCCCTCAGAGGCAGGTTGTGCCTGGGCCCGGTATCGGTGCAGTGCAAATCCGCCAGCCTAACAGCCAGGTCGCCCTGCCATCCTATGGAACATTCGCTGGAGTACAGGGTTAAAAAGATGGATCTACATAATAAGCGATTTAGAAAAAATAAAAAAAAAAACACTAAGGCCTGAGTTTTGTAACTGAACTCAGCTAGAATACCTATTTTAGTAGATTTTTTTACCCTCATATCTTTCTCAAGTTCCTACTTCATCCACGTATAGGTAAATGATAGCGACTCTGCGCCTGAAGCCCGTTCGGCAGTGGAAATTGGTCCTATGCTAATCTTTTGATTTCGGCTTTTTTTCTAATTTTTGCTGTTTTGTTGATCGAAGCAGCGCGACATATTTTTTTGTGGTGTTGATGATAATGATGATGTTCAATAAAACTAAAACATTTGGTGAAAACGGTCAGTGCCTTGACTGTGTACAAATACTGTTTGTTCGTAAGTTCCTGCTTTTGTGTATTCTATAATTTCGTATAGTTACTTATCTTTTATCTGGCCAGCTTGTCTTTTCCCTTAAAGAGAAGAGCTTAAAAGGTTTCTAACTTTTATTAAGTTCTAGTTCGGAACTGAGAAAAGAATCACTTTCTAAACGTTTATAGCCAATAGTGGTTTGATGAAAATCAATGTTAGTATATAATATGAATAGTTAGTGAAACGTACTAGCTCAAATAAAATGATCTGAGCCTTTTTCGAAGATAAGTCTTAAACATTTTATGTCTCCTAGTGATAATTAATGGTTTCTCAAACTTAATGCTTATGCTTAGCTTCTCTTAGAAAGGACGAGCCATATACGGTGCCCGTCGTTGTTCCCTTTACATATAGTAAAAATTTGAATTTTGGAGTTAAATAACAACTATCGTATCGCAAATAATATTGTATTGTCTTTATCTTCTATCTTCTGTGAATCTCCGTACGGTATTCCTCTAAGCCACAAACTGGATCATTTAATTTAATGTGCCTCTGCTATAATTATCACCCATAGATGTGTTGCTATATGAAAACCAAAAATATAGTTGAGGATATTGTGTCGATACAATATGCAGAAGTTGAAAAGACAAAACAAAGGCATATTTAGATACCGAAAATATCGAAAATTAGTCTAATAATTTTGATTCTCTTTTTGCTAGTTTTGGCTTTGAAAGGAAAACTTCACAATAAAAGTGTCATGTCGGAGCTAGGGAAAATTATTTTCATCTCGGAGATGTCACTGAGATTCGTTGTGAGTCAGATGGCTAATAGGCATGGGGCGAAGACAGCCACTTGATACCGCGACATTGCATAGTTCTATTATTATGGATATATAGTTTCGGGCATCGCTTTCATTTGAAGCAGCAGTACTATTGTTTCGTTCTTGTCAACTATGATATTATTATGTGGAACGCCATATACATTACGTAATCGGAAATCTGACATTGAATGTGTTCACAGGGATCTCATCGTCAGTCTAAGTGATCAGTTTATATTAACTCATTTCTTTTCATAAAGTTTTATCTAGGAGAGACACTTGAGGGATCAATTGGTATTATGTCAACGGTAACGTACATAAGTCATTCATAAACAGAATACTTTCAAATAATAATCGCCTACTAGTACGATAGTTACGATACAAACCGTTAAAATTGATGTTGAGACACAGCAGAGATCATAGTCCCGGAAAGTCTTCAATTCTTCTGGTTCAATATAGACCTTGCGACAAAGTTTACATTCGCTATTCCAATCGTTTATCAAACCGGCGTTGCTGTAGATCAGCTATACCAAAGAGACTATGATCATATTACTGCACAGGTAAAAGACTACTTATTTGTTATTCTAAAGACACTTGCAGAATTTTATGAAGACGCACAATGTCTTTTCTACATTTAAGTTTTTATAACGACTGAAAATACGTTTATTCAAAAAATCAATTGACATAGTTAATAAGGTTAACTAATAAAAAAAATTGAGTTCCTGACCAGGAACCGATTTCTAAGTAAAATGAGGTACAGTGTGATTTAATTATCGGGTTCTTTAAACCAGGTTAGAATTGTCGGAAAGAGTTAGGGAGTTCAAGTGTATAGGGGCACATATTTTTTAAGCACATATATAATGCACCTTAATAGTGTATATTTTGCTGCTGTGGTTTCTTTTTAAAAATCTTCGTCTAACAAAAAAAACTTAAAAGGCACGTCTAAATTCAAGAAGGTTTCTAAATTCTGCTTTCAGCATTTCCGTGCCATGGAATTCACATCCGGATCCTAAAATGTTTATATTAGATAATATGTAAGCAGCACTTCTATTTTTTTTATTAAGTTTCTTAGAATATCAAGTTCCTGTTTTAATATTGAACTTATCATAACTATTAAACGTAAATTGAGAAAGTAACAAAAAATGGGTCACAAAATAGACAGGTTTAGGTGCTTTTTTTGCAATGAAACAACCGTAAATTCAAAGTGGAAGGGGCAATACCGACTGCTACATTAAACCTACTATTGATTATCTGAGACTCAGTAGCTGCTGAAAAAGATAAAAATAAAAATACACTGTCCACTTAGCAAACCTATATCGAGAATTATATAGTCAATATATTTCAAAGCTTTGAAAAAAAACAAGATTCAACTTATTTGCATTATCGAAACTGTGTGGACTGTTCACTTTACAAACCGTTCACTGTTTAATGATGTACAGACAACATTCTAATTTTCCAAAAAAAATGGACGTTATCTTTTTAACTTGTCAAACTATTCCCTAAATTATATCAACAATCGGTGTAGTAATCGATAATAATCTATTGTTCGACAGAGTCTTTGCAATGAAAAATGTAGATAAAATAGCATTTGCTTAACCTATTAATGTTGAAATTCATAAGAAAAACATTTCTACAGACTGTTACATGACGGTTGTCGAAATCAACACACGTAACTATCCTTTCGCCTCTATAATTCGGATTAATAAAAAGCAAATGATGCAGATTCTACTTTGTTCTTCATTAACGCAATGTCATTAACGATATGCCCCACTCATTTAGAGATATTTTTTATCATCGAACATCGTCATGAAGCACTTCTCAATAGAAAACCAATGATCTTTTGTACCTTGAAAAAAGACGCGTCATTTTTTCGTTTTTCCTCGACATTAGAGCCGCAATATAATAACAATTATTACTGTTATTGACAATAACCAAATAAAAAGACGAAACGGTTGTATGTTGTGTCTATCATTTGATTTCGTAACAAAGCTTTGAAGCAACCATTTCGACCGTTGGATGCGCCGAAACTTACTGCGTGGCTTTCAATTCATGTGGCTTTGGTATCGGGGTATAGTGTTTTCTTATCTATTGTATTGTTGACGTTTACTTTGTACTCAAGTTAAAGCCGCAGTATGTAAGCAGAAATAGTGTCATTCCTATTTCTTAATCAATCAAGATGAAAAAAGAAAATGTTCAGTAGGTTAGGCTGGCGGTGTAACTGCGTGTGATTTAAATATATTCACTTTAGATGTCTTCCTTGAAGGCTCTATGTATGTATGTACAGTGGAATCTACAAGATGGATTACAACATGCATAACCAGCAGCCCACCGCTGAACTGGCACCCTCTCATTAGCGGTTTAGTATAATGGCCTTAGCTAGAGAAGCAAAACTGTTGATACGAACATTTGCCGTCACCAAAAGCAATGAATTGCAGATAACAGTCTTTTTATGCATTACCTCGTCAACCACGCTCGCTCATTAAGTAGTTACAACGACGCAATATTGTTCTAGCCAACAAATGGCTTGAAGACCCGCGCAGCAACCCCACACAAGGAACTCGGAGTATATATATATATAACCCATTGACCAAATCATGGCACACACACCCAGAAACCGAGGGGAAGAAGAATAGAGAGCTAGCTGGAGCACGGTGCGTCGGATATATTCGTTACATCTTCATGTTAAATTTCGTGTAAACATTCAAATAGTGAGAATAGGCAAGTACATGGAGTTATTGTTCTCCGAATCGTATTATTAATTCACTAACCGTGTTATAGTACACAGAAAAAGATTCTATTAATATCTGCAGGTGCAGCATTACGTGAAGAATAGCGTCGAATGTGAATAATTTGCGCGGGCACGTTACTGCCGCTGTTGTGCGATCGTATCATAATGCGCTAATTTACTATACTTTTTTTCCTAGTAAGTACGTTCTGTATATCGCCGATAGATAAGATGACGCTGTGGCCATTTGTTATCAGTTCACTGACGGTTACGCACAAATGAAAGGCGTCCGTTAGTTGGTTTATTCAGTCTAGCGGAAAATAAACACACCAAAATGGTCTCGTTGATGACGCTGCACTTGGACTCGAACAGAAAAAACTATAATATATAACTAGTTCAACGAAAACGTCGGCGATGGCGACCGTTGAGGCGAACCCAGACAGTCCACTGATGTTTTCATATTATAGGTTATTTCCTAAGGTTATTCCTGCTTACGATTATCTTAAATACGCGACTCGCCAAACACTTCAAGCATTGTGTAGTGGTTACTATGTATACTTAGCAGCTGGTGATAAAAATGAATGAGAAATATCATATCTGTGCGAATGAAATTATTTCCAATCCAGATCGTCTAACAGATAACTTCTTCAGGCAATCTTTTTCAAATTGAGAAACTTCAGTGACACTAGACGTCTGAAACAGTCGCGAACTAAAACGATTATAACATTTAGTTTAAAACATTCAAATGGCTGATCCGTGATAGATTAGACAAAATACATTCTATAATGACCCACCCGTCGTGCCTTTGCTGATTACCTAACTGCCAAGTTGCGAACGTCGTAACGAAAGATCCTACTGGCATATTTACAACTCAAATTCGAATCGCTCACAGGGTCATAGAATGTTATAGCTGAATTGTACTGTATGAAGCAATGGTTCGCGGCAGTATTTCATTGTATTAACTCGAAACATGTATTTACTTTTGTGTACAAGCCGTCTAACTCACCTCGTAGTGCTCTAAACGGCTAATGCCAATGTAGCACATCTTCGAAATATTCCGATCCATTAGACTTATTTAATACTAAATGCCATTTTCATATTTTATGGCCACGTATTGGTGTGGCGCGTAAGTAGAATTTTTTAGATGTTTTTAACTCCGTATATCAGTTATTTATGTGCATCGCACAGCATCACTTGAATTTTATGCATTCCCCTGTACAACTTCAGAACTCCTTGTTTCCTTTGTCGCTTTACAGTTTTTCATTGTCGGCGCGTTAGTCCGCCAGTTTGGTGGAATTGTTGCTCAGCTACTAGCTCGCAGCTCCATAGACGCTCCTAGAGTCGTTGTATCATCGCCTACAGTTGTTATTTTTAGGCCAGCCCCAGATTTTGCCTGTCAGCAATACGCTCCGATGCCGTTTAAATTCGCTTATTCGTCGGAGGACGTCGGGGGTAGCCATTCGGCGAAACAGACCAATGATGGGAAGGATCGTGTACAGGGCTCGTACACAATCCCACTAGCGAATAGCAGCATCTGAACTGTTTCGTACGTTGCCGAGGCAAATGGATATCGAGCCGGGGTGACCACGAATAAACTACGCACTAAATCGAAAAATACTGCCGATTTTATCATCAACTCCCCATCGATTACCGGGCAATACAGACCTCGGGTTCTACGGAAACAATTGGTAATAACACAATACACTGCTGCACCTGCTATAACGCAGATTCGCCGAGTCAACAATCAAATGACCTTGCCTTCGTACGGTACCTTGGTTGGAATCTAAGACGCCTTATGGGGTTGAATTCTGAATGTATTTGTCCCGCTATTTCTTCGAGCTACGGATTTCTTTGCTTCCATATTCCATCTGATTATTTTCTACGATTCTAGCTTCGCATTCGATATTTTTACCAGTTATCCTATTAAAAGGAACGAGCTAGATTAAGACAACGGAGTTCGCACATCCGAGGGTAGGTTTGCGCTCGCTAAGTTCACATTCGGTCAATGAGGCTACTACCATTCGAATAGTTTCGGTCGTTTTTCTCTCTGCTCTGTATCGACTCACTATTATATCGTTTATGTATATTTTAATAAATATGTTGTTTTGTATAAAGTATCCATGCATATATCATGTTCCGTTTGGATACAAATGATAAATAGAAATTACCATACGATAAAAGTTCATATAAGCACTTGCGGGGTTAACTTCATATCTACAAACGTCTTCTAAAGATATTTCCAGTATCCACAACCTTCATATTCGGCACACTGGTACTTATTACTGAGCTCGTACAACTCTACAACAATTTAAAAAATTATATTGAGAATACGATTAGCTTACGATTAATACGATTAATAATACTGATTATTACACGATAAAGCAATGATTAGACTAAAAAAAAAAAACGTCCATCTAATAAATTGTGGAGCCCATTTATTCATGACAATTCGCATTTCTAAAATTTACATACAAGCACTTTTCGGTAGTCTCATAGCTACATTACTACGAATATCGAGATAGTGCTCATCTTCAGGATGATATCTTACAACAGATAGCAATAAAACGACATTTGCATATGGAGGAAAATGACAAGGAAAATGCTGGAGTTGTCTGACTCCTTTGTCGTGAAATATGCCCCAGCCTGTTTGGGCTATGTGCGACCCAGATCTGTACTGGGCTACGAATACCTGGAAAGCGCTCAAGCTGGCCAAGATTTACAATGTAATGGACAAGGGATTGAACGAAGAAAAATTAACGGCCAGTTTATGATATTCAACGTCAAAAACTAAAAGTAAAACGAATATCCAAAAAAAAAAAACATTAAGGTCGAAATACGTATATCGAATATATAAATACGTTTTACCGGATTGAACTTATAAACATAGACCATTTAACTCTAAATCTTGCAATTATCACCATCCGAAGACTGATCGTTCACGTAAAACTTTGCTTCCGTAGCGGCGCCAGTCGGCCGCTGAAATCCATAATTCGTGACTAGTATCCAGTTGACTCATTATGTTGGCACCTCGCCATACGCACGAATCAGGCGGGAGTTCCTTTGCTCGAGTCACAATCTCAATTGGCTCACCTAGAATTGTCACCCCGAATACTTGTTAATATGTACCAAATTGTCGGGTCGGATGTGCTTAACTGGTAGCGAACATGTTACGCGACGAAACGAACTCTACGTAGATGCGTCGTGAGATTTTAATGGCAATTATATTGCAGTTACCCTTATCTTTAAAGCTATGTACTAATGAATTTCGAATTTGTTAACCCTGAACGATGTACACTTATATATAGAAATCATTTAACACATTAATGGTTGAGAATAACACTATTATATAACAAATAATAACAGCACAAACTCGTATAAGAATTTTTGTGTTCATACTGCAGCTAAATCAGTTTTGCAGTTCTAGTTTTGGGAATAGCTAATCTGCTATATGGGCCGAAAATATTCAGGTGTTTCTTTTCTAGTTTTAATTCAACCCCACACTGGGAAAATATCTTAGGTCATAGGTTGCCAGCGAAGTACGAGAGACAAATCTAGCTATTTAAAATCATATTACATGCGTACGCATGTACAGCACAATGCAAGACGCCCGCAACTTGATATAGGATATATACCTTGAAGTGCTTTTGGCATTTGTACAGCGAGACGGTTGCGTAGCCAGGTGGCAACTCCTGGAAAGTAAGACAATCCTCCCCCGACTAAAAGTAGCTGTGAGAGCATCTTTCGTTTGACGTCTTCCGATTCGCAACGGTCCACCGATTGTAAGATAGCGACATCGATTCCAAGAACCTGCAACGTTTGCCAGCCAGTGTAAAGTAGGGTTACCCGTTAGTAAATGAAAGGCTTAGTAATAGCCCAAAAAGACATTGGATACATGACTCAGTTTGAGATAATCACCCATTTCGTTCACTACTATTGCTCGTAGTCTGTGCCAAGTTGCCAAAAAAAATTCCAATTGCATATCAGTTAACTTGGAATTATTATGAAAACGCTCGGAAGCACACACATACATTCATCTATCACTAACCTGGGGAATCGGTATAGTCTCAAGCCTTATGGGGTCCTTAAGTTCAGTTGGAAGGCCGTCCTCGTCATCACCTTCGTCAAATTCGGCATCGCCACGTTTTCGCTGAGTTTGTAGAATATACAGGTCATCGTGAGGGTCCTGAGGATCGCAAACCTGCGGAGCATGCAAATGGCTGCGCTTGGGCCCCGTTAAAGCAAGCATATCTGGAGAAAACGCACCGAGAACAGTAATCATCGCCTCTTCAGCGACACTCAGAGAAAATTCCCTTGGCGTGTCCCCCGGAGGCGAATGCATGAACCGTCCTTCAATCTCCCCACAGTGATCTAAGTTCAGGTGGCAAAAAGATTGCTTGAGACGATCGAGTAGACGGGAGTCGTAAATGGAATCTGGTTTGTAAACGCCCCAGGGCATTTTCTCCTGAAATTAATAGAGACCGCTTTGTTACAGAACATTGGCCTCCGATAATTAGTGTCATCAATAAAAAGGCTACAGGACGCCATCGAAAAAAAAAGCTTGACAGCACAGAACCTAGAAATTCAAGTTGTTTTCGAGAAGCCTGGTGATCCACATAAACGTACACGTAACTTCCTTCATGTTATCTATAGCCACAATGGTGACTAAGAGTTCGCAAGAATTTTACCTTAAAAAGATACTTCATCAATTGTGTGAGATCCGCCCCTCCAAACTCCATGAGCAGTCTTGTCTGCTTGAGGGAGATTCCGTCGTCGACGCATGTGATTAAAGTTTTCTGATCTCCAACGTCGACAACACAGGCGGATGCCATTCCCGAGCCAAAAGCGGCGCACACGCTCTCAACGTGGACAAAAAGTCGTTGAAAACCCAGCTCAAGGAAGAGCAAGTCTACTATTCTTTTTACATGCTCAGCTACATAAACGTCGCTCACGATCAGTATCGCACTTTTTCCTTCGGGGGTTGTGCTTAGGTGCTCCCGAATTGCCCAGTCCCAAATGTCTTTAAGGTCATGCAGGGCTGCCGTCAAAGAACCGCCTATACCCTTGTGAAGATTTAGTCGACCTCGCCTCATTGGCCAGAATACATCGAAGTCTGAACCGGGACGAACGCGAAGAGCTTCATCGCCAAAAAGCTTCTCTACGTTTTCAGCGGGATTTACATAACTGTTATCGTCACCCATCTAGAAATCACAATGAACTTTCTTTATCACAATGAACAGAAAATATGAGTAAGACGTAAAATGAAAACCAATAATACTTAAATTATCTGGACGATAGGTTGAGGTACTTTTAGACGAAATTCTTTCGAACATTGACAGTACCACAAATGAACTCTACTAGCCAGATTTATTGAAAAGCGTATTTCGTCAGATAACTTCACATCGAAAACACCTGAACACTGATCGTGCCAACTTGAATGGTTCTACTCTGCTCGACCGTAAACCGCTGCACCCCTTTCGAAGTCAAACAGTTTGACAGAAGTCCAGACAACTGATGGGCCTTTTTGTCGATTACGCTAAGCACCTCATTATTTGCCGACACCTGTAATATAGTTGAGTATTACGAGGAAGAAACAGCTCTTATTACCGATTATTCAGTTATAATGAGTATATAATAATCACACATACATATTTCTCGAAGCATTACACTTGAATTTGGCATCTGGGTAGTGTAAACAGAGTCAGTGAGCAGAAATTCTTTTAAGAGCTATAACGCTCAATGAAAGAATTAGGCGCATCCAGCACTAATCGCAAGGACATGTATCTCTTATGTTAGTGACAAGCGGAGTTGATGTAATTACCGGGGGCAAATATTGATAGTTAGCTGGCGTTCGAGGGGCCGTGATCTTTCGGGCAGACCCGGCAGTCTGTCGCCGTCGTTTTCTAGCAACGCAATGGGGAAGGGTTCTCGGGGTGGCATCACTGGCGAGTCCGATGCGCAGGTTGCGAGATCCAGGATGGATAACTACGATGTCAGTAGGTCGCACCAACCAAGGGCCTTCTTCCAACATCCTGGTGCTTTTGCAAGCCTTTATCGATGACTGTCGTTTGTATAGCGAAAGTATATATGAAGATGTAGAACAAGGCGATGACTCACCCTGATCTAGCGAAGATACCACCTGCGAGAGTATTTTTAGATATATGTACTTTCATTCCTAAATTATTATTTGCAAGTTAGTAACTAACGACAACAGTGATTTAGACGCCAACGATGAGATGTTGTTGCTTCATCAATAAATGATTCGGTCTCATTTATGGAGGTAAACAATTGCCAAGTAAAAGAACTTACAGTAAGTATATTTAAGACTACTGGTCAACGTATTGTGTGTAAAATTTATTTAACTGTCAATTAAGTGTCAGAAATCAATCCTGCAGTTCTCTTCTTCTTAGTTCCTTTTTTATAAAAATAAATTGATCGACTTTTATTACAAGAGACGTCCATTTTCCACTGAGTGGACACCTAAATATTGTCGCTTTTTCACCATGTAAGCTGTCAGCGTCTGAATAATACCATAATACGATCATTATGTTGGCGCGATGGCCAGGACGGCTTAATCTGTCGCATAATTGGTTGCTTCAATCCCAGTCATCGGCATATAGAACAATACATATTATAACACTAGTTGAATATAGAAAGCATTAAATCCTCATGACCTATCTCTAGCCGTCGCGTAGGGATACATATGTTTATAAAACATACATAAAAGAAAATTACCTGATGGTATGTTGAAAAGAAATTTTCGACAAACACAGTACTACAACATGACCAACTGCAATATATTTAAACGGGAAACGTATTGGGACCGACCATCACCAGATTGATACTAAATCAGGTACAGCTGGTCAAGCCGGTCTAGCAAAGTTTGTTGACATTTAGGTTCGTGTGATAAGCGGCAACATGTAGCACAGACGCCGCCAGCTTGAACTTGAACAAACCAAGCCGCCAAACAATTTCGGCGACGCTAACCCTTGGGCAACCATGACAAGGGTAACTCGCCGTATCAGATTTATTTATCATTATATTTTTAGACGGTATAAAGCGATTGTTAACTTGGAACTTTTTTACGAGCAGCGAATGATCAAAATTTCCCGCCAAATCTATCGTCACCATCAGCTGATCGCTCTTCGAACAAACAGATGAGCTACTTATACAACCAGGTATCGCACAAGGCGGAACCACTTTTACCGGCGAGTTAAATTTTTCCGCACAATGATTCGTCAACGTTTTCATTCGCATTTTTTGTATATTTCTGAGACTTTTGTGCGATTAACAGTATCACTTGTTGTTTGTTTTAGGCAATAAGAGAATAGCTTTTTTCGCAGTTGTAGAAACCTGTGCATCGGTGCGAAATTTCTATAGTTGTTGAAACTAAAAACTCACACTTCGTTTGTACGCCAGTAACCCATAGTGCTCTTCTGGGTAATATCTTATTAATTTTCCAAATGGACTGACGGTACGACGCGCTGAAAGACAAGGAAAGCTACAGTTAATGGACATATTTATTCCGCACACTTCAATGAATGAGAAATACGTGAATTCAGAAAGAAACACAATATGGAAACTCCGTATACGTCTGTTGTAGAAACGGTGTATGACCCAGCTGAAGACTCATTCCTGTTGATCGACGCGCTAGAAAAGGAGCTCTCCAGCATTCAAGCACTAAACCCCGTGATCTGTCTCGAGGTACTTTGTTTTGTTTCTAGTATATGCTTTGTTTTAGGTTTAAGAAATGACATGTTTTTATTCCTTAGTCTTAAATTCGTTAACTTTTGTCTGGCTTTCTAGATATGTATACTTTGCGAATGGTGATGTCTGTTTTCGAATTTGACGCCAATGCATCCCGGACCTTTTCAACCTAATGACATTTAAAGAAGGTCAAAATCGCAATTGCTCTTTGTTGATGTAAAACTACAGTGAAACACAAATAGAGATAAATTACAAAAGTTCGTGGGTGGACATACATAAAGTTAGGGCATATACAGTTCTAATTTTGGTCGGGCTGGATAAATTTGAGTATTTTGAAAAAGAATATATTAAATATACATTGAATACATTGAACTGACACGCTAACGATCGCATCGCTTGAGTCTCAGTATTCGTCAATAGGTTACAGTATTTCGTATCCATCGCTGTTTTTAATTTTTTAACTTAATTTAAAAAAAAAAAATTATTTAAAAAAATGAAGAAGAAACAAGGTAAATTTAACTACTACTTATATCAGTGCTGGATAAGTCACAAAGTTTTGATATAATATCTAGTGATAATAAAATAGTCCGGCTTTAATAATTGTGCAGTGTTTTTCGGTTTGACGACATATATGATAATCATTAATACAAATGTTAATTGAGCTAGTTTTACTATGCTAGTTTCGTTTCTCTTATGAACGGCCAAGGTGGGTTGCGGTTCCGGAGTTGTAATTTGCGCCCTAGGCAAATATCTGCCAAGCTGCGTCCTGCTTGCCACGGACGTGAACCCCATCGCTGCAAGGATCGCTCGCAGGACAGCAGACAGGCACTTGAGCGAGTCCAAGGGGAAACACCGTTCCCTTGAAACTGTTGTTGCCGACATCGATTCTTGTTTCTTCTACAGGTTTATATCGTATTTACCTTTTGGAGCTGTAGTCAATAAACATCGTGTCTGTGAAGCTTATTTATACTTCCGTCTTTATCGAGTATGCTTACGTATACATGAGAGTTTGAACTGCTCACAAAATTAAAATCTGTATCTCGTTGTAAGCACGCGTGACATGTGTTCCTGTTTGTTACAGTACACAAACGTTATAGTGTTCCATATTTTAATATCAAGTACAATGAATCCTAGGTGCTATACTATAAGGAGACGATTAGGAGAACTCGTTCACGTAGGAATAATAACTAAGAGTCATTTAGCTTTATATTCAAAATCAATGAATGCTTTCGTAATATATTCGCATCACGTTTTTGATTTTACAGACTCTCTGGCCAGCTTGACTTGTTGCTGTGTAATCCACCGTACGTACCCACAACGGAAGAAGAGGCGCTGCCCGATGACGCCACCAAGTTAGCGTGGGCTGGCGGTCCGAAGGGCACGAACCTCATTGATCGGCTTTTACCAAAGGCCGCACAACTTCTAAGTGACAACGGACGCCTGTATTTATTATTGGTAAAAGAAAACAACCCTGAGCTTGTATGCACGAGGGCAAACTACCTCGGTTTGGAGGGCCGTAAAGTAATTGAACGACGCTGTCGAAATGAGCATCTTTTTGTCTATTGTTTTGAGAGAAAACAGGATTTGTGATGACGGAAAGACATTTAGTTGACAGGAACATTTAGGAATGAAGTGAAGTTGAATAAAATCAACATATAGTGTCGTCAAATTTTTTCAACTTAATTCAACTTGCTTACCTTCACAAGTAGTCGAACGTTCGGCTCAGGGAAAGTTTAGGTCATATTACTGTTGTAGCATTGGTGTTTGATGCGGGCGCCATAGTCAATGTGTGTGATAATTTCATATTCGCGATATTTTTGTGTCAAATAATGACGTTGCGGTTGCTCAGGCAGCTAATATTATACAGTGCCCTGACAATTAATAATCGGCTTGCTACGTACGGTTCTATATAAAGCAAAATAGTTGCAAAATAATGAAAAAAAAAAAGAAAAGTTCTCCGTATTATCCTTGGACCGCTTGTCCCAGTGGGAAAAAGCTAGAAACCGCAGGTTAAGTTTTCAGGCTGTGACAGATACGTTCTTTTGTTGTATGGACTAAATACAGTTTATTTAAGTTTACGGTAACTAAGGCGGTCATGCGTTGCATTCAATTTGACAAAATTGATAGGAATTCTATTTATGACTTTAGTATTGCAAATAGTTCAGGTGTATCTAAAGTACATAATAAGTTGATATATAGATATATAATAAGACGTAATAATAAGATAACAGCTGAAGTTGCAGGAGAATATACAAACGTAGAGTAAAAAATAAATAATAATAACAATAGTAGTGACGATAATGCTTCAAAGATAAAACTTAGATAGACTTTATTAAAGGTGGATATGATGCAACTATAACAAAACGTTGTTCAAAAAAAATATATATAAGAAAAAAGTTCTTAAATAAGCGAAATAATGAGACTAAAGTATCCAGAGAGAGAAAGGAGAGAGAGAGTTTCCTACCATCGCGTCACCAATACAAATAACACCTTTCCATACGCAACAAGAAGTAAGCGACGAACAGATTCTTTTGGGTGCAAGCAGTCGAAGGGAATTTGAAGCAGGCAAGATGCTCAAAAGTAACTAGTACTATTTCGGAAATATTAGGTGAAAGTTTTAGAGAGCGGTAGGTACTGACTAGTGTAGAGATGAGAGTTAGTTGTGGAATGAGTTATTTGATTTCTTTTCAATTTAATAATAGCTTTTTTCAAAAGAATACTTTGTCGTTCTCCTCTTTCGGAGAAAAGCCTTCAAAGGCTTTTGAATTACTTGATTCCGTCCTTTTCGTTGTTGCTGACAACAAAAATTGTAGGATTAGCTGCATCAGCTTTTGGGCCTTAGTACATCCAGCTGTTTCTTTTTCGTCGTGGATTATACAGTAGGTTTGAATGTGCAAGGTGTTACCGAGTTCTCTAATATTTTATTGTAACTTACTTATGCTAAGCCTGCACCGTGTTGTTTTCCAACGTTGCGATGGCGTCATAGCTGTGCTTACGTAGTTTAATCTAAAAACGCGTATAGCTGTCCAGAGCAAATGTGACAGACTGGCTTGCGCTTTATATATGTATATACATACTGTTTGACTGTTTCGCGTTACGCGTCTTTCTATCGGGTAGCATTGTAATTATTCAAATCTATTAATTCAAAAAGACGACTTCAGTGTGTTACTGGTGATCTTTCGCTTGTCAAAAATATTATTTCAACGATGTAAACAAAAACAATAATCTCTTCAACTTCATCGACTTCAACTTCTCAAACGTACCTCGTTTTTTCTTATTTAATTAGTCAGACATCGCTAATGTTAATTGCTGTCTAGTCATTGTATTCTGAGTTATACCCGCATGCGCTGTAAGCAGAGTGGCATTGATACTAGAGAGAAGACTTCCACTACGTTCGTGTGGCACACCAGAAAGAGCGAAGCGTTAGATGGCTTCTAGCCATCTAGCCGGTCGCGAGAAACCATTCATGGACTCTCAGCTGAACGTGCCACGGAATATGACTTCACATGATAATAGTTACAAAGGTTTTGATGGAGTGTCTTTAAAGGACTAAGCCCTTTCCACATTGCAATGCAGCAACATAACGGATGAAGATTACAGATGAAGGTCGCTCCACGTTTACCATTTTGCCGAACCAAACGCTAAAACGTAGTAAATCCATTCACTATAACGCATAGGTAAAAGTTGCAGCTGCTGAGCATTTCGACTGGCTGGAAATACGCATATCGCTACTTCGAAATAAGACTGCCCATGAATTATGAACTGAACTTTTGTTGTTGTTGAACTGAATTTGAACTGATGTTGAGTTAGATGGCAATACATTGCCTAACTAATTGCCTACAATCAGGAGCGTTGCCTATCGCTGTGATGAGGATATTTGTTTGAGTCTCAGATATTTGAGTCACCTGTGACAGATGAAGAATATATCTCTGCACTCGTAGAACTATAAAATTAGCTTGCTCACATTAATCGAACAATGCTCTCGATTAACATGTAAGTATAGATGTGGTACTAAGTACTGTTCTGGGGGCTAGGTGTTTAGGTGCATATGGAGTACTTGCGGTGGACGTACCTTAGCGCGTAGATGATGGTGTCACAGTTCGTTAGATCCTATATTAGCAAGCTGGAAGAAGTAATGCCAAGTGCCATTTGCCTTGTAGAACTCAACGAAAAAACGCATTGCTTATTTTTGGTCAAGTACACACGGTGACCGGTACGTGGTCTTTCTTGTCGACGATGGTGATTATTAAATCAAAGGAAGGTTTAGTGTTCGCTTTCTGTGATGAAAGAATTAATGAGTAAATCCAAGACAGCTCGAAAGGGCAGCATTATTCTCCCGTATTCAGATTCGCCTTGAACTGCTTTCAAAAATGTACTTTAGACGGCAACATCCATTAGAAAAACGTGCAAGCTATTTGTATCACAACGGTTTACTTCTCAGTGTTGCTCCTGTTGTCTTGTAGTGAGACTTCACCTTCTTTTTTGAAATGTTTCATAAGTTTATTAAGATTACTACCTTAATTGAGTTATCGGTGTTCATGATGGATTGTAAGTTATTTTCCTCTTTATGCTCCTGTTATGCTTAGCGATAAAATATGAATACTATGCTTTTATCTAGAATAAGAAACCTATAGTTAATTATAGGCTCATGTACGTTTTTAGCTAAAAAAATTTCTAGATAGCAATCGTCTTTTTTTCAGGCAATTTTTATAGTTGAGATCGGAACAATTCTTAGGGGCAATTAGTACTGGGCCAAACTTGGTATTTCCGGACGATGTATCCATGACTGTGTAGTTATTCAGAAAGGAAATAGATGTTCATACAGATTCGAGAAAGTCAGAATAGCCTTTGACATTTCCCTGTAACGATGCTGCTGAATAGCGTAGCTCAGAGAGTTACCATGCGATTTCAATGACATACTCTAGTATATACTGACATGCGCCTTGATGAGCAACGGTCTTTCGTTATAGCAATATTTATGTCCCTTTGTTATAGGCATCCTTCAATAATTGAGCATGTTTTTGTAAAATCAATTGATATAAGAATTACAAATTATAACCGTACTTACCTCGAATCAAAAAACAACGCCGTTAAGGAGTAAAAGCTTTTCCCGACGGTTAAAATCAATCATGTCCGCCATAAGACTGGCAACTACATTATAAAATTACCTTATTGATCAAGACAGCGCTGCGTAGCTTTATATTTCAGGTACCAATTGAGATGGGCATTAGAGATAATATAGAATAGCGGTTACAAATATCGAAGCCAGTGAATGATTCTAGAATAAACTTAAGTCGATATGACCATTTCGTCATAAGCTGGTTCCTTATTAAGACGCGCAATTTTCAAATTCTCAAGACAGCTTCAAGTAATTCGGAAAGTGCTTTTTATCGATGCTTGTGATTTGTCTGTGTATTTACCATGCCACTTTGTGTTTTTTTCAATGTGTGTGCTGAATAGGTTTAAAATGAAAACGTCTTAATATGGCAAACACAATAAACAAAATTCTACCAATAGGCATCATTGAGATTTCTTTGAAATTAGCAAAAATAGTTGCATTATTGAATATAATTTTTTTACTTTAATATATTGAGTGCACAAGTTTCGTTTCAGTCACTTGGCTCAAAGTTAGGAATGATCTCGAGTAGGCTAGTGTTCTTAAACGGTCGCTATGCTCGAGGTGCGTGACTTAAAGTCCTATCAAACAAGGAAGTGCCCGGAGAAGATCAACAAGAGAAGATCTGGCCAATATGCGAGGCTCTCTTATAAGTAAACTCTTATAAATCCCGACAACCTACGTGAAATTTCATAATAATTGCCTTTTACTACCACAGATCCATTGGGGCAATTTATATTATTTTCTTACAATTTAATCACTATCGAGCTGGTCTGCGCCGTATGCGTGCTGGTTTTACAAATGCGTAATATAGTGAAGTAACACGACATGTATATACGCCAGTCATAACACGAGTATTACACATCATGCGCTTTTAACTTTCTTAAACGGGGTTACATCTTTAGCGATTTACTGAAGGCAAATTACCCTTAACAACGTATTTTTTATCGTATCGATTAGATTGCTGGAATCTGATTATTTCTTATCAGAACCTTATATAACTTACCTGACGCTTTCTTATATTCATTTATATCCAAGTAATAAGATTATCTGATTCAGTATCTCAAATACATTCGAAGCGTAACAAAGTAAAAGACCAATGGATTTATACGTTAACGCAGGCCAACAGTCCGGTATTAATATTATTATAGTGAAAAATAACATATTAGGAAACGCAAATGTGGTCACAATTAACTCGTGTATTCAATATATAAATCATAGATTCTGTTCATCAATCAGATTTTTAACAAATGAATGCGGCCTAATTACGTTATTTGATAACAATTTACACTGGTGAAAAATATTTTGGTCTATATTTCTCAATCGTATATTAAACTAACTGCAAAAGCTATCTAATTGAACCGAGTGGGACATCCAATATTCTCATTGTTTCTTTTGGTGTCAGCGCGTCATGCAATGACACAAGTAGGCAATACGCCAAACCATTTACGGTACTGACCCGTCGTTGCATTTGAAAGCATACGTCATACAAGGGTCAGCACTGATTACCTAGTTGTTAGCCTTTACTTTTTAATAGGCTTTCATGGGCTTGACAAATGGATTTCATCTCTTAACAAACCATCAATTTACGAAGCGCCAGCGTTTAGTATTTAATTCACATGGCGCGCACACAATACACTAACTGGAAACTTAGTACATTGAAAAATAAAAAGATGTGAGTGTGGCCAATAACACTATTGAGATTATAGCTTGTACAAAAATAGGAATTTCTATATTCCCTTACTGTATTGGTAAAACGGCCCGAGGTCGAAGGCATATCCTTTGATGCGAGGTCAGCTCATAATTTATGGACGAGTCACCTTTTTTATTCACTTCTGGTTGCAATAAACAAATTATCATCGTAGGCAAATGACTACCTGCTGATTCAATTTACGATTAATGATTGAAAATTAAAAATCATTATTAACATGAATAACGACTGGCATGATGATGAGAAGCACAACGTTATTCAAATGTGTTCTAATTTCTTTCCCACGTTTGTTTAGGTTACGACGGGTTTCACTGCGGCTGATGGCTTTAGTAGCCTCTATGTCGGCTGCAGTTGTTATTTGAAACCCTCAAGTAGTTACCTTTTACCTGAACAGAGGTTCCCGAGTATTTTTTAATAACCCTTTACCGTACGAATCTGATGCTGAAGTTTTTTTGGGAGCGGATACCCTGGCAGAGGTTCGCAGAAATGGTTCTATCGACTCGTGCAGGCTCACCGTAATCAAGTATAATATCTAGGCATTATCGCTTATTAGCTGATCGCTTTTATGCATTTTGGGTATCTTAAACCCACATTTTGTAGTAGAGTTCCTATAACATTGAAGGAAATATTAGTCAACCATTAGTTGGCCGTTTGCTAGTGCCTGTCGTCACTGATAAATCTGAATGCGATTAGAATATGCTAGGCTTTGTATATAACTATCTTGGGTTTTCTATATAAAAATACATAGGTTTATTCAAATGCTATGTATGCCATAGTTACTTGTTGGATGCACGTATATGTAGACGTGTGATGTTTACGTTGGTTTAAAGTACTCTGAGTTCAACTGTGCAAAAATCTAAATAGCTATAGGAAAGGCGATAAATAAAGTTACAAACCCTGTCCCTGTCTGGCCCCTCCAGATTGCTATTATCCAACTCTCATCCTGACAGGCTGTTGAAACAACATTAAACAGAGGTACTGAGACCCCTTATTGAATGGACGCTGAGATTCGACCATAAAAAATATTTTATGTTCTACACAATACTGCCGTTTGAGCAGCAACTGATCAGTGATTATTCTGAATTGCCCCCTGGAGGCGATGTGTTGACTGATGGCAAACGCCACCCAGTTTAAGGCAGTGGTAGAAAATATTTCGTCCAATGGATGATACCTATGCTGGACAAGCCGTGCCAGCACTTCCCTTTAGCCGTTCGATTAGATATTATTGCTCGCGACTTTCTAACAACTCTGCAAACCCTACGTCTCATATTCTTAAAATTGTACCGAAAGGCCTAGGTTTGCTAAAGTTTTCTGCGGCTCAAGAATGACTTCGTACTTTGTAGTCATACGTCATTTTCAGAATCTTGTCGTACTTTGCGTATTAACTCCGGCGCCCTGTACCGTCGCTGTCAGAAGGTCGAAAAGCTTTTCAAATCTATCGTGTGGGTAAGCGTCGGCACAGAACTGATGGCAGCTGTATGAACAAAGACACATCGAAGCTCGGCAATCACCCATGTGCGTGCACCCTTTGCGACTTCAAACCGGAATCAATAGCATTAGTACCATCTGCCAGCCACGAATTTATCCACAAGCGAGCTACGGTCGCTGGACACCTATTGAAATACTCCAATAATTCTGATGCCTGACTGCAGTTTTTGTATTAGGAAATCACAATTTTTAAAATTCTTATTTTAACAACAGAGACCTATGTTTAAATACCTTGGAATTTCATCTGAATTTTCATCATGAGAATGAATTCTTCATCTTAGATTGGATAGTCCAGTCTACATGGCGTTTGTATCACATCTGGGTTCTTCAATTATGACTTCGTCGTGATGCAAATAAAACAGGTTTTTAAAAATTCTGCCATCTCTGCTTACGCAACTATTCTACTTACTTGAACTAATCGCCCGGCGATTGACAAAGTTATGTATCGTACAATATAGTAAGCGTATGCAACATATGCGAAACCCACCAGATGGAAAGCTGTTCCCGAGAAGTGAACAGGCCCGAAACGGTTTTTTTCAATTAGGCTTTATAGCTATTAGTGAACTCAAACCCCAAAAAATAGTAAACGCCGCCCATTATAGATACAGACGTTTTAACATAGGTCAGTAACCCCGAGTTCTCTTTCGTATACAGAATGCATGTACATCGTGCTCAGAAGGCGGCTCAACCTTATGGCATGTTGTTCAAAAAATGGCATCATACAGGTTCGCTACTTTTAGAACTCCCGTTGTACGCACTATGGAATTGCATGATCAATTGTTACTTCTCACACTCACACACTTTTCGGTCGTATTGTCTGTGAAGTTTCGCTGTTCGTTCGATATTTGCTAGGTCCAACATCCAACATCTCCAATCGCTCGAGGCTCTAAGCTCTGCTCTGAAATTGGACAGCAAATCCATTTCACGGTCAGCGTTTAGTTTCAGCCATACGCAACTGTAGGCAAATGCGTGAAACAATCCGTCTTATCAATTGAAAAGCTTACGAAAGACGTCGGGGTAAAAGTGTCCTTTTGTATATACCCTGTGGAGGCGTTGCCCATGAACGATTATTGTGAAGACGCTATTCGGATCTTTTGTTACGTGTTTATTCTGCTGTTATCTTTTAGATGCAAGATCAGCTTGCAGAAATGCTTAATCTTCTTTACTACTATTAGTTATTTACGAGTGTATCAGGATCCTGTTATACTATCTAACGATATGTACCTAGTTTGCTCATTGATGAGCATCACTGTCATTTTTTTGATTAAAGAATGCATTCAGTTTTTTCTCTCTATGGAACGCAGGTTAGGCTACTTTCCCTAGTGCAGTATGACCGATCCATATCCTTCTGCTGGACTCTTGGAAAGATTTGGATTCGTTGTAGGATATTCAGTCGAACGATATGCTGCTCTTTCGGAATATTAGGAAAGTACAAGAAAGCATTAGAGAAGTGGAGTAAGAGACTAGTTTAACGATACCAAATGGATTGATTGCTTGATAACGCTGAATTTTTCGGCGTTGCGTTTATCCTTGCAGACGCTCAAAACTTGCAAAGCTTACAAGACAAAATCTAATTATCAGCTGTACTCGATAAGCTGTTATTAAATACAGTATTCGTGTACCATTATTTGGATAGGCGGCATCATACATGCGATCTTCTTCGAAGCAGCTCACGTGCCAAAAACCCCGGCTTTATATTTCAACTCGAAATATGCCTATGTCATTAAAGTGGATTTTTAAGGCACATTAAAGCCCGATCATATCTAAGTATATATATATATATATATAAATGTTTGCATTTAGTTTAGGATAAAACATATTTTTACATGAGACTCTTTTGTTTACCTCATTGCAGTTTATCCGCGCCATATTTAATTGCGATGTAAACACTACTAAAGGAGGATTTGTGATTTTAATGTAAAGTGACTTTTTGTAGAACGTTAACTTCTTTTCGAAATAAAAATTTTAGATTGTCTAAGACAAACACCATTATTAATAGCAAGCGAGCAATGTTAGTAACGGTCAATTACGTTATATTGATTAAACTCACAAATTTGACATCGGTCACTTCTGTTCTCCTTTTGAATATTATATATCATCCTAGGATACCGTAACAGAACCATGTTCAAAGCAGTGACTAAGAACTATCGGCACAGATGCTTATAATTCCCAGACCGGTCGGGGACGCACCGCGTTTTAATCACCTACTTGGTCAAAACGTATTTGACAACTATTGTCTACTACATGAATGCAATATATTGTTGGTTTTTCTATCAAACAGGTCTGAGCCTGATCCGAGCGACGTTTCCGTCGTTAAGGGAGGTAACGAGGCGTGAAATATTGTCCTTGCGGTCAAGTTGAAGAGATTCTAAAAGAAGAGCTCGAATCACATTGGAATTATTCGTCCTTAAGCTTCTTTATGTACTCGGGTAGGTTTTGATGATCATATATCTAAAAAAACATATCTTACGTAGTAGTGAAATTTTCTTGAAATAAGTTATACTAGAATCTGCGGAAGCAAGCGGGCCACTAGCTACAGTGTAATGCGAATTACACACATTTTTTAGTCTAAAAAAGCTGTATTCTAAGAACTTTATTTTGAAATGATGTTTTAATAACATATTACTGCAATTTTTAATTAATAGCATGTCGTTCACAATACGGATAGGATCGATATCCTAAGGAGAGTTACTAAAGGTCCGATGTATAGGATGTAGGTCTATCAAGATTATACAACCTTTCGATCAGCTGCATGACGTTTATGCAAGTAACAAAATTCTTGTCTAGAATACGGCGTTTACGTGTGGCCACTGTACGAGCTAACCAAGATTCAGAGTGTGACTTCTATTGACATATAAACGACATTTCCGCGCTTATATGGAGGTGCCCGTTCGCGTCAAAATGTTATTGCAAGTAAGATAAAAACAAACATGCATGACGAAAAACTTGATAAAAATAGTCCTCCTTGATTTTGTATAAAGCATTTTAATAATAAAGACGATCACTTAAACTACTCATTTATTCACACATTTTCTTGATGGTGGTAATAATAAGGACTTTTTAACTATCCACTTACGTAAATTGGTGCAGTCTGCTAAAATGATCCTAACTATATTGCTATCGCCTTATCGGCTAAAAGGTCGAAATATCACACTGGAAAAAAAACGGCGCACCGAACTTCACCCCTAATGTAACAGCCACCTGTGACAAATAGAGTTATTTCACTCACATAGGGTCTTGCTTTATCTACGTCTCCGTTGTACTTGCGACAGCATTTACAGTATAATTTACTTGAATTTTGCTGGATTACTAAAATACACTGAGCGGGTGAAATATATTGCAACAATCGAACAAGTTTACCTGTAATTGAATATGTCTCGAGTTACTATACGTTTGTTCTTCTTTTTGGCTGAAAAAAATACGTACGGTTTACGTCACTTATAGAGTTCATCTCACACACCTCACTTAAATCAGGAACTCTTTGGTGTGGACCAGGAGATCGGGCCGCTAATTATTCTGAGCTCGGGTCAGCCAAAGAAACTGATCGCTGTTGCCGAAATCATGACCGTGAACATTAAGAAAGACTCAGTCAGACTAGATCGGTACAAAAAACTTGTGCTTTATCGAAACATTCTTAGTTACATGTGTTCTAGTTACTTATCGAGTGACGGCCAATAGAACCTCTAATCAACCCCATCATGACTTTGGTCCCTTGAAAATCTACGGTCGACAGTCGAGGTTCGGCCTCCAGCCCGGCTTCCTCAAGGTGAGCCCGTACAAATTCGTATGATGGGGTCGATTGGAGGTTCTATTGGTCATCACTCAATAAGTAACTAGAGCACATGTAACTAAGAATGTTTCGATAAAGCACAAGTTTTTTGTACCGATCTAGTCTGACTGAGTCTTTCTTAATGTTCACAACAGTACAGGTGCAAATCAACAGCACCGCTTAGTAGTAACACCGAACGTAAAATACGAAACAATCAACAGTCAATTATAAGAACGAGTTTATTTCCTGAACTTTTTAAATGAATGGAAGAACATTGAAAACCCTGCCATTATGCTAGTAGCTATTTTATTAAATGAAGACACGATCAGATTTGATCAAGTCATGCGACCGTAATTGTTGACATAAGCTGATATATAAGCGTTCACTCATTGTCTGACCCGACAGGACGCATAAGAATTTTAGCGATAAATCTGCATCAAAATTTCTCTAATATGCCATATTGGTATTTCGAATTCGTTTCTGGAACAACTCTAACAAAAATAACATGCATCTTTGTGTTTTAAAGGCCGCCATGTGAGGCTATATTTGAACAGTGCCTGAAACAGGCTGAAATAACGGAAACACAGGCTGCTAGCGTCAGGTATAGAACATTTTGTATTTCTTTTCAAAATTGACTAAATCATATATGACGAACTGAAGAGGAGAAACAGAAAGTGTGGATCCTAATATTTAAATATGACTATTCCTTGATACCTAATGATATGCATACCTTATTTAACAACGACTTCGTGTTGAACCTACCTTCATTGATTGCGTCAAAGTGTTTTTAGTCAAAGTCGAACTTATGGTATCGCGAGACACAAGGAAGTCTTTAGTTTCTACTGTTTTTGTTAGGGGGACGTAGATTCACAGCAACTGCTTGGTCCATGCAATATCAATAGTGAACGATAAGTTGTATGGAAGCTTTTAGCTGTGGTTTAGCCTTGTCAAAGGAGTTCCAAGAATCAACATGAATGACTAGTACGATGCATAATTAGTAACGCACAACGGGGCAATACGTAATTGCATACGAAACATAATTAACAGGTATAATAGACTGTTAGTATACCTGTGATTATCCGTAGCCCCATGCATATGACTCCTAGTAAAACAAACGATATTTAAATTTGGAAAGCCATTTCTAACGAAATCGGCTCAGTTCTAGATGTTGTTCTTTACGTAAAGAGCAATTGCGTGAAATGCCAGGATGGCTCGAGCTTATATCTCTGTAACACATGTTAGTATTATCTGATGCTTAGTCTGCTTTGAGCATATTTTTAGCGTAGACAACGTGGCCGCTAACTAATCGGCCATCGCTTTGTTCGCAGTTGTCGATACCGATGGAGATTACGTGGTCACGCCGGATATTTCGATACGAATTTCCTTAAAAGACACATTAAAACTTTAATCTAAATCTAGGAAAGCTAACACAGTAGATAGATCACAGTTTAACATGAGTAAAAAACTGTGTAAAGTTCATAAATCTAACAGAGTTTGTGGTACTTGTTAGAGCTCTTCAAGTTTTCCGCATGAAAATGCTTTTCCCAGTATAGCAGAAGACACGTTTACCTTGCGAACCCCTAATCAAAATCTGAATGTGTACATAAGGGCATTTTTTTGTTCGAATCACTCCTTGCTCTCTATTCTCTAAATTATTTTCAAATTTTCAGGTATTATTATTTTAATGTGTACAGTGCAAAATGCCTTTTGGAGAAAAATGAAGCGGGAAAATTTACACTTGAAGACTATACGGCAATCAGTAAAGACCTCGTCGGTGGTTTATTCTCAATCAGCATTCTTAACCGTAGCTATACCAGGGACATAAGATGAGCATATCATCATACACTTATACAAACTTAAGTCATGTGTAGTTAAACAATGCGAACTCCATGAATAAAATTCGTACTGAATGGTGATGAGGGCATGAAAAATGCCACGAACTATATATATATATACATACGGTTTGACAAAATTGGTAAGCTTTTCGCTCTAGTTTCCAGATAAATATTCTCTATGCTTTTTCGTCGAACTTACCTAACGGAGGTCTACTATGCGGCAGTAACATTAATGTTGCAGTGGTAAGTGATATTTACAAGCGAAAACATGGAGCTCCATTAGGTGGTCTGACTGTTTTGCTCTCTTTGGAATGAAAATTTGATTGTGTCTGGGTTCTGATGCCATGGCAAAAATTAAATTATGCTTACGGTAGCCAAGAAATTAGCGCAGGTCCGTGCATCAGTATTGAAAGAGGTGGTGCGAATCGATAGATCCTCAGACGGTAAACGCAGTCGATGACTGAGTTAGTTCCCGCACAATTCATAAAGTTGTATAGGGTGGACTAGAAGACTAGCACAACCTATTCCTAATCTATATTAATTGGTCCCATACATGCAACAAACAAAACGCTAAAGAAAAAATTTGTTTTTTTAGAAACCGCTACGGTTTTTTGAAAATCCTCTACACATAATACAAACTACAGACGGCTCTTTGGGATTAATGAGAACGGGCATGGATGGGAAACTTCCGAATGTGTTAGTTACAGGCAAAATAATATGTTGTTGCATATAGTAGTGCAAGCTATAGTAATGATAGCGATTGATAAGATGCGCTGATGGTCTTTTTAAGCGCGCTTTTAACAAAGAGCAATGTCGATTTTTGTATATATATACATATATATATATGTATATAAATCCGCTTACAGGAATATCAAGTTCTTTGTGCCTAATAGTTTCTTACTTAAGGTTTGTATTTCATATGTCGATTTTTTAAAAGCTTTAGACGCGTTTTTTCGTTTTTTTCTATTGGAGTTTTTTTTTAGTACCATGGTTGTTTCTATTATAGCGTAGCAAAAGTCGCCGCAATGTACTGTTCCATCGTAAGTCGCGCACCCGACAAAGGGAAAGGCATGCTGATACAGCCTTTGATAAAAAACACTTGAATCTTTTAACAATGGGATTTTTCAAATATTGGCCTTGGGTATTTGTAAATAAACGGATTTTCACTCGCTACCAAAATAGGCCTTTGGTAATTTATAACTGGATACACGTTTGTAAAAGGGTAATAAGGCTTCGTTTCGTTCCTTGTATTTTTAGCGATATTAGCCAACGAGTTAGAAATCCTACAGAAGAAAAATCGATTTTCTAGGCCTTAGTATAGTAGCTCTGTTATATGCTGGGTCTAGCTGTCTGAAGCAATGTTTAGCAGCAGTACAGGAGGTAAAAGCTTGACACTTTCACCAAATAACACAAACAATTTAATTTAGTCTGTGTTGCCTGGCGCCGTTTTGAGTAATTATCAACCAAAGGTCAATAGACTTTTTTTGAAAAAAAGAATAACATTTACCTGCCTCCACGCTTAGCTATATTATTTACTTGCTTGGTAAAATCAACGATTATCTAGTAACCTAAAATGCGTCAAACGTTCTATAGAATGTTTTATATATTCTATCTGCACCTGACGCCTTAGAACTATGTGAGACGGAAAACAAACTTTTTAACAAGATGTTTACATACATTCAACATAGCTTACATACGTTTCTTATTGACGTACGAAAACTGACGGCTTTTATTGAAGTCTTGACATGGGTTCGGTGTTCAGAGGCAAATATCACCAACATTTTGGCTAGATTGTACGTTACTAAATTTCATATTCCAACATCGAGCGATATTTACCTGAATCTAGTGTAAATTTGTCATGACAGATTCGCAGGTATTTATCGATTTTGTTAGCTTTCAATGTTAATCCGTGCCGTTAGCTGAATTTGTTTGAGGTGACTTAGGTTTCTGTAGGATGCTTTGTACGCAATCTATCACATTTTTCAGAAGGCGAAGACGACAAACAGCAAGGTTATTTCTGGGCCAAGAATATTGACTTTATATCGTCGCAAATAAATGCATTTCTTATCCTTATCCTAAGGTTCGTTATCAAATGTTATCGCACTATCAAACATATATATATATATATATGTACATATACAAATTTAGAAATTGTTATATATTACATATATTTACAATGAGAATATGTCAGATCCCTAAAACGGTGATTAAAAATACTATGAGAGGGCATAATGAGATAGCACTGGCATCCCTTTGTGTACTGATTTGCTTGGAAATACTTAAGGGCTGGAGTACCTAATGTGTAACGCCGGATCTTAACTTTACCAGTATTTATTCGGTCTGAATATAATTACCTGTTTAAAAAAACGCCTGATGTTTCGAATACTTAGCGAATGACGTGTAGAAAAGCAGCCTAATAATTAATAATGGCTTCATTCCCGTTAACCGTTTCCCCTTCTCCAGAACTGAATGCCAGTCGTCGTAAGCACCCGTAAGGCAAACCGCGCCACCAATGGACAAAAATTATATAAGCTTAACGGCTGCATCGACTTTTTTTTTGCTTTATTGGGACTCTGTTCGCTTCGATTGTGGTGGTCTGTGCGTTAGGGGGCAGGATCCTCTGAAATGAACAACCCTTAGATTCAGTCATATGTTGTTATTTATGAAAATATTCAGTGACTTTAAGTAAATCACTAAATGTAAATGTTTATCACAAAAATAGAAAAAAAACACGTGACACTCATAAGTGCAAGTGTTTTTTCACGTAGGATCCGATATTAGGAACTAAAGAATGGCTCGTAAGCGAAGAAAGATTCGTAGTATATATAAATACACAGTGACGATATACAGTGACGAACGACGCAAAATTAAAGTACGTGCGCAGCTCGTTTGAATAGCAACCGTACTTTTCGACCAGAGTTTTTAAACTATTGCACAATGTACGGACAAACAACACTTACCGGGTGCCTGTTAGGACATCACAACTAACCTTGAGTCGTACAAAAATCCACGTAAATTAGACTATATATTACGTTAGAATATAATGAGATATATAAATCTGTACATAAGAGCTGCGTATTTTCGATTAAATATAGGCGTTTAATGCGCACTCACTTCCAGTAGTTCCCTCGGGAATATTTGGGCAATTTTGTGAGAATCCATGTTGCTAGAATAACTTATCCTGCTGTCCATAAGGCCTAGCCCTAAGCGTAGAGATCGTCTTCAGAATAGGAAAACTATCCGCGCATAGAAGGTTATCATTAAAATATCTCTTAACAGATCTAGCAGTTTTGAGATGACTTCACGATTTCAATACAGTCGGTGTTTGCTCCTGCTGACCAAATAAAAGTTATCATTAGCTGCTATATCAAAATGAAAAAAAAAGTATCAAAATGCTGATCCGGAGAAAATCAGCGTTTTATTCATTCAGCGACAAGCGCGAGCATCACAGGGACAGTGTTTTTACAAACAAGAACAGCGATATTTAATATACATTTTTTGGGGGCCAATCGAAATATAGAATCAAAGGGTTAATTGAAAGTAAAATTTCCAAGCCGCTAATGTTCAGTATATGTACATTCGTATTGTTAATTTTCTTAATTTCGAATCGCTGAAATTATCGTCATCGCATAGATTTGAGGGTTAGTATTTACAAAATTAAATGTCTACATCAATTCAACATCAGTGTAACAAATTAAAACATCCGCAAAGGATGACATCATGCCATTATTGACTCTGAGCATCGGTGAATCTCAGCATTTTTCAAGAACACCTAATCGTTTTCTTATTGCATGTAAGTAAGAGTGTCAATGGTGCGAAAAAAATCCAGACTTTTGCTCCCGGTGAGGAAATGATCGGACACGATTCAACAAAGGCAGCCAAGTTTTTGAAATACTCTTATTCAGATGCAGCTTTATGCCCGGTGGAATACCATTAGCCTTGGGTAGGTAAACTTCCTGTTTACCTACCCAAGGCTAATGGTATTTCTCCTAAGGCTGTTAAAGCCTATATTAAAAAAAAAAAGTCATTCAGATTATATAGAGTTTCTACGATGTCGCTTGTATATAAGAAAAGTATATAGTAAAGAAGTCAGAGTTATAAGCAAATAAGAGGCTTGAGAAAATATTAGATGGTTATTATTCGGCGCGCTCAGTCCTGTAGCCGTTTGATAGGGCACTATTTGAAGAGGGACAATCAACAGGGTTTCTCGGAAAAACGGTCCTCGACTACCCAGTTGGCTAGAGCGGCTCGCGAGTGGGGTTCACATATAAGTAACAGGTCAGCGTTTCGTCGCATAGACTTAAACTTGCTGTAGCTTGATGTCATGTTCTTCAAAATAGTATCGCATAAACCGTCTACCGGAGGCTTAAAGATTTACATGTACTTAGAAAATCAATATGACGTGAAGAAATTACGAAAAGCTGTTGATAGTATTATAGAACAGTGCATGACGTAAGAACAGGTTGAAATTCTAGTCTTAAAGTGAGTAATTTTGTGGCCCACTAGCTTTAAGTATATACTGAATGGCGCAACGGTCTTTTCGAAGAAATCTTTTCATGATTTTGATATGGCGGTTAGATTTCATTGTTTACATAATATAGCGATTGGAAAATATGTAACTTAATTTATTTTTTTTTCGATGTTTTGTAATAAAGAGAGTTAAATTCTGTATCTAAAACTTAGTCAACATCTAGTTACGCGTTTTGTATTGTTGTGACGTCCTACTCAACTAAAAACATCGAAGCATTTATAAAGTTAGGATCACCTTTTTTGAAGCCAGTATTATTACAAAGGTAAAATATAATCATAGCATAGATATTTTTAAATCTTTTCTATCTATTAAAATGCATCACGAGTCGCATAAACTAAAACTGGTGTTCCATTTTTTTTAAATGCTTGTAATGTAAAATTGCCTGAGGTTAAAAAAATAAGACGGATTCTCGCTCTCATTAGTATATTTGCGTCACACGTGCTACGTTTATTGATGTAGTCGTAAGGGTTTCCCACCATTTTATTAAACATTTGCCCTTTAAAACAGGTGTATTTTATTCGAAGAAATTGAATAGGGTTAAATTTCACTCCTGCAGCATCTGTAGTAGTTCTAAAATGTACATATTTGGCTTTTATTGAATTGAAATATATATGAGTTCTATGTACCTACCGCTTTTTGATAGCAAAAGTCTTTTAATTCGATCTACATATTACTCGTCATGTACCTGTTATTCGAGGGACCTCTTCCGTTTTCCTGGCTCACATCTTATCGATCGTAGTCCAGGAAATCGTTGCACAATTTTCCTGTTATAAACTCGTATGACGAATGAAGAAACAAACTAAACTATTGTGCCATAACTACTCATTTAACGATAAGGTCTAGGACTAGACTAACACACAAGTAGATGCCGAATATTTTAAATGATACGTTTGTTATAGAATAAAGAGTCTACACGAAGTCAACATACGCAAGAACAATCAACTCCTTGCTAAACAAACTAGGACTATTTCCTTTATTTCGACGATTTACTGATGAATCCCGAAAGATGATAATACTATATCCTTCATAAAAATACGACAATCTGTTTTTTAATGCGGTTTTCAATTTTAAACACCCGATTATAGACGCTCTCCAGACTTACTTTTTGCAAGCAAGGGTGACTGAGACGACATGTGGTGATCACTAATGCCTCGACGACGGCCAAAATGTCAGTTTCATCAACGTCCACGCTCGTTTCTGCAGTTATTTCAATTTTCTGCGGGCTCGTTAGTACGGACGCAATGTTTTCGTCGCAATCCGACGACGAGATCTGATCAAAAGGGGAAGATCGTATGTATTTCGTGCAAATAAAATTGAAAACCTGTTTTACTGTTGGGTTAGATGAACAGCAAATAATCACTTCTCGCCGGAGACTTCTGTGTCCGTAATCGAGTCACGGCCCTTGTTTGACCCGGGCTGCCGGCCACAGACATACGTACCAAGCTTGTCTAGCAAATCTGTAAATATAAGACCGCATCGGTTCGTATGTGTCCTGAGAGTGAAACTAGAGACCATATAGTTTCGAAAATCCAGCGTCTGAAGCCATTTCAGTATACATAATTCAATAGTACAATGCACTTTCATAAACGAGAGTTTTGCGGCAACATAATAATTTCTATGAAATGGATACATGTATAAATAATATAGCTTATGTACTGCTTACTGCATGCTGTATACAACACCAGCACAGTCGCGATACCAAAGAAATGAAATTTTAGCCAAAATCTCACATTCTTCTATATAAGAATTAACTTTAATTTTTAATTTTAGAGTTTGCCTTTAATAATTCATGATGACTAAATGTTTCATAGCAAGTAGGAATTATAATTACGCCTCGATATATTCACTAGTAGGAAACCATTTTAAAAAAATTGAATTTCGTATATGAAATAATACTTTGTGCAGAACTCTATTTCGAATAACCTAATAACGAAACTACAACAAAATAGAAATGTTTTTTTTTTTTTTTATATTATATAAGCACGCGTTTCATGAGAAAATAATAGCGGCATTCAGTGAAATACAAAAAAAAACAGAAGATATAAATCGAGGTTTATTAAATGTCATGTATGTTTAATCACCTCGAGCGGAGCGTTGTATGGTTCGGCTTTTTCCTTCAAGTTGTTAAGGCGTTCTTGAAACGAAAGTCGGTTTATTGTGCACCTCGGAAGCTGTAATTCAGGACACTTTTTGGCACGAATTTCGGAAGGTGTCCCTGTTAAAAGTGGGAACGGCGTGGGAGGCCGTTGGTGAACTTTTAGCATAGTCGAAGCCTTGTCGTCTGATAAAAGTGATGATTCCCGCACATTTGTCCATTTTGCCCGACACATCTTTTCAAACTCTTCAACCCCCTATATGTAAAGACAAATTTATATTCGCATATTACGAAATATGCCGTATAGGCGTACTATTTTGAGATGGCTATAATATAAAATCGTCACATTGAAAGCTTAAACAAATTTCGACGCCATATCCTCGGCAAATTGCGGAATTATGCACAAATATCCTATATGGGCTTTACTGAATGCAGGTTACCTTCAACGACGAATCGGGCATAGCGCTGTTCCTTGTTACCACAGCTGATGGACGCGTTGTTGTGGGCGTCACTTGTACAATATTAGGAAAACCGTACTGACAGATCTGTTTCCCAGAGGCCAACGGAGGAGGCGATTCGATCATTGAAAATGCAGGTCCGTTTTCTATGGCCATTAGCAGGCCAGGTGTGAAATTGTTCACGGTGTTGACGGACCCACCGACGTTGAATGGCGTTTGTTGCTGTTGGCGGTAATGCCAATACTTTGCCGGGATTCTCTCTTCTTCTTCGGCGCTGGACACGTCGTGCTGTTGCGATTATAGTATACTAATGAAACATAGATATAGCAATGTTCCTTCCTAGATGTAGTATATATACACATGGGATGTGTTCATATACTACTATAGATACATCAGACGAATTGGATAAAGTACTAATACAGATTGTTTTTGCCAACCAAAATGGTGTTAGCTTTGGCACCGCCCATTTTTTTCAAAAACAAAAATATTCTCGGCGGTAGATTTACCCAAATAATTATCTTAAATGAGATGGAGCATTAATAAACAATTCATTCCTTGCCCACCTTAAGCGGATAATTAGCTTGCCTTATAGAGTGTATTTACGATTGTGCTTTTACCGCACCTGCCGTAGATAACGACTGCAGCAAAATATTAGATCCTATGTCGTACCAGGGGTATCTCGGGAGCTTCTACTCGATCGGCCGCTGCATTATCCATGATTTTTATTTTTCGCGGAGCTACTGGATCGTTTGTACTGGTCCACCAGGGAGTGGTCCCCCGCACGCATAAGTTGTACAACGGCAACCGTAAAACACTACCTTTGATATTCTCCTTCCTTTGTCTGCGTGTAACTTTTTTAGCAGTTGGCCTGTGTGATTTATGTGTCCTAACCAATCTATAAACGATAACACGGCAAGTACGAACGAAACAGAAAATTTAATAGCAACGCTATGCTGATCATATGAAAAACTTGTAGGTGTATAAAAAAGGCAAAATTTTCAAACCTACAGAAAAAAAATTGCTCCATCGGATCCCCGATTCCTTGGATAATACTTATTGAAGTTTTCTACTGTATCGGATATGTTTTTCATAATAATTTTGCTTGTGGTCACAGAGAATCCGATGACCTATGAGTTAACTGGGAAGCATGCATAATGATCTCAGAAAATAAAGTCTTAGCAACTTGTAGAATCAACTTACGTTGCCGATTGGCCCTTGTTATCTTGAATTGCAACTTTCCCCATAATCGCGCTCGGATCCGGAAACAAGTACTTTCACAAAAAACACTCACAGCGCAACGATATAGCAATAGCTTGCTTGTCAAGTTTCAGGTTTTCCACCTGCGATCTACCATAGACGACCTACAATCACCTTGAGGAAAACGGACCAATCTCGCTGAACCTGTGAGAAAACGAATCACACAGACTTTCTCTTAGCGTTTGCGATGTGCGTCCAGTGCAACTTAGTGTCTACCGTGCACTACGCACGCGGGATTGCCGGTAAATAGGTGGTGCAGTAGTAACGTGTTTGTTTACGAAACTTATAGGGATATGTCAGGTGATTCAAAACGGCGCACACACACCTCGTTTCGTGATAGAAGGACTTGGTCGTCTAAAACAGCAATGGTCAACTAACGGACATACATGGCAAAATCGACAATATGTATATACATATTTGTGGTCTTATCGCAAGCCCTTCACAGGGTCAGAGTAGAAAGTTCATAATCTTCAATCCATATATATACAATAACGGTAAGAAGAATAATAACTATACGGAGAAACGTTCTTTAAAAGCTCGTTAATTTATCTTACATATGAAACATACAGTTAAATTTAATAACTGTTTTCAATGACACAACCTACCCATGGTCTCTAGCTTCGTTAAAGTTAAACAATCTTACACGTTTTGAAATACGTCTAATAAAGGGCAAGCCCAATGTTTTCCTTGTTATTCAAAAACATGATATTACATGCTCCATTTCAAGTTACGGTTGTTGAAACGACAGAACAAAAACAAATAAACTTTTCGCCATAGTTAAAATACGGATTGGTTCTGTCTTGAACATCAAATAGGGCTATCTGTATGCTGACAAATTTGTCGGCTACAGGCAAACATTCAGTTATGCCTAGCACGCCTCCAGCGCAACTGTTTCACAACATTGGGTGAATCTACTATATTTTGCCATTATTTCGCGCCTGAAACAGTCATTTTCGGCCACTCTGGTCCCTCTCTGTACGTGTAGAACTTCGCCCGACATATAGAATTCGCTCATTCTGCTCGATCAACAGCTCAAACGACTACTAGTGCATCATCGGAGGGGATCGCCGCCACCGATTCGCCCTGTGTAAATAGACCTTCTAACCCAGATGCCGAAATCAGCACATCAAATAGTCCCTCGAACCCATAGGTTCGGACACAACAAATGGAAACTTCAAAGGGACTATATCTGATAGTTCCCACAAGTCAGACGAGTGCTGCGAGAACCGTCCGCATTTCAGGTCAGCCTACCACAGATCTCGGACGTGATTCATCAGGACGTAGTTTGTTCCCACGTGATCATTTTAGTGATGGTCTATGTTGACCTGCCTTCAAAGGCGATAGGTTTCTTTCACATCGCCCCTTCTAGATTCCGTTGTCGATAAGTGAAATAGTTAGTAAGAGCTTTTAAAACATGAAAAGAGAGCTACGGCGGTTCCCTAATATTTTCGTAAGCAAAGGGGCTCTAACTTAATTTGCATGCTGTAGCGTTCTTTAATTGTGTTCAAGTTGCTGAATGATAAGTTTTAATTATTCTATATTTATTTTACAATTAACATGGCATGTTCTTGTTAGAAAAACGGTTAGGATGACAGTGCTTTCCACAATTGTGGTGGCGTTCATTAGTGACTGACGGTACACGCAAGTGCGAGCAGATTCACATGGCTTTGGTTGAAGAATGTCCTTTTTTGTAGAGGAAAAATCCTTAAATAATTAATCTCATTAGCTGTGTATGGTAAGGAAAGTTTAATAATGCATTGTTAATAAACTGAGGTTAGCGCATTGTTTTTACACATTTAGTGGATTTAAGCGAATATCCTATTAAATCGGCGCAGCCTTGTATACATCGAGTTTCCGGATACCTTGCTTCAAGATGCCCTTTGGTGATATACACGACATACTACGTTGGCCAGGATAAAAAAAAAAACGTAGTAAAAACCACTAGAACTGATGTGGCCAGCTTAAGCTCGGACCTTTTGGACCCTTCCTATCCTAGAATGGCATAGACATAGCATTGCGCTATTCGCGTCAAAATAATTTTACATCAAAGGTCGAGGAAGAAATATTTCGCATAAACAGAATTTTGGATATGGTAACGTTTATTTGAAACGTAGTTCACAACCTTAAATATCTGACGATAATCTCAGTTTGAACTGGAGAATTGTCAAAATCAAAAGAGTAACTTCGAAAAAGAGGACATCGATCTTTGATGCCTGTGCATATTATTTAAATTAACACGAAATAATTTTGAAATGGCTTCTGCAGTCGTTGTAATAGGTATTCCTTTTGTTTAAGAAACCCTACTAGATATAGCCAGGCCTTAACAGAAAATTTGCGAACCCATAACAAAGACAAATGACGATTCCAATTACTGCACTGTTTGCATTTGATAGTGGCTGACTATATTTGTATATATTTTAGTTCAGCTCTAATTAGCCCCGTGTGCGTATAGAATTGCTATGGGCCAATTGGACAACATGGACTAATTAAAATTTGTGTTTTGTGATCATCTATCCCTAAGCTTAAGGAAAGCAGGGGCCATTTATAGCATACGGTATCTGTATTTGGTTTTATATTCGTTAAGATTGGTCTCAAGCCAAATTACATACATACAAAGTACGTTTTACATAACTGTACGATGATGCAATGAAGTAGGTACGGTTTTTTAGGGTGAGCTCGGTTGGGAACTGTGCTGCATGAAATGTTTACAATAATAATGCCAGGTGTCTTAATGAGCATAGTAGCCATTCAGTGTTTCAGTGGCATCGCTTGAGAATACCGCCATTGCAATGACGAGTTCTTGTGCCTCTAAGCGTTCGACGCCCTGTCAATCCGCGTTACGTGTTAAAGAATCAACGAGTTGAATTTTTTTGATACTTCTGTACGCATGCTTGCTAACCGCTATTTTTATAACGCTATTCATTGTTTCATCTTTAAATAGTGCTCCATAATGGGCCACGATGTTTTTGTCCGAGACCTACAGGCGTCTTCTTCTTTTGATTGCCTGAAACAAATCGTTTCTTCTATGAACGTTATTTTAGCACAAAAGCAATCGTCATCAATTAAACTATCGCATACGTCCCCTAGAGTCAGTAGTTTGTACCAGATATATAGTTATAACCAGATCCAAAATAACTGGATAGCTTGTAGTGTCTGTACAGCTACACGGTAGCCACCGACGGTAAAACGCTTAATGGTATTTTTTACAAAATGGCCTGAACTTTGCTAATGCACCTGACTCGAGGTCACAATCACGCTCTTGATGGAACTATCAGTGTTTCTCTTAAACTGAAGCGCCGAATGCCTTCATTGCGTTTCTATCTGCGATTCACAGGGCACCCAAATGTATGGTGATGATGTCATAAATAGTCTGATGTTGTACTATCTTTACAATAGTAAAACTAATTATTAATGTAATTAACTTTACTTTGTTTTTTGTGTGGTCCTGTTAACGGGTTACCCACTGACGCGAACGAGAATCGGCTATGCCTTCATGTGTTCGAGGTTATCCACTACAATGCCATATAAACACACGTTGAGTTATTTTACAAAAACATGTTGTATTCAGTTAGAATTCAACTTATGGATTTTATATTTAAGTCATGTAAAACCTAATGTAAAAAAAAATTAATGTAAAACTAAGCCAATGGGTACAAGTCTGTTTTTGGTAAAATAGGACAATCAAATAAAGGTCGAGCACGTCAGATAGGTTCCTAGGCGAAGAAATGTTTCAAAATTGAACGTGTGTGGTGGCATTTGGAAGAGTGTTATAAACATAAAATTGAGGATCTAGCTGAATCTTTGAAGAGAGAAGATCGCATCTTTCACTTACAGTCACTTGAGAAACTGCTCTATAATTGTCGATGAAAGAATGTAATCAAATCTTTTGGATTCAGTTTTACCTAAGTTTGCAGCTAGCAATAACCTTGGTAAAATTGTCACTAGCAGCCATGTTATTTGGGCCAGCGTACATCTGCCTCGGCAGGTTATAGGAGGACACTAGTTAGCTAAATATAGACGCCCACGAAGTACCTTGACGATTTTCTAGCCTTCATCGCATCTTCGATTCAATTTCCACATGTTGATCGAGCCATTCTGGCTTATACTGTCAGACGTTTATTCGTGTAGAAATTCTGTCCAAAAACAAGCAAGATTTGTCATCAGCTCCTTGTAACGGTGTGTACCAGCTCATGAGATCCAAGTGTGTACTTACGGCCCTACAGGTAGCTTTCATACAGTTCAGAGTTATCGCGCGAACGAGCGTGGGTGATCTTCCGATTTCCTACGACGCAACACAAATGGCAATCATAAAGCATACTCTCCTTTTTTTGCCGTGATCGTTATTTTTGCTTTTATGGTTGTAACTATGGGTTATTTTTCTAGGCGTAAACACTAAGTAATGTGGTCTCGGATCTAGTGCGGTTATGTTAACAAAATATAACCCTACTGAGTAGACTGTGTCACAGCTTGAGCTACAGCTAGCTAGCAATTTTAGGCGTTTAATTATGCGGGCTCGTTTTTATGTGGTACGGAGCGCGTCCTATGGACCTTGTTTCAACGGCAGTGGAAACCATGCTGGTTTGATTATACTTCAGTAGCTTTAGACTATAGGATATAATATTACGGTTGTTGCAGATGCATATTTGGACTGTAGAAATTAAAATGATGGTATTCGCGGATTGTTAATAAGTTGCAATGAAAAAAAAAACTGTAAAATGTAACTTATTAAGAACTAGAGAGAGACGCTACCACGAAAAACGGACCAGAAAGGAAGAAAGGGAAATAGTCCTTTAAGTGCTATAGCAGGGAGATGACCGCGGGTCTATTACGTCTAAAGTTTACGTATAATAATATATTAGCTTTTGTTAGCCAAAGTTTCCAAAGCTGAAACTTACCAAAACATCGAACTTAATTGTATGAATAAGGACCAAGTATATTACTTTGCATACCTTCCTCGGTTATTGGCATATACAATTTAATTATATTTATGTATTATGTATTAATTAACTGTAGCAATTTGCCAGCTACCAGCAGTATGCCACACTGGCTCAATACGCCAGCAATCACATTACCAGTAATCTGCCTCCTACTACTACCAGTCCCTCGGAGGTGTTTCGATGCTTGAAATCTTGTGCCTTTTCCTCCGTTCTCCTTGCTTTACTCAGTACGCGGTACCCCGATCCGCGCTTTAGCTTCATCCTGTATACTGCACGTGACAAACGCATTAAGGCGGCTTTGTCTAGCAGCGCGAACCACAAGCGCGATATTTTATCAGAAAGTAATCGTAAAAAAAATTAAATTTCATTAATTACATTTACTATTAATATTTCTTAAAAATTAAAAACAAAGAACTAAAAAGCTAGCATTAGACACGTTTTGTGCGTATTTTAACCATGCCATTGAGTCAGGTTCCATAGTTCTACGCAGATGCGATCAGACGGAAGAGCCAATGAACCATCATGCATCAAGTCTCTTAAACTTTCTAATTATATCTGAAAAACGCATCGGGATATGTATCCAGAACTTTACGAACGTTTTCTATTGGAATTCAACAGATAAACTGATGTCCATCATTATTGAATTTTTGTAACGTCACTTTAATCATGCATAATTTTCATCTTCATGTATACCATTTTCGAACTCTTTTTTTTCTAAAAATGTCTGCGATAGCTCACAAATAGGTAATAATTATATAGGAATTTAATAACATGTTTAACTTAGTATTATTTACTTTGCTTAGTGAAGCGTAAAAATGAAGATTATAAATACTAATAAATAATTAAAAGGTGTTGCCTAACTTTCGCGGTAGAATAAGTATGATGAAAAACTGCCATTAACCAACCCATATAAAGACTTATAATTCTTTCTCCTGTAACGCTACATTCGTCAACTTGCTAGGGTAAAGCGTTTAAAGATGCTGGTACGATAGCAGACTTGAAAGAGGGCATATGTAGAGAACCGAATAAAAAGACTAAAAAAAAATAGAACCATATTTGCTACGGAACAGGGAAAAGAGATTAATAAAGCATATTCTTTTTAAATATTCAGATTTTTTTTTATTTAATGTCATTTTTCATTATAAATTAACGTACATTCAATTAGTATGCCAAAAAGCCTCCTGAACGACACTTTCAATTTAACTAACTTCAGTCATGATTAATTGGAAATTTCAACTCTATTAATATAGTGAGTGCTCAGATTATTATCATAATTCTTTACATTTATTTTACGAGAAATTAATCAAGCACAGATACCTTAAACATATTTTTTTCCATGACACTTTATTACCTATGGCTTTCTTTGCCATAATGTAGTTGAAGCGGTATCATTTCGTGTGATTGTTCTCACAGCAGATTAAAAACGGTTCTTACCACTTTGCTATAAATTTATCAAAACAAACTAGAAACCATATTCTAATAGCGTCTGCGCTCACCATTCCGTATACAAATATAGCAAATCTGTAAGAGAAGCAAATGACTTTTCTCTGAATCCATAGATTGACACGGAAATCAATCAGTCATGAAAGACCTTAGTGAATGAACGTTGCTGCGGTGGTGTGGATTGCGCAGCCTTGCGCTAAGCACATCCATCTCATGCGCAGATCACAAGTAGCAGTCATCGAACATGTAAATATAAACAGGAACAAAATGCCGACTTCGAAAAGCGTCTACTCGAGCCAATGGAACGGCGCATGCTGTCGCTCACCTATTCTAAATCCTGATAGTGTTGATCGGCTGTGAAAATGGTAAGTCATTGTTGTGTATCGAAAGAGAGTTATATGACTGTTTTTTAAAGTCATAAAAAACGTGTTCTCAATCGATAACGGGTTATGGTATGTACAGAAGAGATTGTGATTTTGTGGACAGAAGATTTACTTTGTTGATAGGATTATGCAACCTATATGTTCCCCGAACAGCTTCACCGATGACAGTTTTCCTCAAGCCTGTTTAGGTAGTTAGTTGCCTAGCCTATTTACAGATGAACAGAACAACAATCAACGTGTAGTTTAGTACTTTTACAGGCCAAAATATTACGCCGTCGTAAAACTATAGTGCATGTTTAAAGTGCATTAACTATCATTTGCGAAAGCTTTCGTAAGCAAGACCTAACAAAAGTGATTTTTTACGTTAGTATAGCACCTTTAAAATATTTTCGTTGATCTTTTATTTGTCAAGTATCCAGTTTAGTTCATTTACGCATTTGCATATCATTTTATGGTAGACCTTTAAGTGATACTTTGAATGTGTTTAAGGCCCTTTCTGTCGTAAAGTAAATTCAAAGGTAGTGAAGGTAGGTGGCTAAAGTTTGTTAGTATTATTTCTTACATTATTATCGGTTGATTAGTACCCGTTGGCGACAAATCAAAAGAAGACACAGGCATATATTTTATGCCTTATAACGCTGCTAAACCGTGAATATGGTACATATATAAAATCATAACACCCAACTAAGTATGTCTAATACGAACTTCGTAGTGACACACAGTTGGGGTGTCTATAGTTCGCCAGTTTCTGTCTACTTAGCGATGATATAAAAAGAAAAATAATAAAATTGAGCCAATTTGAAATTCTCGTAATGATAGAAGCTCGTGAAAGGGCTGAAATAAATTCTGTTAAAGCAAAGGATTAAAACAAAATTCTGTTAAAGCGAAGGATTAAAGCACACAATGCCTTTTTAATATGCTTAAAAGCGTACATGTATCTGAGAAAAAGTTGAAAATACGTTAATATTGTTTTATTAGACCAAAGTGTGCATGCAGTCATCGTAGATATAGCAAATATCTGCTGCAAAATCTGTACCGTTCCGCCCAGATGAAATTGTAAATAGCTAAAAATTGGTCCCGCTCACTGTGTTAGTTATAACAGCTAAATAGTGACAATTATTGTCAAAATATATTCCACGTATTTCCTGCATATACCTTTGATTGTAGGGTCAGAATCAAAGTGGCTCCGGGGGCGGAGGTAAGGAAGGTCAGGAGAAGGAGAAAAAGAAGTATGAGCCTCCTGTGCCAACGCGGGTTGGCAAGAAAAAAAGACGCGCGAAGGGACCAGATGCTGCTTCGAAGTTGCCTTTAATTACACCGCACGCCCGTTGCCGACTAAAGCTGCTCAAGCTCGAGAGAATTAAAGACTACCTGCTTATGGAAGAAGAGTTCCTACGTAACCAGGAACGACTAAAGCCCCAGGAAGAACGGCATGAAGAGGAACGCTCGAAGGTCGACGACCATCGAGGCTCACCCATGTCTGTCGGCACCCTCGAGGAGATTATCGACGACAATCATGCCATTGTATCGACATCGGTTGGATCTGAACATTATGTATCGATATTGTCATTTGTTGATAAAGACCAGCTGGAGCCAGGTTGCTCGGTTCTGCTCAATCATAAAGTTCACGCAGTAGTCGGTGTTCTTTCAGATGACACTGACCCAATGGTTACTGTGATGAAACTTGAAAAGGCGCCACAAGAGACGTACGCCGATATTGGCGGTCTCGACCAGCAAATTCAGGAGATCAAGGAGTCGGTAGAGCTTCCCCTTACCCATCCAGAATATTACGAAGAAATGGGTATTCGTCCACCTAAAGGCGTGATCCTGTATGGTCCACCAGGCACCGGCAAGACGCTGCTGGCGAAAGCAGTTGCCAACCAAACGTCGGCCACATTCCTTCGTGTCGTCGGTTCAGAGTTGATTCAGAAATATCTCGGCGACGGGCCGAAGCTTGTGCGAGAGCTGTTCCGTGTGGCTGAAGAGCATGCCCCAAGCATTGTGTTCATCGACGAAATCGATGCGGTAGGGACCAAGCGTTACGACTCAAACTCTGGTGGTGAACGTGAAATTCAACGTACTATGCTCGAGTTACTCAACCAGTTGGATGGGTTCGATTCACGAGGTGACGTGAAGGTTGTCATGGCAACAAACCGAATTGAGACGCTCGATCCAGCTTTGATCCGACCCGGCCGAATTGACCGCAAGATCGAGTTTCCATTACCCGACGAGAAGACAAAGCGTCGCATCTTTACAATACACACGGCACGTATGACCTTAGCCGAGGACGTGGCTGTTGACGAACTGGTCATGGCTAAAGACGATCTATCAGGTATGTTTATTGATTTTGTTCATACAATTCGATGGACTGTACAATTTTTTACTCGGTCTTAACATAGACTTTACCACTTCTGGTTTCCACAGTAGTACAACGCGTCTCAGAATTGCCTTTTCGTTATAGTTCACAGTACATATCTTCAGTTAAAATTGCATACTTCACGAATATTTGTTTGTATGTTGCTTGATTAGATAAGTCTACTAGACAGCCAGTATATACCGTTTATATCTGACATCATACCTCTATTTTATAAAGTCACCAGAAACAATTTATTGGATTTCCATTGATTAAACCTAGATTCTTGAAAGAGTTGATAATTTGCTTCAATGCGTATCGTGGCGCGTTGCAGTATGCTTTACTCTGCTAATGATATCTAACGAGATCTGTGAGCTGAATTTGTTTTCCTTTTTTTGTGTACAGGTGCGGATATCAAGGCCATCTGTACTGAGGCCGGCTTAATGGCACTTCGAGAGCGCCGAATGAAAGTGACCAACGAAGATTTTAAGAAGTCCAAGGAAAATGTTCTTTATAGGAAGAAGGAAGGCATGCCCGAAGGACTCTACCTTTGAAGGACGATCACGGAAATCGAAACATCTTCCGTTCAACAGGCGAGCTTAAGGCGGTTTATAATGGTCCTTTGGGTTTGCTTGATGTGTGAGGAAGATGGACGAAAGATAAAAGATCTAGATAAAAGAAAAATATACACATGAGAATAAGAGAACCATCCTGTGCATATTAATAATATGAAATAAAACCGTGCACATGATGTTTGTAAGCTAGATTCATTTACCTCTGAATGGTCACCAGTTATTAGCGCATGCGGTGTGCTACCTTCTTAAGTGATAAACTCACAAAGATGATACATGGGTTAGAAAACTAAATTCTACACATCCTCTGTGAACTCCAATTTTATATTTGGGGAACTAGGCATAGGTAAATTCATAAAGGGAATAAAAAATAATCCAGTTTTTTTTAAAATAAGACTTTTATAGTCGTTTTACCTTTCACGTGATAAAGGTGTATTTAAATAGCAAGATGTAAAAAGTTATATCTACATAATTTTTAACTATATAATAGCAAGTTTCTTTACGAATGAAAATTGTAAGTTCCAACATTCTGTGAAACTGTTCTGAGTCAGTTTTTTTACAACGATTTTAAAACTAGATGTTAGTGAATAAAAAAAAAAATATAAGTGTTACTTTTCCGCTTTTTACAGCAAAGGAATTATGGCTAGTTCCGTTATTATAAGCACTACCTTTTAAATAAATTCATCGTAAAACTAGGTTAAAAATAGCAGCGTCGCTGATAATTATTTTAAGGCACGTTCTACTTCAAGAATCAAAAATAAGAACATCATTCAATATTTCTACCTGTAGGTAGTGGATAAGAACTAAAGAACTAAAACTGCTGTTCGTTTGCTTTTATTTTCGAATTTATTTAGCTCCACAGTCCTTTTCTAGTGTGTGCACATTACTTCATTAGATAGCATCAAACTATATCATATTAGTCGTAATAATAGTATTTTAATCCTTGCAATGGTACAATACATTATGCGGTATTGTACGCTATATGTACGGATCAACCCTGTATGTTTAGTGTCTTGGTATGTTTGCTTGTTGTTACTGGTGCCTGTGTCCTAACAATGTATATATATACACAGATATCTAATAAACAATTATTTATTACAATTTATTAGTAAATGTAGTGACACTTTTGCCACCTAGTGATGATTGTTTCCGTAACTGCGAGAGAAGTTTAATGCTTATTGAGGAGCTGGAGTATATTGATCCTATATAAAAGAGAACAAAGGGACAAGGTGGATATACTATTTCGCAAAAGACAGGTTTGTCCGCGATCACCATTACACATATTCTTAGTTGCTAATTTGACAGTCGCGCTGGTAGAGGTTAGTTCTTTTTTTGATGGTTAAAGTCGGAAATTGATCAAGTAGTCGAGGTTTGCGAGAAACAATTTAGACTTGCTTGCTTGCAAGGAATTATTAAGTAATAGTCTGCTTCAATTAATAACCGCATTTTATAATGATTAGTGCTCGAAATTTATTGTCCAACTAAAGAGTTCATGGTAGACTTTTTGCCACATTGTTTTTGCATCAGAGGAGAACAAACTAGTACAGGATTTTTGCGATTGTCGAGTATCAATCTCTAAATATGCAAGCACTATCGCCCCTTAATTCCGGCAGAAAATACGAGTTCCACTACACTGTGTTTCGGGAAAAGTTGTTTATCGTTTATTTAGGAAGAATAGTACCGGTATGAAAACTAATTGGCCGTTACCTTACATTATAAAATATTGTGGACATAGCAATCTACTACGCTGAAATTTAGTGGCGTGATCATTATTGGTGGAAATCACAAACAGCTGATTTCTTCCGCCATTTTATTGTAAGTTCGTACAACAACTGGCTTGCCAATCGTTCGATGGTTTAACTGCGTTCGTAGATGCAGCCTCTCATCGATGTGCGGGGTATATAACGAGAAACAATAGGCATTTAGTTTAAATCACGTTTAGGACTGACTGGAGCGGTTAATGGGATTGGAAGTCTACATAAATTAATGTACAATCCAATGCTTATCTCTATATAAGAACCGTGATTTAATATACTGTCAAATATCTTAATAACAAAATCACACTCATGTACGCTTTTCATAAATAACAGTAGCAATAATAATAATATAAGGATTAATAATTTGTAAAACACAAAATATTTGTAGCTTATTTGCGTTAGCTGCTAAGCCAGAAGCAATTTCTTTTAGTTGTATGGTTACTGAGATTTGATTTTGGTTCCGTAAACCGAAAAATCACTAAGCACAATCTAAATAATCACGCTAAGTTTTTTTTCAAGGCTGCAGTGTGCAGCCTTGTGACCAGTATGCGTATCTTAACCCTGCGGGAAAAATCAAAGAAAGAGAAAAAGTGAGAGAGTATTTTTCAATTCATGTTTTTAGATACATTGAAACTGGATTACGAGCTAAGCTCTGTAACGTTCAGCATAAAATCAGTGAGATCTTTGATTTAACAGATCTTTTCCAATTTTTTCGCTTAATAATTTCATAGTTATATTTCACAGCGTCGGGTATAAGCAGATTGTATCGTTTCCGTTTACCCTTTAGCTCAATATATGTCTTGGGTTTGTTTTCAACTCTCGACCTATTTTGTTCTATGTCCCTTTCTAACCTTCTATCAGTGATGCTCAAAACGAATCTCCTGTCTCAAAAATAATACCACGCACGCATGTACACAGATAGTTGACGACGTATAGGAAATAAAGGTGCATAAATCAGAGCGTCTGAACTCTAATAATTACACTGTGCAAGAGAATAGTAATGCAGTGTTTCCCTGTAGCGGTGTCCTACATCTAGTAGCAGGATAAACCGTAATCAAGGGAGGCAACCGCCTTGTTAATACGGAATAACAGACAGCTTTCTGCCGAGTCGGTTAGAGCAGTCTCAGTTTGCCAGTGACACTGTTAACATCTTCGACCTTGCCAAAAATGGACAGAACGGTCAAAGATCCGGCAGGTACCTGCGTTCGGCCGGCGTCCTCGACGAGATAGCATGGAAGATCCTTCTCTTGGGCACTCTTTTCAAGATCTAAAAGCTCTTGGGTGTTCTTACCTTTCAGGCAAATTTTTGTCTCACTGTAATGCATAGATAGTCAGAATTGAAAACGCGTTAAAAAGGCCAGTCTTCATACTAAACGTAAATAAGTGTATAAGTTTATCTAGACATTCAAATGTAGTAACAAGCGGAAATTTACTTGGACGTGCTCATAGAAGCACGAGAACATAAACTCACCCTGAATCTTCCCAGGCGCAAAGCATTCGACCGTATCTGAACTCATCGCTCATTAGAACCCGAAAAAGGCCCACAGCCGCATGACCCACTTGTGCTCCAACTTTTCCCGTTCCCATGGTTAACTCGCCGTTAATAACAAACACCATTTTATAGAGATCTCCCGACAACAAATCGCCTTCATCGTCAGATGAAGAGGCCGACGAGCCATCCGGAGATGACATAGCGTCATGTAAACTCCACTGAAAAACAATAGAGGAAAATATGGAAACCATATCAGGTCCAGGTCTGTGTTTTAATGATAATCTGTCAATTGTATAAAACCTTAAACAAAAAAAAAAATTTATTAATATGGTAGCATTATTTCTTACGGGCACGACTATCGCTTTTCTGAAGAAACTGCAAACTATGTATACTAGCCAATTTTGATGTCGGTAGTTGTTGGAATCTGTTGTGACGTAATTACTGAATAGGTTAGCTGTTGCTAGGTTGAGCTGATATACTAATGACGCATTTCCAATTGTTGGAAAAGTAAGTCGTGCAAAAATATTGCTACAGTACGCACCCCAGGCGGCATTTGACTGCTATTTACTGTATCAATGCTTTCAAATAGCCAGGTGGCTGCGGAATCTGCTGATGAATTATTCGTGTGGTAGAGAGCTTTTACAGCGTCGCTTTTGCGAATTCCCATCGACATCAGCGCACGAAGGTAATTCTTGTTTGGCAGCCACCTTGAAAACGCCATTATTCACATAATGAAAAATTGTTACATGAAGGAAACTTTTCACCAATATAGAGCTAGCTAAATTAGGAACAGAAAATTTAAATAATACCTTTGGCCTTCTTCTAAAAATTTGTAAAAAGAAATACGAAAACGTACGTATGTTCAAGAAAGTATAAGTTATTAGTCAGCCTCATTAAGTACACCGACATTAACTAATACAATAGGCGCAATTGTGACTAATATTGTTTTAGCTTTAAGCCTCATTTACTTCATATCCAAGAAAAAACTAAATATGAGGTAAATTACTGATTTTCATTGTTGAAGATTAGCTCTAACTGAAACACTACTATTATTTCTTGAAATCAGTATAAACTTTTCACTTGAAGAGGTCCTAACACGTTACAGACCTTATTCATGCTTTTTTTTTTTAATTGCCATCAATAATTATTTAAATCATCCTTTGGTAACTTACTTCTCGTCCTTGATTATCTTTTTTTTTTCAGTTTTTTCTCCATGGGACCCCTCTGGAACGTCGTCCCCAACTTCTGACATGTTTGCGACTACGCTGGTCGCATCTACTCGGCTCTCAGCGCCTTCAGGGCCCACTCGTTCGCCTTCCATTATCACTAAACAGTTGGAACAAGAGGTTAATCTACTACTCTCTCGTTGCTCTTTAACATGAAAAAAACTAAAAAATACATAATAAACTGTTATGGAATGACTGTCAAGTGTATCCGCAAAACAAAAAGCAGCAGTTTAAACTTAGTCATTACTGTACACTATGGCTCAATTAATTGAGAAAAACAAACAATTAAATTAGGGACTTGTAGATGTTAAAAAAAACTTGTCACGTAGTTTCTTGCGGTTGAAAGGATAGCATGACAATAGGCACGCTTAGTAAATACATTGTTTTCGAATGTTTTTAGAACATAGGATCATGTGTTAGCTCCAATGCACGTGATACTATAGGCAGAACGTTAAAAATAGCCTTTTCTAATGCACAAAGCTATCAGTCCTTGTCTGAATTGCGCGGCAAGTTATGTAATCGCTAGTCGTAATCGGGATTTAACGTTTAATAAAATAACAAATATGAAAGCTGTCATCCAACACAGTCTCTTCAGCGCTTCTTAAATCTTAATATATAATCGGTCACACAGTAATACTGTACGACAATGGAGGTGGCAGATAATAAAATGCCGAATTTTCTACTCAGCCATGTTAAAATGTTTCCCTTCTCTAAGTAACCACTGTGATCATTCAGCAACGAGGCTACCAGGCACGTGTTCGGGCAGTAACGGTGAAGAAGATCCAATTACTTACCTATGAACTGAACAACACTGTAGATTCAGCTGACACTGAGTATTACAGGAACCTTATAAGATACCACAATGTGAAAAAGCATAAGGTCTTCGCTAGTGTTTATTACAGGAGACTTGTCTATGCAGTCACCCAAACACGTTCGAATTGTCCATTTTCACGGGACTTGGACAATTCGGATATTTCTGCAAGCAGCTTGCTCGCACGCCTATAGGCGTAGCTTAAGTTACGCTCCATTTGAAAAAATGTAGCTCCTTATTTTCTGGTTTTTAGAATAATGCCCACATAATATCTGAATGTTAATCATTATCGAGTAATTATATCGATGTGGTCAACGCGTTTGACGTGCATTCTGTACTGTCCAAATGGGCGGACCCAATTCGATTGGGGCGCGTTGTGTTTTGATCGCATCGAATGTGGGAAAAATGCCGGTTTTTCTGAGTTTTTCATCGTTTTAAGTGGCTGTTAAGGTGCTGGAGATTGGTGAGTAAGCTGTAAAGAACAGTTATAATATTCGTCTCTACAGAACTTCTAGCGCCAAAGGTGCCCAGATAGCCAAATTCGGTTGGTTTAGCATTGTTTGAACATGGAATACCAGCCGCAGTCATCAAGATCGGCAGTCAACTGTTTCGCTGTGTCAAGATTGATAAATTAAAATGTTAGTGAACATTTCGGTGCTGAATCAGATTGAAGTGCTCATATATGAAATTTTCATTTCGTGCGGCACGTTGTCGTAGAAATAACCATTACGGTGTCAAGCAATGTCTTTTGCCCGCCAAAGCTTTCTGGTGCAAAGGTTCCGATCATTGAAGTGCCATAAAATTTAATCCGACTCTTCTTCACATGGAAGTAAATGTTTTAATATGCCTGCCTCTAGAAGAAAACAATAATAAAGGCGGTTCATGAAAGTCAATGTATTAATCATCTCATTACAATTGTTATATAACGGCAAGTAAGAATAAATGATTATATGGATATGCTTTCGTGTAACAATGTTTATGCTAAACATATGACAACGACAATAAAAAAAATTAATGATTACTTACTTTAAGAGACTTATGAAATGGAGAGCGACCCGAATGGGTTAATTATATGCATGGGATGGGAGTGCTTCAGTGCTTATATTAACAGATAGTAGTGCTGTCTTCCTCTGCCCAATCCTAAATGTCATTTAGGCATCACTTTCCATTGAACAGTTTAATTAGAATGTTAGGATAATTTCGTAATAGAAATGAATGCTGCTCTCCTCAAAGCTTTGCCACTCAATTGATCTACGTTAGATTTTTGAGCGAACTTAGAGATGTGTGTTATGCTGATTATAGCATGTGTTTGCAATATTACGCCTTAATTATTTGTGTTCGCTTTCTGTCTGTTCGGAATACATCATTCAAATCTACATAAGCGAAATACCCGTTCTAAGCTCAGAAGGTAGTTTTAGGCCATTCATTTAGCCAGCTACAAGAAAACCGCCTTCTGTGTATCTAAGAGCACTGATGAAACAGCGCTTGACAATGCACTGTTTTGAACCCGTTTTCAAGGAAAAGGGAAGCAAGCCTTTAGACACTCATATATCTTCAATAATAAACCAATTTTTTTGTTATCGAAGGTCTCTTATCGAAAGGACGGTATTTGCTTAAGGTTTTTTTCTTAAAAGGTCTTTTGGCTTTCCAGTATCAATGTTAGATATAGAAGTTTTGTTTGACATCCTTGAAATGCTTTTTAATTAGCCTAATACAGTACTTTTTCGTCTTGGACTCTGCATTTTCAGACTGGTGCTAGGTGTCCAATTATTGACGTGACAAACAACGACCACTATGGCTGCGATGTCCGCGAATGCTGTCAACGTCTCCGTCTCAGTCGAAGTGGGCCAGGAATATGCCGTTCAGGAGATCCATTACGATGGCCAAGAGGTGTACACCCAACCGCCTACTATGAGCGAAAAGCTTAGTAAGCTTGCACACAAGATCGACTTCAACGCAGATGAAGATGATGTCACAACAGAGGAGACCAATGCTAAAGCTACGTTCCAGCCTTCATTGTGGCCTTGGGATGGTGTACGCAACAAGTTAAAAGCGGCTCTTACCGAAGTGTCGGTTCTTGCCGACGTGTTGGCAATCGCCCGCGAGAAAAAATATCTCGTTCTTGACCCGGTTAGCCAGGAACCGGTTGAACATAAAACGAACGTTATCCTTTTGGCAAAGAAAAAGGCATTAAATGCTGCTGGCGATATTTTACTTAAGGGAGCGACCAATTTACGCGGAGCTACGCAGCAAGAACAAATGGGCCGTCGAGTCAGCACAGACTTCCATACAGAGCTTCTTCTTATGCGACAATCGTGGCGATTGCGAAAAGCTGGTAGTTCGATTCTCGGCGATCTGAGTTATCGCAGCGCCGGATCACGTTTCTGGCAGAGTGGAACCTTTGAGGTGACAAAAAGTGCTCACGCCCTAGCCGTCTCTCAGGGCGAAATTGCTGCTGGTCAAAATCAAGGACAAGACCTTCAAAGGCCCCCAAGTTCCGTAAAGATTACCTTGCCGAGTGAACTTGAAGGTATCAGCTATATACAAGTCACAATACAAAAAGGTAAGCAACTATATCTGCGGACCTAAGTGCGTTTAAACAAACGAGCTTAAACAAGAACTGCACAAAACCGACATTATTTGCTATAAATACTGCAGCAAGTAAAATTCTAGTTGGCACGAGCATTTCCTATTATTGAAGTTACATATAGCAGGAACACATATTAAATAACACGGAAATAAACTACCTTTTTTTTCGTTAGATATGGAGACCATTGCCAGTGGCTACCTTTCGATTAATCTGCCGCAAGATGCATTTTCTAAAGTTGATTCACCTTGGCAGCAGCGCTTAGAGGCTGCCCAGAACGTACTCTTCTGTAATGAGCTGTTTGCTCAGCTTGCCCGCGAAGCAGTTCAGCTGCAGCCATCAATACCGAATCTCGTCGTTGGCAATCTTATTACTAGCACGGTAAGCTAACGCGAAGCGCAAAATTAAAGCAGTAAAAATAAAATCAAACAATTCCATTGGTTTACATTTGGTTGCGCAAATTATATTTACATTGTATAATATCATTATTGTTGCTCTACGGCCCTGAAAAGCTGGAAATTATTTCACTATACTATTTCAAATTTATTTTAAATAAATAGTTTTATAAACAATTTCCTGAACTTATTTCAGTACTACTTCACTAATACATCAAGATTGTATCAAGTTGTTATATGTTTGATTCAATTAACAAAACCTCTTGCATTTTGCTCATGAACATTAGCATTGCGAAAACAATAGAACACTTAATAGAGTTTAGTCAAATTGTTTATCTAAGTAAGTATATTTATGTTGTTTATCTACTAGCATCTAATAAATCAACGAGCTCTACGAATAGCCGACAGGTGCAAGCACGATAATCGAGCTTTCTTCTGAATCACTGAATAATTTCCACCCGTTGTTACAGCTGTTTCCTGGTATGCAGATGTCCATTGGCCTTTGCCATCGGACGTTGCACGAACGCCGACCGCAGGTGCCTCAGTCTCGTTTGGATCACAAACACGTCCTTGAACACTCACTCCATCAGCTTCTACGAGATTTCCATTTCAACATACTGCACCATTCGATGCCACATCCCGCATCGGCACCATTGGGCTTAAGCAAGAGGCAACGTTTGGCAGGGCCAGAAGCCTACGATAGACATACCCTACTGGAAATGGCAAAAAAGTAAGTTCTCATACTCTATGCTCAAATATGTGGAAGGCATGAAAGGGGCGTCTAAAAACTTTTGCATTTATTGCCATGTTATGTTGAAAATATATCAGTTAGTACTGTACGTAAGTCCCCTTCTGGAAATTATAGCTATTCGTGTTTTTGGTTTGAAAATTGCACGTACAAAATACATTCTGACCAGATAATCTGATTTAGATTCGATAGAGTCGTTTGCGTATAATATTTTTTCAGTTCATTATTTCATTTCCGCTCAGCGACTTTGTGTTAGTCAATTGCAAACGTTGTTGCGTAATGAACTATTGTCTTAATTACGTTTTGACGTTTTATGCGTTCCATGGATTTGACTTTCGTTCAAACAGCGAAACAATATTAGAGAAGATTATTGCACAGACCCAGCACGTAGTTTTGCGTCTTGGTGCAACAGTTGTCATTGACCAGTTTGCGACCGAGGTGAAGGATCCTCTGATAGTATCACACTGGGTCGCCATGTCATCGCCAACACAGCACTCAGTCAAACTGAAGCTTGTGTCACACGGTTATGAGAACATGTGCCGTACACCGCTTGTTATCCATGTTGGCCAAAAAAGCCTCAAGGCGATCCTAAGGTAAGAATCCATTGACCAGTTAAATAACGGGATTCTCCGGTGAGACCGATTGCTCATGTAACGAAAGCTGAGAAATCCAATCCTAAAATTGCGAAGATGAAGTTAATAAAGGAAGAAATTAATAAATTCAGTCATTTTTTCATGTTCGGTTTATACATAATCGTCGTAGTGGTGCAACGAACAGTGTCGGGATGATTCACTTTCTTGCAATGGTTAACCGTAAGGTAATCTAACACTGTGTTCCTGATCTGACGTATGCGTTTCTGTTTCATTAGAGATGGCCGTGTAATATCGCTTGGTTACGAGCCTACGGAGTTGCGGTTTTTGCTAATGGCGCAGGTGGCACAACATCAGGTCTCTGCGGTACAGACTCTAGCTAAATACGTAGGATGGAAGGTCCTTTCGACCTGTGGCTCTGTTGGCGTTGGGGGTGTTGAACCTCTGGGAAACGCAAGCTCCATCGTAATGGCTTCACCTAACGGCGAAAAGTATGTTGAACTTGCGGCATTAAGTGATTATAATCTATGAACATGTATTAGTTTTAAATAAGATAGATTGTTCTATGCCTAAATGCATTGTCTGTGTATTTCCCTTTTGAAATGTAACGTACTGTAATGACGATTCGGTTAGCCCACATTTTTTCATTCACGGTAAACTCTCAATCTCTAAAAACACTGTATCCGTAAGAACACATACATAGAGCTCTTCTACTTACTTTGATATAGTAATTGTCATCATATTAGAGTTGTATTTTTCTTATGTTATACCTTTTTTACGGTAAATATTGTTCGGTTTCCCCCTTTTTCTGTTTTAAGCGCTTGTTTCAGTGTGTGTTCTTCGTAAATATTGGGTTGCTCGTGTTTATATATGTGGTGGGCTACGATTAATGGGTACTGACCTTAGCAATTATCCTGTTTGCTCCGTTTTGCAGAATCCTTGCTGTAAGGGTGAGTCCCGGTACGGGTGTTAAGGTGTCACTTTCGTCCACCCCTCAGCAGCAGGACTTTTATCCTTCATCGTTAGTCAAAGACCGCAAGTGGCACCTCCTCAATGGACCGTTCAAGGAGGTGTCACTCGATCGAATGCAAGGCAAAACTTTCCTCAATAAAATGGAGCACCTTATGGCGGCCCTCACAGCGTTACAGTAAACGAGCCCACCGTGTAACGTTTACGTGTTTGCACTCTTTATGGGCTATGTAGAAATTTTAACTCGCAATTCCACTAGAAACTGCTAGGATGGATGGAAGATGATTTTGAGAAGGATTATTTCGAAGGGACCCATTCAAAATAAGCTTTCTCCTAAATGACATACATATGATAACGATGATAAGTTGATAGCAATTTATGAGGCGGCTTATGTTGAGCGCCAGTGTGGTGCGTGGTTTCAATGTATGTATTATTTGTAAATAAACTCAACCTTATATATATATATATAATCTTATATACGGATTCGTCGAAAATCGATGCTGTTGTATTTATTTTTGTTAATGGGGCATGGAATGGACTGGCCTGTATGCTCGTATGTGATAAACAATGCATTCAAAGTACTGAAGCGATAAAGGTGGCGAAGGTTAAGGTCTTGCTCGAAGTGAAGCAACGTAACATCAATTGCTCACTGAAAATAAAAGAGACTCTTTAGAGTGCCCGGTATAATGACAAAAATACGTTATCTCATATGAAATAAAATAGTTTCTTGACTTATTCTCATGTGACAGATGTGAAAAAAAACTAGAGCTAATGTACTTAATTTTTTAGTAAATAGAATCCGACAGGGAACATATTTCCAAGTTTTTAACATTCAAAATCTACTTTAGAAAGATCAACACTTAGCTTAGAAATTCTATACCACGCTCACATATGAAGAAGTCGATAAAAACTAGTTTGAGCGCGTGGGTAAATGCATTTGAACATGGCCGCCGTTTTTGTTATAAGATTACTATATTATGTCTATATGTCATATCATCGTGATTCATGCTCTATAGTTCTTTTCTTTCATATTTTTATGAAACAAAATGATGTTCGTACAAAAAAGATACAAGCACTGTTCGAATTAATGTTTAAATGTAATATTTCGATCAATGGTTAAGTTTAATAAACGCAATTAGCACACACACAGTTTAAGGACTGCGTCCTGCGTAAGCTGAATCGTTTTATAAGCATAACTCAAGAATCATCATAGTCGTAGGTACACGTTATAAAGCTAAAGGTAAGAAATCACGTTTTCAGTTTTTGGACATTTACCTTTAATATCACATTAAAAATGTATAATGCATTATGATACAAGTTTCGTTTAGTTTAATCGCAGGATATGGGTAATACCGATTCAGACTTAAATTGAAAACTCGTTCTTAGTTGAATTTTGCCTTCATGAGTTAGGGAAAATATACGACAGCGTAATCGAGCTTTTTCCTTCCTGTATGCCCTAGAGGGTCACAGTATCGTCCTGTAAGGATTTATGAGTCCGGGCATGGATGGAATCGTCATCTGCAACTTTCACCTGAAATGAAGAGTGCAAGTTCAATTTCATTAATAAGTCAGGTTTTCACTCCGACCACATTTGATTGGAGCGACTAAAAAAGGCGAATAATACAGTGTTTCTTTTGATTGTATTTATGAAGCATGCATATGTTCGAAATTACAAAAAAAGTCAGTAGTGCGATTGTCTGATTGTTTAATTTTGTCCTTAAAAATGCGCTAGCCGACTTCTTAACGTAAAAAAAAACTTAAAAATAATATACAAAAGTAGTATAAATAAAAAAAAAATCATAGAATATATACTTGTTGCTCATTGACTTTAGCGTACATTTATTTCTTTAATTATGCCTTGCTGCATCTATGGCAAATTACAGACAAAATCGGTGACTTGTGTGCCTAATGTCCTTATGGTCCACTGAGTTTTTTTCTGATGTATGAATAGGATTCACATTGGCTTGATTGCCTTGTCCAATTTGATTTTTCCTTAAAAGTGCCACAGCACGGAACCCTTCCTATAGGCCGCCGCTTGTGCTTGTGATGAACCGGTTGCAGCACGGCTTCGTATGATTGCCGATCTGACGCAAGTCTCGTGCCTCAGATTGGTCCTGTCGACATATCAGTGGATGATTTCCACTGCGCGTGCATCCACGGCCGCGATCTGATTTTGATGCTATTTTGGTAGCAGTGTCTCGCCTTCTGTTGTTAACGGATTACCACAGTTGAAACGGTAGCGATCGCGCAACTTGTGACCTAGCTAGCCACCTTCACTGGTCAACCATTTGTATTCCCAAACAAAGTACCGTGTGTATTCTACAAGGGTACTGTACGATTTTGCAGGTGACATCTCGTAACTGCTGCAGTGCTCCAACATTATATTTCGAAAAGGTATTATTAGCATGTGCAATACAATGACGTTACAAGTACTATACGACGCAGCGGGCAGCAAGTGTCAAAAAAGCTCAGCTTAAAAACGAAAACTGAGCTTTGGATGGTTCGTGACGTTTTGATGATGAAGAACCCACGTCGCTGGAAGCAACTTTCTCACGTGCACATCAGATGCTCAGCTCAAGCCTCAACCTGATTCCTGCTACGTGTCCTTTTTTCTTCTACTTTAAAGGATTAAGCTTGAAGGTTGCTGGATATATATTGGATAGACATCGAACTCGTCCCACGTAGCCTACTACTAACTGTTTCGAGAATCTGCCGAACTTCATCTGAAGCCTCTTCCAGCTTACCGAGTTCGCCATCGACATGGATGCTTCATCAGCGTTTATGGTTATTGCTGTGCTTGTCAATGCAGAATGAACAGTCTCCAGCTACTGCTGTTGCTGTTATTACCGTACGCAACTAATGCTAGATTTCCCCAATCGAGCTAACTAGCTATTGGAGATAATTTGTTCTGCTAGGTATTTGTCACTTCACTGTTCAATTGACTGTCGGTGTGCTGGTTTTTAGCCGCCAACGTGTTTGCTTGAATTGTCCGCCACCAGGCGCGCTAGACTTCAACGAAAACGTCAGCGTAGCGCTCGATGTAAGATAGCGGCAACTGATGTGTTTCTGGATGTCTGATGTTGTAAGTTCAAACTGTTGACTTTTACCCTCTTCCGTTCTGCTTCTTTCCATCTCCTGACGCGCCGCTGTTCTTCAATAGAGTATGGGCCGCTCCTGTGGTTATAGTACGATGTGAGGCGACTTTTGGCTGCACATATGATCGATTGCATCAAACGCACAGCAGCTCGGCGGCCTTTCCCGCTACTTCGGTATAAAGCAACGACGGAGAGTGGAAACGCGGCGGTAGGAGCCAGAATGGGCTGTGGGAGGGTGCGGTGTAAGAGTGACGAGTTGAATCTGCGGGGCGGCCGCGGTCCTATTGGCTAGAACAATCTGTTTTTCATATTGTTATACACGCCATGGAATGACTCATTCTTGCTACCTCTATACGAGTTGAGTTACCCAAGGACTTTGCTAGAAACGAATCCAGTAATGAAATAGCGTTATTTAAGCGCATCTATTATTAAGCTCAGCGATGGCATTTCCAATACGGCTAAAAGGGATCAGTACTTTGTGCTCAAATGCTTTGAAAGAGAAAACGTTGAGCGTCGAGTTTAAATAGGCTTATAGTGACATCGAAAGCAGAGTCACCACTTGATGTCGGAACCATTGCCACGCCATTACAATATAGACTCAAGCATAGCCTTATACTGATTACGTTCGAAGCCTTCAATAGATATCAATCCTAACCTTCCCATATTCGCATTAGAATGGCAGGAATCAATTACCTATCACTAAGCGATATTGGGAAAAACCAGAACTGCATAACACTCAATATATTGTGATAGCACTAGAGTGATGTGCTCCGATAAGTGCGCAATGGTATAAAGTAAATCTTTCATAAACTTAGAACTCTGAGAGTTTTTTTTAGCAATATAAGAACAAAAAAGTTCCACCTGTCTATTCAGTATTCCAACTTTGGACGGATGTTCGTCATTACAACGTTATTGTGTCTTAAAGTTCTCCCAGTTCAGAGAAAACAGCGATTTATGGGTTTTCTCCGCGGACGTGGATCCTCTCGAAAGATGTAGTCAAACTGACCGACGTCATCCGGTTTACTTTTTCGAAGCACTAGGTAGGAAACGACGCGGACAAATGCTGTATCTTCAAAATGACACCTATGCAATTTCACAGATCAATTTTCTACAAAATCTAAAACCTGTTTTAGCGGAATATATAGATCTCGTTTAAACTGAAAAAAGCTGTATAATAATGCTTTTTCAATGAATAATAATGTTTAATAATAAATTTGATTGTTATGGGATACTCACGTATTTACCTTACTTGTGGTAAGAATTGTAGGTGTGGAGTAATGGATTCTACAGACTTGATCTAGTGGCAAAACCATTCACTACAGTTAAATTGACTACTTACTTTGACAAAACAGGTATTTCAGTTATTTGGATACTATGTTTTTTGTCGAACTAGGTACAAATATTTACTCGAGTGAACCCCCACCTCATTGGTGCATGTCCGATTTGTCAAAAATAGCTTAAAATATATAAACTGAGTCATTCTTTAAGTCTCCTCTGTAAATTGTCATTATTCTGTCTTTGTTATTTTCATGGAAACAACTCTTTCAAAAATCGGTTTACATCGCTTAAACAGTCGATGCTTAATCATGTAAGTGGGTGGATCCCCTATCAAAGAGCCAAGGCGGAGCCACATATTCAAGAAGCTCAAAGTACGTTTCCATATTTTTATGGATATTTAGCTAACCATTTTTCTCTAAATCTGCATCACTAATGTAGGTAAGTAAATAACCAAATCCTAGTGCAAGCTAATGACTATATGTGCATAAACGCATAGGTGTTGAATGAATGTCGAACCTAAGTATCGAACGCAAACACGTGAAGGAAATAGGTCCAGATCATAAGTCGGTCGACAGTATTAATATGTTAACCTCCGAGTGACGCTAACCAGGATATAGAGAACATATTTTGCTATAATCCTATAGAAACATTATTTTTAGTTAAATTGTGTGTGTGAAGGATCTCTGTACTAATAAGTAATGGTGTAGTCTGTCTTGCACAACCAAATCTCAGTGCAGTTCACCATTTTGACCATAGAAAGCAAGACGAATAAAGTTAATAATAATAACGGATTTATAATCAGAGTTCACATCTGCGAATTCCGATTGTGATTTGGTATGTTTCTTTCTAGCCTGTAATAACTACCGTGGCTGGTGTATCTTTCTGTTGATATATTTAGTTAACAATAACATATCTCAACAAATCGAACGAGACCTGTCTTACACAAATGCGTCTATTACGCAGGCGTGTTAACCACAAACGATGTGAAACAAACTACATCGATGAGAGTAAAAAGATGCGCGGTTTGGAGATGTTCACGCAAAATGATCGCCGGGAATTTATATATCAAGAATATGTAAACCTTATCATTTAGGACAAGTATCGGTTCAGTAAAGCTTCGCTTCAATACGAAGTCGTAGTTCTCGCAGAGTGTTCTTCTTATAAAGATAAAATAGACTGCAATGACACAAATTGGAAGTAAATCTTTGATAAGCCCTTTACGCTGTTAAGTATTCGTTTTGAATTGGGTATTAAAATATTGAAATAATATAGCCTGAATTTAGATTCTTAGCTTTTGGTTCTATTTTAAACCCTTGTTTACACGTTCCTGTACTAGCAATTTAAATATAAGTGTACCTTTCACTAAAATTATTGATTATTTTAGGAACCCCATTCAGTGCTTCACGGCCTTAAATATAAAACGAATCATTGGGGTTTTATTCAATAATCCCTTGTAAGCCATGACACAAATTCTGCCTAAAATATATCGATGGCAACTTTAAACAATTCGCAGGTATCCTAAAAATAACCCGACCATACAGTCTAATACAATACAAAAATCTTTCTTTAAAGCGCAGTGTTGTTCTTTTAGACAAGATAACCTCGTAAAGCAAACGTGATCATGCAACTATATGCGCGATATTCTCATCCATCATTCGGCTTCCATAGCCCATATTAATTAATTAATATTCAAACTAAAAACGGCCCTCAAAATATCACTTAAAAGAATTGGGAGTTTCGGTCTCATCTCAGTTACCTGAAGGCTATATATAATATTGACTGGTGTTGGCTATCGTCTCGATTAAATACCCTGTCTTCAAATCTTTTGCCCTACTCCACAACGATTTTGAATTTGTTCTGTGCATTTACGTTATTTAATATTCTTACTGCACAAGTAACAACCGCAATTCTAAAAGATGTAATCTATTTGTAGATGTTTTAAGAAGTAGTTATTTTATGTAAAGCGTTTCCTTGCTAGTTCAAACGAATTTAAAGAATAATTGCAGCCACGAGTTTAGCTTTCCAAAAAAAGTACGCTAGATACTAGATGGTTTAGATATTATACATAGAAGTGAAGAATTAGCAATAATTTTATATTGCTTATCGAAAATAATAGGCGTTATTCCTTAAAAAAAAATATGGCACAGATTGCACACGCAACGCGCATATCGTCGTATTTGTGACCACCAAACAATATAGCTTACTGGACGTATCAAAAACAATGGCTCAAAGAATTGTATTAGGGGTGAGCCATGCTATATTGAAACTAGGGTCTTAACAAACCAAAAAGAAACGAAATGAATGTTCCCTCCTTCCTGTTGTTAATTGTAGATCTAGTTACCAAGTCGGTGTAGCCACAATGGTGTGCTAAGGCTAACTGGCTTAGCCCTAAAGCGTTGTCTATAAGCTTATCTATTTATCAGGCACATACTTAAATCATGTCACAAAAATAGCTCAAAATGCCCGGTTAAAAAAATCTCCCGCCTTTGTGTCACGACAGTCTCAACCTAAGTGTTGGCCTACTCACAAAGCATAGTTATGTTTATTCACCTCGAATCACACGTTGTAGGTTACCCTGTTTCATATACAAAAAAAGGATGCTCTCGGACGATTTATCAGTTGTATTCATTTTCTTAAAAGCCTATATCATCACATGTGAACATATCTGGTAGTCTTTTAAAGCGCTGCTCGCATCGAGTCGGCTACTTCGATCCACTCGTCGAAAGAAAAACAAAGTACAATATCAAAGTCAACTGAGGTTTTTTTGTTGCCTTCATTATATAAATTAATTCACCGTTAATTTAAATGCACAGTCATAGTCGACTTAGAGCACGATTTCTCTCTGTAACAAATCCGCTTGATTTGGTGTATAGTTTGGTAAACTGGTAATCTATGGACAAGTATTAATTGTCCTCCTAGTACATCGAGAAGAGTGTTCGTTGGAAATAACAGGGGGTTTCAAAAATAGGCGAATCCAACTCAATAGCGTTAGTTCAACGCGGACTTGCATTTTTTCGTTTCATTAGTCAAAGTAATGAACCTCTTCCTCTAAAATTTTGCTTTGCTGAATACCCCATAGAGTCACCTCATCCTGGAACGATTTGTGCGCCCGAACATGGAGATAGTCATTATCAGCAATCTTCACCTGAAATCGGAAAAGCACATGCTCCACATTTACGGCCAGATATGAAGTCTTTTGTATCTGTTGCTGATAAACTTACCCTCGGCTACTTAAAATTCGTTAGCTGTTAATTTAATTCCGCGCACAGTTTCTAGAGCAGCGAAAATAGTAAATTCAACATTTTTCTTAGTTTCGCAAGGTAAGTCACATTCCTGTAGCACATGCGTCTGTATGAGCATACTAGCGATTCGTTTAACAGAAACTTCAACAACTAACGTGCACTGATTTACGGCTAGCAGCACAATAGCCAAGCCGCATGGGCAGAGTACCTTACACCAAAATCCAAGAAAAACATTCTGCGAGGTTTTCTTTGACACTTCTCTATACACAGGGTACAAAGTGAGGAATCTAAAGCCAAATATTTCTTGATATGAGTTGTTTGTAAAACGTTGTTTAGACAGAAACAGATAATCTAATGTACTTTTTCGTCTGTTGTAAGAGTATAACTTCTAAGAATGATATTCGTTCAATGTAAGCATTTTCCACTGTGATTACATTTTTAAGGTAACAACACACTGGTAATTTTCAAGCCATTATTTTGTTGACCTGCAAATGACTTTATCAAAAGGTTTTGATAGTAATCATGCATCGGACAATATTGGTAAGTATGAACTCGTCCAAGTGTCGATCATATACGCTATATACAGAATATTTCCGTGGAATCAAATTTTGGAAGCATAGCAGGCCAAACGCTCTAAAAATATAAAGGCTTTAAAATACTCAAAGTTCGGAAAGTGCAAAAAGTTTTTCTGAAAGACTAGCTGTTGTTGCTTGTTTCGACAATCTGCAATTAATATTTTTATCTCTATAAAAGCCATTTTTGATACTTCTATGTTTTCGATGTAGAAATAATATCGAAAACACAAAAGTATCAAAAATGTTTTTCTTTTTAATTAGATTTCTATTGAGCATCTTCCATTTTTTAGGAGGAAAGTCTTCCTTATATTTTCTAGAAGCCACCTAATTACTAGCAATAAGACAGACCGTTGGTTTCAAAAAAAGAAAAAAGAAACTTTTTTAATCGTGATGAAGCCCGGAAATATCGAATAATAATTTATCTTCGCCGAAATATCGCAAACGACGCAATGTTTTTACCATGATAAGTTTACTGTTTTACACAGAAGTGGTTTTCTTCCTCAGGCACCGAGAATAGCAGATGAATGTATGTATGCCGCTAAAATCAGCTTAATTCCTAAAGCCTATATGATAGCACTGTAAAGGAATGATTTTTTCGAACCATTTTATTGTCTCACAGTATTTTTTGGAATAGCTCATTAGATATGCGAACGTCCAGAGTTTCACCCAGATATCCAAAGTATTACGCGGTTTCCCGGTAGAAGTAAGGTAAGACGATAATGTTTTTCAGTGCTACCTTTGAAAAACCTACTTGTCGCGCGTGCATCACATTTGCACCTGTCCTTGTTTTCCTGACGGAAAACAATATCCGAAGATCGTACAATTGTCGACAAAAACCTATACAAACACCTTACAGATTGATTGTTGATTTCTCCCATATTAAAACCGGACAACATCGGCATACCGATGACTAACCTAGATCTGAGAACTGTGATGTACGGCAATAGGTCTTTGGAGGACTTAAATGCGCCTCGGTCAGTAGTTTTTCAATATTTAATGATAGAGTGTTCTACCTATGTAAAATACTGCAAATAGTATATATTAATGCGATATGCCACATGTTATAAAGTGATATCATCCTCATGAGTCATACATGCTCGTCAAACTTCCGAACAATACACTATTAGTCATAACAGAGGAAGTTGACCGAAATTCTGTGGCCCGATCTTTGTATGCTTACTGTTAGCATAACCACTCGCGAGAAATGATTTCTAATTGCATACAAGGGTTAAACGACGACCAATATGGGCTGAAAAAAGGTCTAGGAGAAACAATGCTCGTTAGTTTTTATATCCTCGTTGCTAATTTTTCATTGCGTAGTTAAGACTCACTTATAAAAACCATGTCATTGTGATTCTAAGAAGAATCCAAAATTAGTTTCATATGCATTTTATGTCTGAAACTATTAAACAACATAATTGAATAAAATATATAGTACCTTTATGAAAAAGTTAATCCCATTCACTAACTGGGTCTTATAATGGATCGGCTCAAAATATTCAAATTTTTTGCCAGCCTTCTCCTCACAGCCTTCACGAACCTGTCAGCAAACAAGTAATACACATAAAAAAGGTTAATGGTTGTTCAATAGAGAGATACGCCTAGCATGGTGGTATGTTGTTATTCTATATAGAATACTATTCGCAAAAAAAGGGACTTAGATCCAATGGCAATCAGCCCAGTGGCATAAAATCATCATCTCTACCTACAAAATTTTAAATTTCCCAGAATTTATCGCGGTTTATTGGGCTTATAGTGGTATATTCCTGCTTCGAATGTCATAACAGATATTAAAATATTGAGTGGGCATAAGTGTCGCATGAATCAATAATATTTAAATCTGAACACCAAGACGATATAGCAAGAACACATATGTAATTACTATAGATTATTCTATTTCAAGCGCTAATAATTTTTATTATAAATATTTTCAGCGCTAATAATTGAACGTTTACATTCGGAGGTGCAAGTGCTTAAACCCATCGGCAACTTCGCTGTTGCAATGTTGCACAATTTGGACAGCTCCATAGTGCTACTGCAAACGTAATAAAACTCAACGCCCTTAAAACAATCCCGTCTGTCTCATCCAGTAACAGTGATTATTGCATGTGACTCAGTTCCGGTCCAAAGCATATCTATAGTCTAATGTACAATAATTTCACATACTGTCTTGCCGAGATAACATTTACCCAAATTCGCTACAACTATATATCGCCCAGAGAGCTCGAATACGTATGGCAGTTTTACACATATGCTAGAACAACTACGCATTAAAGGGTGAAGCAGCACGGAGTTGTCAAATCAGTTATCAACACAGTTCACAGCCATACAATTTGTATTCACAAAACAGAAGGCTTGCTACGTCGCGTCATCTGGTACGCTTTTCAGTGTACAATAGTGCGCCTAAACTACGACGTTTAAGACACAAAAAACACTTCGTTGAAATCAAATTCCTCACTCTTTGATTGAATTTATTGTGACGTAACTTTGACAAGACATAACCGAATTCAGGAGAATGAATTCCTGTATACCACCTATGAAGCCTATATAAATAGATTCATCAATGTTCAATCAAAACTGCCAAAGTTTATCGTACGAATGCCTTGTAGCATAAACAGAGCATTATCGATACCATCGTTGCAGATGTAATAAAAACTAAGAAACACACTTTTACCAATTGAAATTTGTAAGCATATTTTGAAGTCAGAAGGAAGCTCTAGTTCTGTGTATTTTTGTGATACGCACTCTTCCAAGTACATCTCGACACTCGTCATCTACAGGCTTCACTGATCCAGTAGACCCACACATCGGCATTGTTTTAAGATTCCGCGTTGGGCAAGCAAACGTCAAAAAGAAGCAATCGACTGCCAACCATAGACGTACAGACTTCAGCGTATTCTGATAGTGCGAACAATATGAGCGATTGCGTTGTAGCCAACTCCACAGAACCTCTTCTTATTCAGATGCTCATAAACGGAACGTTTCCCTTTCCGAGTGTGGAAAGGGCTTAAAGCCGTACAACGTCATACATCAAACTTGCTCCATACAGCCAGCAATCTTATTCACGCCTGTCTACCACGTTACCTATTTATCTGGCCGGGCAAACTAAGTCGAGCCATGGTGATTTTCCGAACTAGTATGGAATTTTTCGTAAGTATTTTATAGACAGAAGAGGAATATATTGAATTTGGGATTCATATCAAAGCCACAGGCCATGCATGACATGACATGATGGGTGTCTGAAAAAAAGAATGCCCTCAAGCCATGGGCCTACTCGCAACAGTAAACGGATTGAGATGTATTTTGGAATGGGCCTTGTTTAGTTTGCCAAGTGAACCGGATTATAAATTAGATGATCGAGAGCAGTTATGTTTGGTTTCAAGTAGTCAGCGTGATAAGGATTGCATAAACATAATAGATGTGCAATTATATATATATATATATATATATATATATATATATATATATTTTTTTTTTTTTTCTTTTTTTTGTTTTTTTTTTGTTTCGAGATTTACCTCCAATAAGCCACCAGATGACTGACTTCACGACGAAACAAACAGTGTGTCTTGCGCAGGCTCGATATTAGACCACAACCTGTCCCTAAGATTAGAAGGCAAATACGCTACAGCTATCACGAGGATTCACATGCCTAATACTAAGAAAGATTTCTATAGCAATATGTAATGTTTATAGCGATATTAGGAATTTAGAACTCGATGTTGCTATTGCGGTCTGTCAGGGGCCTAGCATTTATTCGAAAACAGCGGGCGACTCTAGCGCCCTCTAGCAGGTGTTTACTCTCTGCGCTGGTGTGTGATCGCAGGTCATTTTTGGAAATTTTCATCAATTTTTCTGGCTTTCGATGGCCGTACCTATCAGAACCAGCAGCTCCTGACTACCAGGATAGTTTAAGTAAGTTTAGAAAACGGATATGGTGCCCATTTGTCGAAAATAAAGAGTGGGACTGAAATCTTCTGTCTATTTTGCGGTAGCCCACGGCAGCAAGTATGGCCTGTGAATTTGTGTGCGAAGACTTGTTTTCTATGACATATTTCTATTTTTCTATTTTGCTTCACGAATGCGAAGTTGACATGGGCTTGACTAGCATAAACGTTTCCAATAAATTTAAATAGCCAAATTGTAAGAAGTGGTCGTAAATAGACCAACGACGAAGAGAGCTATGCATCGCCTGCTCTTTCCATAGCGTTGAGCTTTGGTAGAGACGTTATACGTAGATATCAAAGACGATATTACAGTTAGGATAGGGTGGGTGGTTTAAACTAATTTTAGATAAACAAATATAAAAAAAAGCACCATTTTATAATTTACACAAACACTTACAACTTGATTGCCGCCTATATTTACTGTAATTTGGATGAAAATTCATTGCTTTTATTTAGTACATCGAGAAGTGTGTGGAACATTTAAAAATAATACAAAAAATTAACTACTCTTTATACTTGTTTAATGCTAGATTACCATGCATAAAACATTTGCGGCGCCTGAATGATATATTCTGCTTTCTCCTTGATAAATGATTATGTGCTGGTTGCAAGAAAAATTTTATTGCTCCTTGTGTATAACGGCTATTACATTTTGTTTTATATTACCCTGACCTCAATGTGGGCGTGTATTTTGTCAGAAAACGAACATAGTTAATAAGATCAAATTTTCTAAATAAACATCTTAAGAAGCCTCAAACATACAGTTAAACGCTTGTGTCTACCTTGACGTAGGAGGCATCGTTTAGTTAAAAAGTCAAATACCTTTATTTATTGTAAGTTACATATATAATATACATAAAACCGATTACATTCAGCGTGATCCTTTTTCATAAATCTTTTTTCCAAATATTTAATAATGCAAAGTCTGCGTTTCTACGCAGCAGAAACCATAGCTACAATAAAGACATTTATGACGTACAATACAGTTCTCCCTGACATCGACTTAATATAACCTTAAACCAAGTGGATCATCATCGAAGTCAATCCATATTTCATAAAAAATGAATAGTAATGTATAAAACTAATGATGCAGTAAAATATTTAATTTATATAACCAGTGGGGATAGTTACACGTATAATGTACCATCGACTCTTGATATAGCAGATACATTCAAGAAATAGCTCCAGTTTAATGCTGAAATGCTAAGCAAAGTTATTCAGAGTTATCACTAGAAGTCTGAAGATACGGTTGACAGCAGTAAAAGTGCCGGGCTCGTAAATATCTTGGTTTGATAGTAATGCACAAGCGCCTTTTCCATAAGAAGATTCAATGCTTCAGCGCGTTCATTAGTAGGAGATGGATTACTCACGTAACTCTGCTGATCATATATACCAAATGTCTTATTATAGATGCCTTCACTAACTACGAGTTAAATAAACGAACGTTGTTCTTGCAGCACTCTAAAGAGTTCGTTATCACAATTTCAACCGCATGTTTTTTTTGCTAGATAGCCAGAGTGGAGTTTGGAGTAACGTGTCTGAAATGGCCTTGTTCTACCCAACGACCAATACGCACGGAACCTTCGGTGCTTCAACGGAATCACCGCGATGGTGTGATGCCTTCGGTCCTTTTGAACTCCCGTGCGGGCCGGATTCGCGGACAGGAGTGGGCCCTTTCCTCATGAAAGTCAAACGGCGAAACAAGATCAAGAATAACACCGTCATGCTCATTTGCGAATTTGAACGGCGTGAAGGAGGATGTCCAGCTTACGCCTATGTGACACAGAAAGGCCAGCTCTTAGGCAGGTCAGATCTAACAAGCTTTTTATCACCCTAATAAATCTTGGCAATGCTTGAAAATAGTCCATACAGTCAAATAGAAGTTAGCAAATGTTTTCCTCTATTCGCTGCAAATACCGATAAGAACTCGGTTAATTTTTAGTCCTCTCTTTTCAAGCTGGGTTTGGCAATCATCGTGTCTACTAATACCAGATAAGAACGTAACTTGGGTAATTTAATTCTTCATACCCGTTCAACTGTCAGTATCGTCGCCTCGTAGCTCGACCTCTTTTGTTGTGCCCCATTAAATGTTTTCATATGAAGGCAAACATTTCGCAACGTAAGTTTGCTCTTCGCAGGTTTCGGCAGGGGACTGAAGTGGACTCAGTTATGCTGTTGGCTTTCTCTTGGATAACTCCTATAGTAATACTTCATGGTTCATCCGAGGTAATTCAACATCAAGAAGTTAGCCACGAGTCAGGCTTCCTTTATTAAATGCTTTATTTTCCAGACGTGGTTTACACAATCATTCGCCTCTACGCGACTACCCGCAATGCGCTCCAGGCAGCCTCAGTGGATTGGCGTCAATTCCAGCCCCACCCACGTTTGCCGAGGCGTCGGCGCTTCTCCGTGATCCGCGGCGCCGCAAACAGTGGTTTCGGCAACAACCTGCCGCTCCGGCACCTTCCACGAGTATACCAATTCCAGATCCTGAGACGGGTGCAATGATTGAGTGGGTACTAGTTATTTAAGCACTTTTTTGTTTACAACTGAAAGTAAATTATATTGAATGCATATACTAAAAATAATTACCTAAAGAAACCAGAAACGCTACCGGGTATTATCATTGAGAATTCAAACTTAGCCTATAATTAAGGTGTCATTCACGTTCATATAATTTACGTTAGCCCAGTTATATTTATTGCCTATTCATAGGACTGAAATTACGGCAGCAAACGTGCTCGAAATAAGTCGATACGCGGAAAAGAGAGAAACCATCAATGGCGAAATTCGTAAGTGTTATATTTGTTGGAATTCCTTGTTTGTCTACTTTTGCCATATTCTTATAAGGCGTAGGGTTTTGCTGATTTGAGCAGTGTTCTTCTAATTATTTTGGCGTTTTCCAAATGTTCTTAGTCACACTAACCGAAATTTCCGACGTTCCCGAGAAAATGCAGGTTTGGCATGTCCGGTACCAGGATGTACGCACGTCTCGAAGAAAGGCGGTATATACAAACATCTCCGAATGCTGCATATGAACCTTCCGGATCGAGGTTCCGGCGATCTTTCATTCTGTGATGAAAAGCTTTGCCCTCTATGTAAACAGGATAAGGTTACTCATGAGGATCTCATTCGTCATATCGTACACGATCATGATACCCGCCTCGAATGCACCGAGTGTGTTGCACTTATGCGTTATTAATTATAAATAGCATGCGCTTTATTACAAGTGCTTATAGGGCTATGCGTTTTGCTTCAAATACGGCCAGGTCATTCGTCCATCTCTCAAGGACTCTTCGTTGCCTTTTAACGCTCTAGCTGAAACGCAAAGGGAATATTTCAGATTCACTATTTAGCTCCTTTATATAATCATTTTTCTCTAGCGCCGTTAACCAGTAGTTAGTGACAAAAATGCACTTCAGCTTCGGATACACTACTTTTAATAAAAGCTATTGGTTTCATACGATCCGTTGCATCCTCAAATTTGAATGTGTAGATATGTAATATTCGTATGAGGTTCCCCATTTAATCAAATATGCAATGGCATTTATCGGTCATCTATGACAATGGCTTTTGCAGGCATGAGTTCGAATCGGAAGATGATTTTAAGAAGTGGAAAGAACGCACGGAACAGGAAGAAATGTCATCATTTGCGTTACGCAGCGGAAAAAATCGAGCTCCTCTGGGCACTTATATTTGTTGCCGTGCTGGTCGTAAGCATCGAAGATCGCCACTGAGCCGCTTGCTGGGATTTGAGTGTCCTGCTTCAATGGTGGTTGAGCGTCGAAATAATCGCCTCTATGTGTGGTTCTGGCGAACGCATATCGGCCACCGGCCGGCCGTTGTGGATGTCACGTACGTGTGGTTGTTTGGGCAATGTTTACTAATAATAATGCACGTAAGCTAAGGAGAAATTTTACAATGGTTAAGATGAGGTTTAATGAATTTTTAAGGTTTACGGAACTTCGAAAGGTCTTTCTCGCTACATAGAGAGAGGACTTGAAGGTCGCTTACAAGGGCATGCTTGTGAAGTACGCTATCTACTTGTGCGTAACGCTAAGTTTATTGCAATATAGAGTAATGGATCGATACTCGTATGTCCAACAAAATGAAAGAAAAAGGGCTAATTTGGATTGCAGCTGCTTAGATATACCGCAGCTTAACAATTACCGTTCTCATTTGCTACTGCAGTTTAAGTTCCAAGGACCGCGTATGGGTGAAGGAGTGCATCTTGAACAAAATGAACAACCGAGACATTATACTGCAGGGCATGAGCGGTTACCTAGGTGGCAATCCAAGAAGAGTCCACCTTTTGGATAGTCAAGATATCGAAAACATTGTAAGGCATTTCGACCTTAAAGAACTACGAGGCGATATCAAAAGCGTGAGTGTCGCCTTATGTTTTAAAAATATTGGATTCAGCTGTACCGCTTTTATTACGCTAAATCAAATACCTAATAGTTAATATATACTTAAATGTAATTTAGGTAACTGTAATGTTTGTTGCGTTGCAGAAACACTTCAAAAATGAAGACTTGCGGAAAGTGAGATTGGCCCGTTACATTAAGCGAACCATGGGCAATGACAAGCCAATGGAGGCCGCTCTGAACAGAGCTTACCACAACGAATCACAGGTGGATATTGACATATTTACACTACCTATTATATCTCATAAAAAACGACCAGGTCAAATTGACGGGTGTGAATTTTGTAGTACTAACTAGTTTGTACTTTAGTGTAATTTTATTCCAGAATTGAGCTTTATAGATTCTATAGGTTTTAACAAACTTGCATAACGATTGGGCTGATTTTACTGACCTCTTTTTGCTGTAATCTAAGCTCGGTGTATCTTAGCTTTGATATTGTTCGTCTATTATAAGCAAATTAATTACACATTCGTTGCAAATCAAAATCAGCCTGCATTGGATTTGTCAAGATGTAATCAGTAACAAAATCGATCAAAGATGATTCTTAGGTAGAACGCCAGGAGCGGAACTATTTAGCAGAAAATTCAATTTAAATCAATTATTCAGGTTACTGTGGCTGATTCACTGTTGTTTCAGCCCAAACGTTCAATGGTCCAAGATCATCTGACGGGATTTCACACGGTAACCGGTGAAGATGAGAGCGATCGCGGAATCGTTTTTCCCCGCCGCTCTGGACACCGCGAGTGTGATCATATTTGTGATTTTTGCAACGTCTGTGTGCACAGGTTAGTAAGATATAAAGCATTCCTTTATGTGCTTACGCATTGATGCGAGGTTTGAAAGCACAGTAATATAAATATTTCCTTTTGAGCGAGCTGTTCTATATACGAAGCTCCTGTTTTATGTCGCTAACATTGTATGACTCCTGCAGGTACGGGTGCACGTGCTCAGCATTCATGTGTGATGGATTAATGTGCGACCATATCCATACAGTGGCTATGTTGGCTGGCGTACCCGGAGATGAATGGTTGGATCCAATGTTATGTAGGGAGACATTCGGTCTAGACGAGGCTTTAATAAGACTAGCTAGGATGAATTATAAAGAACGACTCGAAAAAATGGTGCCGCTTCTTGATGAATTCGTTGCGCTCGTTAGGGTACGTACCGAGCCTTTCTGGACGTGATCGATTAACGGCACCTTTTTGCGCAGTTGTTTTTACTTATACTTACAGTACACATTTTTATTCGATAGTTTGGTGACTAGTACAAGCATTTTGGAGACAATACAATTAAGTGCAGCCACCAAACTGATTTACAGATCATTATTAGGCAAATTATATGGTGAATTCTCTCGTTTTTTATTCATTTTAATTTATAGTTTCTACACTTCTACACTTCTATTAATTCTTTTTGCATGAATCAAACTAAAAGTAAACCTACCTACCTATTCTCATTTAATAATATGTTTTAAACAGGGGGACCAGCATCAGATGGATTTGGACAAGCTTCAAGAACTTTTGGATTCCGGCATTGCGATGGTAAAAGCATGCCCTAAGCCACCTCTAACATTGGACGACGAAGCGCCTGCAGATGCCCTCGCCACATATAAAGAGCCTGATTTGTTCGATTTCGCGGACGACGAATTAACGCTGCCGGCACCAAAATCGACTAGTTTAACTTTGAAGGTTCGTCCTAGCGGGACCCGTACAGCTCTTATTGCACCTTTGGCAGGACCATCAACAGCGTCAAGTATAAAACCCGATACGAAATTGGCTCGCGTAGCTGGAGTAGCCTTGTCCACAACTTCTGTTCAGGGAGTCACTCGACCATTGGCTAATATTCCACGCGCGGTTGGTCCCACCAAAGCTGGTGCGGGTGCCGGCTGTGAGCTTGTACGGCCAACATACTCGCGACGCGCCAACAGGCTTGGCTCTGCCGTACGAATGACAAGAATATCCGGTTCTGTTGCTAACACTAATGACAACTCAAAGCCGACTATGGCGGCGTCAAAAATCATCTGTTCACCTGTCGCAGCAACAACTCGACCCGTTGGAGTCCGTATGATACGACTGCCTTCTCCGCGAGCACCGGCTGTGACATCCTTATCGACAAGAACAGCTCCAACATTAGCAACTTCACGCCTGTCATCTATCGCAACAACTGGTACCGGAGGACCAATAATAGTGCCTACTCGTTTAGTAGTTCCCTTACCCCAGCTTCTTGCTGCTGGTCTAAGGCCGGGGTCGGTAGCCATTGTTCGAAAAGGCCTGCCATCACCAGGGGCTGTCCTGGTAAGGGGTCCGTCAGCACCAATCTTGATAAAGGCCACACGGCTACCCCTTAGTGAAACGCCTTCTACAGCGATTGTGCCGGCCATAAATAAGGCCGAGCCTGCTACTAGAACAAATGAGCAATTAACAGAGAACTTGACGGTCACAACAAGAACTGAGTCAACTTTAAGAACACTTGCAGATCGAGTCAATGAAGAGGAATTAGATAAAGATCATGCGTTTGTGAAATCTGAAGAAAAAGATGGCCTTAAAAATAACACCCTTCAGGAAATTTCGTCTACATCCAGTTTCAACCATTCCGATGCAATATCTATTGGAAGGTCTGTACATACGCCAAGCGCGACACAGTTCGAGTATGCTGCCATTAAACGAGAGGGTAGTCCTATCCATATGGGGTTACCAGATAAGAAAGCCAGACTCGAAATGTCGAAAATTGTCAATCTGAATTTTGGCGATGGCCAAACATCGAGTATGTCTTGGGATGATATAGGTGAGAATTGTTCAACTGTCGGAAATTTTTTAGGTACTACAGATCAGTCAACAACGGATTCAGTAATCAGTTCAAGCCAAACTGTGTCTGCTAGAGAGGATTCGAGGGTCAATCACTGCCCCGACCACCAATCACAGCAATCGCTGCTATCGCAAGAGTCTGAATCACCATCTGAACAAATACCTCATATGAAACTTAATACTGCCAAAGTTACAAACACATGCGACTCTTCAGTTAGACATGCTGAACTCCCAGAAGTATTCTATCAAGATCCTTCTCCGAATAGTTGTAATAACAGTAGAAATTCGTTTACAAGTACTTCAGGTCAAAACGTCTCCACAAAGTTAGTTAGCAACGGAATACAGCCGTGGTCTGAAGCTCTTAGTTCAGCATCTGTTGGCGTTTGGAATAACCGAGAACAACCAGTTAGTCAGAATGTCTTAAATGTGCAGGGCCCGTGGCCCGAAGACTCATGCTAATACACTTTAAGTCAAAATTACTATTGGGACGGAAACAGCATCAATATCATGCAGTCGGCAGATAACCTTCGCTCAAATATGGAAGGGCTAGGGATGTCTGAAACAAGAGTACAGTCAATCGAATTGTTCGATTCACAACATTGAATGATCAGTCTAAGTACAATTGTAGCAAAATCTCTCCCTTATGAACGCTTTTAAAAGTACTAGACGAACTGAACCTGCTCATTCGTTCCTCGACGATTAAGGGCTGAACCCGCGAGCACAGATATAAACAAATGATTAATATGATCTTGGAGTTTTAACAAATTGTATGCGGAAGATACAGCGACTTTGAATCTGTGGCTATGGTCCACGTCACCCGCCTTTCTGCCGTCACCCGCGGTAGCTGTGCCATTCCTACCATATGATTTAAAACTATAAAATATTTTAAAACTGATTACGAAAAGCACAGGTATTCAAAAAAGGAATTTAGTAGGAATGGCACCACTTGGCCATTAAATGAAAGTTTTCCAACGTCGCTTCTTAATGGATCATGTGTACTGTACTTGTTTCAATGCTAGCTCGACTTATCTTCTCACACAGCTGTTTACAAGTGACCTGACGGCGAATGCGAATCCGTGTGTTATATATTTTTAAACTGTAAAAGATACACCGGTATGTGCCTTAAAAACGTTGATCCTTAGCAAAATAATGAGGGCGCTTTGATGGATACCCATTCTTATGTTGCTAATTGAGTCCTCTCAATGCACAGAAGATCAGTTTTTTCGCTCCCGAAAACTACCATTTATTTTACAATGTATATGTAAGCCTCTTTGTTACGCTTCTCTAGTCTACTGAGTGTAAAACTCACAGTTTGGAATGTTTTCGAAGTATATTAATAGGTTATAAACACTAGAGGTGCTATTTTTGAAATGGCACAACATCAAGTCCACACACACAAACACAGACACACAAGCCTCGTTTCGAAAAATACGCCGTTACGATACAGATATCTACGCACATGATTCACATCTAAATATGAAGCTATACATAACATTAACCAGAACTGCCAGTGTAAATATGGAAACCTTTTTTGAAAAAAATGTGACCGTGGCTATTACTTATTAAAACGGACTTACAGTTGTCTGGGGCAATAAGATAACTTGTTATTACTCTACTTAGAACTCTAATGTATCAAAATATGCAATAGTTATACCTATATCCAATAAAATATACAACGGTTATCACTAAGTTGTTAGAGCTGCATAAATGGAAACGAATTTGGCAAACGTGTGGTGACCAACAAAAGAAGGTATATATTACTTTATATGATAAAAACAGTGATAGGTATCCCAGGTGAAGATTGATATGTATTTTTTAGTTCAAGGAGTGGAATATTCATATGCGAGTGCCTATTCTCAGCTCATTCTTTGTGGTATGATGAGCTTCTGATAAATAACAATAATATTGATAAAAAAAACTTCAATTGTATGTGTCCTAGTCAACAGTAATTACATGCTAATCTTGTGTTATTAAAACGAAACATGTTAAGTTTAGTTAGTAAGCGCCAACAAAAATTCACTTCTGCGACTTTAGCTTGATAAACAGGTTCGTTGCCCTCACCAACACCAAATTTTGTCGCAGGCACTTCCGGAAAAAGGTACCCTTTCCCATGTAGGTACATCCTACAAATAATTGCCTGTAAGCAATATTATTATTCTGCCAATAATGTAGAGAATAATTGCCTGTAAGCAATATTATTATTCTGCCAATAATGTAGAGAAATATTACGGAGTCCTTCCATTATGCAGTAAATCCGGTTTTACACGTGAAGAAAGCAGCTTTTCCGAACAGACACTAGCGCTAACACCTGACGCTATTACTGAATACAAGATAGATTTTACACTACTATAAAAAGTAAGCGGCTTTCAAAAACAGCACACTACAAAAATTTCGTAGCAGTAGTCTTTGTTTTCTATTTTCTTCGTTCTCTGTACATCTATGTTGGTTTCCCAGCATATATGATATACAATGATACAAGAATACAATGATACAAATATTTCTGGTATTTTGCGCCCTCCAGATCGATACACTGGGCTCTCAATGTCTCTATCTATGGAACATAAATACGGAGAAAATATAGATAAACATTAGAAATAGGCGCGTGTATCGACTTGCTAGCCTCGGCGAATCTAGAACAACTTAGGCGTCCTGTTTTAATAGGTCAGGATCAAGCTGAACCCTCTCTCCGGGTTTGAACGCAGGTAAACCACGATACGGGCAAGATGCACACCTGAAGTTATCATAACAAAACGTCAATTGTTGTTTTGACGACTGCATACTAAGTCCTACTGCACAGTAGCGACTTAGGGAAGAAAGTCAGCGAAGTAAAAAAGGTAACCATGATTATTTTTCCATAAGGCGTTATAGAGGCCAACTATACTTGAATTTAGTCTCCAAGATGAAATATCTCTCAGTCATGGCTAGTCTCAAATTACAATATGATATTTTAGCAAAAAGGCTTGTGACGAACAAAGATCTTCGAAATTGGACTTCGAAAGAAAAACAATTTTACATTTTATTAAATGTTTAAATGCGCCGATTCATAATGCTGTCGCATGTTTACCTAAAAGCGTCTCCAAGGTAACAGCTGCCACAGGAACTTTTCGGTTGCTCAATGGCGGCCTTCCTCATTTGTGCCTCCTTATCGAGCTCTTCAGCCAGCCCACAGGTACAGTTTTTGCAGGCTTTTTTCTTCCCTGAGAAAAACATTCGAGCCAACTTATATATATGCCTTTTGTGTAATCAAATGTTTTTAAAGAAGAAATGAGCAGCAATTCAAAACAATACATATCAAATTTAATTTCTTGCCCCACTCAGTATTTCAATGCATAATTATAAACATAATCTTACATACAGAAGCATACAATTAGTTTCCTTATGCCCGAGATAACATACTGATGATACCTAATCATAGACGTTGGGGACAGATTAATCAATGTTAATGCCCATTGATTACCTTTTCTTTCTCTCTCTATAGCAAATGATGACTAATTATGTTTTATAAAAGAAAATAAGTATTTTTAATGACAATACTAATAAAATGTTAAGAAAACTTCTAAACACATAAATCAATATTTAAAGAAATAGACAATGTGGCTTTCACCTTTATATGCACATTTATAACCCATACGACGCCTCTAATTGCTACCCGAACACATTACCTGTTGTTGCACACTTGAGATCGGCATTGTTTGGTTTCTGTTTATCTTCTTCCTCGAGTAATGCGTCTTCATCGACTATATCATCTTTATCGTCAGCATCTAGCATCCATATTTTTCTCGTATTTTCGGCCGAACCGTTGCTTAAATTACCCGCATCAATTTTCAACTGCACTCTTGATCCCGACTTGAAGTTTGGCCTTTCACCGGTAACCTGTAAAGCCCCGTCGACCTCTTGGACGCCACTGATGTTCACAAAACCCATCAACTTCAGCTGTCTTAAAGCTGAGGCATCACATTTGCCCGTAAGTACAATCTTACCCGAAGGCTTGAGCGATTCATAAATCTTTATCCAGTCGTCAAAAGTTACAGCCATTCTCGGACTAACCGCACCAACAAATACAACTTCGAAGCTGTCTCTGCGTGTCTCATACACTTCCACGTTTTCCACATTAACATCTTTTCCTGAGGCGTGTTGGGCTTTAGTCAAAAAACTGGTCAACATTTTGGCGTCGGGTTGTCCAGCCCACAAGAGTAGCACATTGTCTCCCGCAGAAATATGCTCCATTATTTGCACTATTATATAGCTAATGTAATTCCCTTTGGAGCTGAAGATCACGATATACAAATGCAACCGCTACCTAAACCCTATACATGCGAAGCAATACAAGACTATTTGCCTTATCTGCGATTAAATAACACATCACTAGATGACATAAATCCCAAAATATAAACAAACTGTTATTTTGCACAGTTAAGAGCCAACCCGCGCCACCTACATTTAGTATCGTCAGTTGCTGATTTGTGTGTTTGGTGTTCTTTGTTTTGTAGTCGGATGGAGGAGAGGAGTTACGCTAATCACTTCAGATTTAGCTCGTTTTATTTCTGCTCAATATATACACGCCCTGTGCAGACTAGTAATCGTCGCTTTTAATCGCTATCAACAAATCGGTAACTGCGCAATTGTCACGCTCTATCACACATCTAAGAATAATTTACTGAGACGTTTTTGAATTTGGCGCTGGGAAGGATCAGCTGCCTAAACCTTCGCTGGCTGGTTGGCTGCTGGGTTTAGGCAATCACCGTTCGACGCAGCCGGATATTTGACCAGATGTTTTGAAAGCGCATACACTCTTCTATGACAGATAATAGGGAGAAAATAAATTCTTAATGCACTTCGTTAAGTAGTGATTCGAATGTAGCGTTAATATATAATGTGCTGTTCTATGTGTGTCATAGTGGTGGATAATGTGGTGTGCGATAAACACGGACGAAGACTCCGCAAGTCAGGAAAATCGGAAAAAACTTGGGGAGTATAGCATCACGTTGAAAGTAAGCTACTAACTAAGAAGAGTCGTGGAAATTTATACAGAAACACAATGGCTTTTATGAAAGAAAAAGCTGTTTTGAACAATTTCGACAGTTTCTTCAATCAAGGTAAGTATATGAATCGGGCAAACAGTAGTACCCGAACACTGAAATAGAGATAGAAAAAAAACATCAATATCGTTACAGTCGCTCAGATCCCTACATAGTTGGTACTTATTTTATTTATTTCTTAAGTGAATTTGATTCTAAAACAATACGAGGAACCATTGAAAGTAGTCAAATCTTAGAAAGTGGGTAAGATCATTAGCAGGCTTGGCTTTTAAATACGACGCTAACCTATGACCCAAAGGCGCAACGTAGCCTATTGTGGAATCCCGAGAGGTGCAGGGCATAAATAAAGATTGCCGAATAGCAAAATTAAACAGTTACAATTATCACTATTATCAAGGTATAAAACAAGGATGTTTTTCATTATGCCAGAACAAATTATCCTGGGATAAAACTCCTCCGATGTCATATTAAAGTTCGAAACACATAAACAGACTTGCTAAAACGTAGCATTATGATGCCCATAAAGTCGCCGCATTGATACAGTGGCGTGTGCGGGCAATCCTTTGAGTGAAGAGACGAGATGCCGATGATTCAAGTCGCGCCCACGATACAATCTGTATGAATAAAGAAAGTCAGATTGTTGTACGGTTTCAAATCCGAACACAGGAACGACCTGACCTAAGGCAGAGTATAACAAAAGTGTAGGAAATACAACGTGATCAGCTCCAATAAATATCCCTTAACAGTTGTGGTATGAAAAATTTAACCTGCATTGCAGATGAACCATTGGAGAGATACCTCGACCGAGTGAGCTACCTGCCTTCACATAATCTCTTGGCCATCGTGACTTCCACAGGCGAAACTGTGGTATTTACTGGAAAAAATACAACCACCCAAAAAAATGGCTTGCAATCGTTTAAGCCGAAGGCAAACATTGTCCTAGATAACGACGCGTTAGTATTATCACTGCTGATGTATATATATCTAATTGAACTATTTCAACTCATTAGAAGTAGAGGTAGATAGCTACACCACGATCACAGGTTTGTGTCTGTAGTATCTCTACCCACCCTTGAAAATTCGTCGCTGTATACCGGCAGAATAACATCGAACATTTAGCTACAGTGTCATCAAAACTGGCATTCACAATGTCAATAATACGGCCTTGTTAATTTTCAGAGTAGACATCTTTTTCAATTGAAAAAAATGTCATTCTCGTAATGAAAAAAAATATTCCGCTGAGCGAACTGGCGAACAGAACAACATTTTATTTGTAGTAGAGATCAAAGAACAGAGCACGAGTATGAGAAAAACATCATGCGTAAATATGAAACTTTTATAAAATATAGAATATTAATATTTCTAATGAAAGTTCGATACTCTCTTTGTCATAGGGCCATGTGTGTCTATTTATTGCCTGTAGCAACGAAGAAATCTTCAATCATCGGTAATAGCTGGTGTGCCGTGGTTGTGGGCACTAGATCGGGTAGTGTACTATTTCACAACGAGGAGGGTCGCCTGCTCCTTCGGCAGAATCTATTTACTCAAATGGTCAGCAGTGTGTGCATCTCGGTTAATTCGGCTCTCCAGGGTTATGTCTATGCTACATCAGGTAAAGAACATCAAGTTGGGAACTTACATAGGTTGGACATATGTCATATGAGCATGAAATAATGGTAGCGATTGTTTACGATAGTTGCTTTAATGTATTGTTTTGTTATTGCAACATAGATGTGAAAACTTCGTTCATAAGGAAAATATCACACGTCGCTTAGTGACGTTATATTTCCTATCCTGATCTTTTGCAGGTTCAACGTTGAACATGGTGGGCTACGGCGAACTTGTCGTTGAGTTAGAAGACCACCTTAACACGCTGATGTTGTCTTCGGGCGATGCAACGCCCCAGAGCGCTTCGCTCACCTGGAAGTATCTTAGATTACAGCAAGTGAAAAACACGCAGAAAATTGCGCTGACGCATCACGGAGTCGATGAGTGTCACTTCGATCAACTGGAAAGGTAAGTATGATTGTTGTCAAGGGGTAAATTAACCAGTGGATCGTTTATTCTCAGATTCTTTCTTTCATTTCTTATCATTCATACTCTTTAATTTATTATAGCCTTACTTTAAGCGCTGCCCGGATTTCCTGCATCTTCATCATTGTTTGTCAATCATTTTTTAGATGTACTATTGAACGTTATGGAAGTCGAGGAGAAGTTTCCAATGCGTCCAACGTTGTAGTATCTAGCGTGGGCTCTGATCCATTCTACAATCTGACGTTGAGCAGGGAAACAACGCAGATAAATCTCGTCACTGATATTGCAGTTGCAGTGGCAAACAAGTTCGGCAAAATTATTTCAGAGTGAGTTCTCTTATTTTATTATTATTAGAAAGTAATTAGAAAGATGTTTTTGTGCGAATGCACAAATAACTGACTATTATTCGAGGTTATATTAGGACGATTAACTAAATTGTTACGACAGTGGCGCGGCTTTTGTTTGTGCCATTTTCGAGTTCAGAATTTACGGTTATTACTTATTTTCATTTTTCTTTTTAGCAATGTCCCATTTTGGGGATCGAAGCAGAAAGCAGAATCAGAAGTCGATCAACAACCGAAAATCTCCACTTTAGGACCCCACTCTCAGCATGGGTTGTTTGACCGGGAGCGACTCGGCACCCATCTATGTTTGTCGCCCAGTAAACGTTTCATCGTCCTGGTTGATGCACTTGCAAGGGTCATTCTCGTTGATGCGCTTTCCGGTGAGTGTAGTTTCGTAGCTCATCAATATTGTGTTTAATTGATTGTTTGGAATTACAAATGTTGCATCTATTAAATATAATACTTCACTAGTTATAACTGAGGACGAATGGAAAGCATTTTTTAAATAGAAACATTCCGAAAGTTAATGCTGTAATATTATGTAAGTGAGATCATTATTAAATATTAATGGCATAATGTGGTCTGTCTATTCGCTAAGCGTTGTTTGCTTTAGGACTTATGAACGTTCCTGTTGCTACAAATGTGCTTTGGGGCGGGTTCCTTGAATCTATAATATTTCATATGTTTCACAGTGTTCTAAAGAAAAAAATATGACTATTTTGACGATACAGGTGTGCCGTTGTACATTATGAAAGGATATCGACGAGCTCAATTAGGCTGGATTACAGCTACTTCTTTAGATGGCTCACGTCGTCAGGTCGAGCTCCTTGTTGTATATTCAGCAAAGTCCAGACAGATCGAACTATGGAATACGCGGAAAGCGTCTAGAGTGACTGCGTTTGCCGCTCCTGAAGGCCTCGGACTCTTGGTAATTTTTCTATCTTACCTTTTCCTACATCTTGTATCAAGACATTCATTATTGGTGATGCGTACATACGCGTACTAGCTGTAGTTTATACGATGTATTATACATGAATATATATTATTTAAAACACATACGATCATGAAACATCTGACAGTTCGTACAGCGGTGGAATCGACGAAATCGATGAGAATTTACCTACCCACTAAGTGTCATAGTGGCTTAAAGATAACGCCATTGTCAAACAATCATCTTTTAACAGCAGCAACAACGTTACGTTTGCAGCTTTATGATTCCGGCAACATTGATGTAAGTGGAACCGATGATAATTTCCCTACAATGGACAGGCAGGCGTATTTTCTCACGAAGAACGGCCGTCTCTTCGATATTATGATATCGTTCTCGGAAGCGCTTGAGTTTGAAGATCTAAGCGAAATGCAAGGTCATTTAGATGATTTGGCCGAAGTGAAGAAGATACTGGAGGAGTACAGTCATGGCAGCCTAGAGCGTCTTGAGAAGCTATTTAAACGTTTCAAGCGAGTGTCGCTTATACAGCAAGTCGTGAAGACGGTTTGCGAGTGTCCCGGTGCTGACGAACCTCTCATAGAGCTCCTTTTCAAAGTACTAAAAGGCAAACATCTTCGAGGTGCTAGGAAAGCCACGATGCGAATTCAAGAAAACCTCTCAAAGATTGAACGTCTAATGAAGGTGTACAAATATATAAACCAAAGCGATAGTGTGCTGATGGGTGATCTACGTAATATGCCGAGTTCTTCTGATCTCGATGCAATAAAGCAATTTGAAGGAGTGTTCGGTTACGACTCGCAAGACTACTGCTTTCGATTAGCCGATTTGAGACTGTGCGATTTTTTGGCGAGCTTTGCCGTTCTTATGGACACCGTCGAGACGAAAATTAGTATTGAATCAGGCGAAGAATCTGAGGTTTTTGTCGGAAAACTTGTACGGGCCATGGCCACAAATGAAAATTTTTTTAAGCTTTTGCAACAACAAGAAGTTTGCATGTGGTCAGTGACCACATGCTTGCTGCGTGGCCTATTTGCTAGCTCGACGCTCGTTAAAGAGGTGGTATCACAATCGTTCACTGCGCTAGGTCACATCCTCACAGTGGTTCAGGCCCATGAAGAAAGCATGACCCCGTTTTTAACTAATGTTTATGAGGAAATCACCGAAACGGAAAACGTTCCTGCCGCGATGGTGGCGAGTTACATGGTGCATACACTTTTAGGTCCACAGAAGGTTAGCCTATTGGAAGACGTCGAGGAATCATTGGAGTGCAAAATCTTTGCAGGCCTGTTCAAGCAACTGCAAAAAATCCTGCCTCTGGCTGCTTTGTTGCGGTGTCGAATCAAGGACCCGTCTCTACCAGCTAAGGATTATGCCAAAATATTTCCTATTTCACTGAAGAGCCTAAGCAGATCCGAGGGATATATTAGTGATATTGTGTCGCAATGGATCTGTGAGCAACGCCTTGGCCCTGAGCACTTGCGGCAGGCACTGGCACGGATTACGATGGTTACCTGTTTAGAGGACAGACTCGAAATTCCAGTCATCTCACTCGGTACGGCGTCACAGCTATTGTCTGATATTCGAATAACGTTTCCGGTGTCGCTTCAACTGGAGACAATGTTGGCTAATTGTTGTTGGAGTTATCTTTGTCTATGGAACCAGAACTTTCATGACTCAGAAATACTTTTGCTGTCAATGGGCTTTCTTCGTATCATCCAAGCATACAAGCTAAAGGAAGGACTATGTCATATAATATGGAAATCGCATTTACAAACGCGAGTTATCGCTATGGCCCGGATAATGGAACAGTCTGGAGTATTGCCAGACGCCCAGTTGGAACGTTACGTTCAAGTGGGAAGGTGCGCTTTGACGGAATTCTTCAACTTTTGCTCAGCCATTCTCGACATCATTATCGAGGTGAACTAAGCATTGTATTGATTTTCAAAAATTATATACAAACGTATTATTTACTTTATCTGTTCTTTATAAGTCTATATATTAATATGCCTGATTATTGGCAAAAAGGTGGACTTTAATCTAGAAACCTGTGTCTATAACTTTAATTAAAGGTTCTTTCGTTTGCAGAGTATGTTGCCAAGCGAAGACGTGGAAATACTATGTCCGTTGCTTAAGGAAGAAGTGCTTTCTCCGGGTTTCGCGGAAGGCGATCCGTCACTTATATCCAGAGCTTTATCATTGCCTCAAGCTTTGAGAGATACCGTCCACTTGCACTATAGCCTAATCACAATACTGGCCTACTGTACCCAGTTCAACCTGGACGAAACACAACCCTTATCATTGTTCGATAGCGCGGTAAGTGGTGAGAGCATCCATAGATGATTAACAGAAATCAGAAATGTTTGATTGCCATCAGGATTCGACAACGAAGCATGCCATACGCAATTTAAAACAAAACCATTTCCCTAATCACGTAATCGGAAGTATCTAGCATGTACTACACACGAAGTTTAGAAGAAACAAGGTAATCACTTTCATTTAGTTTCAGCAAAAAATATATATGAATACTATCTTGTGGTTATCTTTTCAGGCTCAAAGTGCCCTTTCTGAAGACCTCTGCGAAGTTTACCAACGATACAATCAAACAGCGACTACTGGGGCATTATGTAACCGGCGTATGCTGTTTCTTCGGCGAGCAATCGAAGGCTGTGTACAACGCCTTCCTGAAATTTACATGCCCGAAGAACTGATTGAATGCCAGGCTTGCATGGTCCGTCTCCTCGATCTAGCTCATTCGTGGGATATCGACAACGATATAGTCAACAGAGAATATGTTGTATGTGTTACCATCTTTTATCTAATTCCATCTTTCGACTGAAACACCTGAAAAACGTCTAAATTCGCAGTTCGAACTATATTCCTCTTTTTTTTTTCTTCTTTCGCCTTTTTTGTAGACTGTTTACACATAATAATGCCGCTTTATTTACATGTTTGTTTTCAGCTGCAACTATATTCCAGTGGACATGACCAGTTGGCGCAAGAGGTGATGTCTCAGATAAGCGACCGTCGTGCAATGGCCGAATCGTTAATGATCATGACTGGGTTAAGGGTGCGCGCATTTTTGGGAGAAATTGACAAGTCAACCTGTGAAAAGCTCGGCGTCGTGTCAACGCGCGTCAATCGATGGATTGGCGAATTGGTTAGTAAAATAACAAAGTCTATTTTCTCGACGACCCTCGTTTCCACTGCTACGCACATAGACGAATCTCTGTTAATACTCGCTAAGATTACTATAATCACTACATTATTTTTATTTTAGAAATAATATATGCAGATGGCTTACTCTCACCGCAGCCGTAACATCAAGTTTGGGGTCTACCTAATAACTAAAATACACATTTTAGCCGGACAAAATACTTCGCTGCACGAATAAAAGCGTTGACAGCATCATGAATCTTGTACAGACTGTGTTATCCCTCGTTCCGGAGTCAAGCGCTGAGGCACAACTTCTCGAGGAGGTCATACTTCTAGTAACGAACCTGCCTGCTGTGAGGGCTATTGAAAATGATGATCTCTGCTAGTCGAACATGAGGAAAAGCGCATCGGCCCGTTTGCAGTGCACTGTGGAAGAGACGTCATTTCAAAGAAGGCAGCTTGCTTACTAGTAGATGCACGAAATGGCCACCTCATACAATTCAATCGTACCATCGCACCGATATATTTCTATGGATGAAGGCTATTTTTGACAGAGTTTAACGGTTCGTATGAGTTAGGAGCTATTCCACCTAACTTAGTTAAAAAGTAAGAATAACATAAATGAGGGATTAAGCTTTCAAATTTTGTTTATATATATATACTTATCATACTTTATAACGTTTACGCAAGCGAACTTAGGCATAAAAGTAGTATTAACTAAGTGACTATATTCGAATATGACGTTAATGTTATCTGTAATTATAGTTTAAACACTTTAATGCAAACGTGCACGAATCAATAATAAAGTCACATATTTGTCTGTAAAGTTATTTTACATTATAAATCACATTAGGACTTTTATTTAGGAAGGCAGTTTTGAGTGTTTTAGGAGAATGAATAAAAGGAAGAATGACAGCCATTCAACAGTGCCATATAGAACGTCTAATTTTTCGTTCCTTTTATATATTTTATGCTAGATTCAATGACGAAACCATATTTAAGAAGATTTTAGATAACTAGTATAAAAATAAATTTACTTATAAAATATTAAAAAAAAAAGTCAGCAGCCACCAAATTCTCAAGCTATCCACCAAGGAAATTATTGTCTGAGATACTCGCGATAATTCCACTAGATTGCGTTGTGCAGATCTAAGCTTATTTTTCTACCCTAGAGGGTCTGAATTTTAGTAGGTTTTTGTGTGTGTTTGATGGAAGTGACATTAGTTTTGGCACCTACAAAATACGCGATGTATCTCAAATGTCTATAATAGGACTTGTCATTTTTATTATACACACTTTAGATATATTACGATCTCCGACGTTCTTTTATGTGCTAATTTGCAATTCATCGTGTTATATTTTCTCCAAGAGCGAAATAAACAAAGTATGTTTATTCCTTCTCTTAAAATTTGTCTACATAAAAATACGTAAATAAAGGAGTGTGAAAGTTAGCTGGCTGTAATCAGGGCTAGCAATCCTTCCTGGCCTAACAGCATCAACTATTGTTCTATTTTCATATAGCCGCTATATACAAATAAACGAAGCAGAGTTACTTCGTGATGCTATACGATATCACAGCGCATAGGAAGTCCTGATAGTTGTCGAATTCACAATAAGTTATGGAGCGGTTCATTAGAATTCGCTTGCTTCCACCAATTATCGACGTATCTTTTACATGTGGCACATACCAATATGCAATACAGTAATGATTAGTATCATATTGATATAGCCTATTTTGCCTTCCTTCCAGATTTCTTTGCCGTCCCTGCTCTTCAGAGCCGCGTTTTTGTTTTGGACTTTGCTCTTTTCTTTAGAGAGGGAAAAACAAGCTTTTTAGGAAGCGATATTATTTATACGCGTCAGCGCATAGCTATTTTCCAGTGAAAGTTACCATTAACCTTTGCCACCGATATGTGTACGTGAGTAGTAGTCGTAATGATAGCTATGCATTCTGTGTGGAAATTAGCTGTGTTATTTTTACGAAACGCCAAGGCAGCTCCTTGTCTAGCCAGAGCGAGGAAAATATGGTAAGAGCAAACGATCATTCTTTTGGCCCAGGGATAGGATTGGAAAGGAGACAAATATTGGTGAGGAAACGATAAAAGTCGTATAGCGTCTACAGCACATGCTGTATTGAACGCGCTTGACCATTCTAATCGTTATTCCAAGGTTTGAAAATTGTAAGGACGTATCTAATGATAATCATTAGATACGTCCTTACGATAAAGGGTAGGTGATTGCAAATAAAATGGTAACCTGAATTGTTCCAACGTTATAGATATATAGACATTACTATTGTCTTACTTTTAGCGGATTATTGCTATTGTTCGACAACGTCGATATAAACGGCTGCGAGGACTAACTTTACTTTGTCCTTTTTGGTAATTAACCCTTAGACCCGTCTATCGTACCCAGTGATTTAATGGGCTAACGTAGTATGTCAATGGACCGTAGCCGAACGGAATATCGAATAGGTTTTGCGAAGTGGAACCTTTTGTAAACTCTCATGTGCTCACTTGCTCAATTTTTCGCTTCCGTGAATTTGCGTTGGGCCTCTCTTACCGCCAACATCCCGTATAAGGTGATTCTTTCGTAGTAATTGAATTTAAGTCAAATTGAAATTCAAATAAGACAGTGCGCTCTACCTCTGTACTGTACACAAGATGGTTCGATTACTGCTTGTTTAGTTATCCTTTTTACTCTGCTTTATTATTATGCTTAATTCTACGTTTCATGTGTCTGGACGTTCGACGAACTCTAGGTTACGAGAATTTCTGAAGCTTAAGGGACAGCAGCAAGGAAGGATAGGAAGGATGAAATACATGACTCTCCCAGTAAAAAATACCCTTAGCTTAAGAATTTATTGTACTGTTAAGCAAGCAATAATTGAATCTGGCTTCACTCGATTCATCTAATGTAATTATGGTAGACCTTTGCAAAAGACGTGTTTACCACTCTCGATGGATTCGAGGCATGACTTGCTAGCCGCTAGGTTATAACAATGATAACTGCCATAAGTTTTTTTTTCAACAGGAGCAGGAATTCGAGGATTTGTCGATGTCGCCCGGCCGTTGAGTTACTTTGGGCACTTTCACTATCACATAGGCAAAAGAGAGATCTCGAAAATCTGCACATATCAGTTATTACAATCAATGATCCAGATTCAAGTAGCATACTGTTAGTTACTATCCAAATCAGCCAACGTGGACATTACCATGATTGAAATATTCTACAGTAGCTGGCTCATTTCAATGACTCGAAACAAAAATCATCTACACCTTGTGGGATGTACTTTATAGCCTAAACAACTGCTTGGCCAATCAACACAATCAAGTGGCACGTAAGGCTTCTTTGCGATGTTATCGATAATTTATGATAGAGCTTTTACATACCTATTTTGATAAACAGCTCTGTACATGCTCAGTACTCCGCAGGCTTGTCGCCTATGCAGTAGCAAGTCGATGTTATTTATATCAGCTCTTACACAATGACGTTGTTGCTTCGCGTTATGGAGAGCACCGTGTTTCGCGTGGAGTAATGCTGCGCGAACTGATCACCTTGTCCCATTACATACGGCGTAGCGGCATTGGCGGGCGGACCGGGAATCACATCTTTCATAAGCGATATGTTAGCTACGCGCCGCCGCTCTATCGGCGTGGCTGTTTAAACACGGACTAAATTTCTAGGTCAGGCTGGCAGAAAGGAAATAACAAAGGACCTAATACAACATTAACCGTCACCGTGATATTTTCTCTACGTTTGCTAGCAACGCAGAAGTGTTTTGGCTTGTTTAAAACTGGGGTATATAGTCAGTTATCCAGGTCAGTGAACAGAGATTGTGCACCTGTTGGCGTCAAGTTATTCGGAGTACTAAGTGAGGCTTAAATGAACAAAGAATTCGAGCGTTTGCGGGGGCGACTGCGTCGGAGTCGATTATGAATGTGTTGGTCTTGTGCACTTGAAAAGTGTTGGCTATCAGGATGTTGCTAACTAGCCGGATGACCGACTCATTGGACGTGCTACAATAGTATAATTGTGTGTGTGTGGGGAATGTCAAAGACAAGAAGTTAGCACTTGCTTCACGGCAATACTCTCAGCCTGCAACGGAGGCTACGATGTCGTGGAACGAGCGGGAACGCCGGCCTTCGGCATGCGCAAAGGCTTCGCGCTGTATCCTAGTTACGTTTAACGTTTTGACATGGGTAAGCCTGCATAACTTTGTAATCCTTCGATTTCTTATCGAAAAATATATCGATACATTGTCGTAACGCGTGCCTGGTCACTAAAAGTGATTTCATAATTTGTCCTGAAAAACGTCACATGCATTCAGACATATTTGATCATATTAGATCAATTCACAGAAAGACGATTAGATCTAATATGAAGAAGATTTTAACTGTATTATCTAGTTATACGAAAAGTAGACCTTAAAATTCCAGAAAGTAACAGTTTTAGTTTCGATTATGCTACAGTTAAAAATTGAACGATTCATGAAAAATCGGTCATGCTACATGTTGAATCTTAACTCCCTACGGACAATTGGCACTGTTCTAATTGAGCTTGCTACGTGTTCGAGCAACAAATATTATTAAATCTTTGTTCTCAAACGAACTAGCGGCGCATCTGTCATACTGTAGTTTAGTAAGACTCAACAGCGATCGGGCAAACTGTTATTACTCAAACTAATATATTTATGTTGAAAATTTTTAGCAAAGAATTCTTTTTCACGTCAGGACAGACTGGGGACAAATTCATTGCACGTGAAAATAAGTGATTTAGCTCTGACTTAGATTTTATAGATATCAGTGACTGAGGCTTATTATCATGTCGTTTGTACGATCATCAGAGTAAAAGTTACCGATGAGTGTCCAGTAGCAATTCTATTAAGTGAACAACGGTTTTTTTTTAACAAGTATAGTGTGACTGCATAGATAAATAAGTACGATGAATTGGGTAGTGGTGAGTTTGACTTCACTTATTTTTTTAGCGAAATTCGTAATGACCGCATGGTCAACGAGTACTGCTTGTGTGATCCGCAGTACATGGTCTAAAGTTTATGCTATTTTTTTTTGGCTGGTGGTAGTGAACAGTTTTGCTTTGATAAATTTAGACCTTTATATATAGAGTTGTTATGTATTTTTAGGAAACGGACAGCCAGTACACATTGTCATTCAAGTAGACCTTTTTCCGGCCAACTGTACATGTTAACATAACTCAAGTATGATTCACATGCGTAATTCTGTAAATATATATATATAAGTAAACATCTAACCGATTGCATATTGCGGAACTCTTTTGATACTGTAGAACTCTACACTCCAACTTTGCTATACAAATCTAGACATTTAACATATTTTTGTATTACAGTTATTTGGCTTAATTCTAGTAGGACTATGTTTGTGGGTCCTCTACGAGCCAACTCTGTTCGAAGTGCGAGCCCATCTTCGGCTACTTGACGGATACAAGACCGGTCTTGTGATGGCTATCAGCATAGCTGTAGGAGTTTGTCTTCTCAGTATGATCGGCTATTGTGTGTCGTGGTACCGATCGTCGAGAGGACTTTTCATCTATTGTTGTTTATGTCTCATACTTATTATAGACCAAATTGTTGCCATGGCATTTATATTTAACTACATCGTCACAGATAAGGCAGGTATTTTTTGCAAAGTTGATAAATAAGTTCTAAAATAAGTTTAGTTTCACTATATATATATATATATATGATATTATTACATATAATGCTATTATATCAGGCAAATATGCAATAATGTTAGCTTTGTGTAAACGCACTGTTACATTAGGGTTTAGTGGGATGTCAAATACAAATTAAACGAAACATTTACTCTGTGCTAGCAATCATGGTCGCATCTTAGACCCTACATAAAAATTCGCCTGTTGTTGATCTACAGTGGTTAGATACTACTATTTCATAACAAAATGGACTTGTCACTTAGATCACGTAAAACTTAAAGTATGAAACAAGTGTAATAATCATATAAATTGATAATAATTATATAAACGAATGAACAGGAGAGCAACTTGTTTTTTACTTTAGCTTTATGTTATGGTTAGCGAAACTACCGTTTATAGACAGTTCGATACCTCATATTTCTTCGAAAGATGCTTATAAAGCCACTGACTCCAATAGATGTGAAGCTGTAACTTTGTGAATAGTCAGGAAATTGTGCCGCACACGGATACAACAGTTGTTTGCTGAGATAAAAGAGAACGTAACTTAAGAAATCGATAATCCGTAGCCGACCTACAATGTTTATCCTGACAGCTACCTTAGATGTAGTTGCTTGGCTTGACTCAGTGTGCATTTGGAAGTTGTAGTGTCATTCTTTACCCTTGTATTTACACTCAAGTAATACGGATATATGATGTTTGCTAGTGATTTTGATGGGCGCGATTATTTCTAGGTTACCCTGACTATTATATAGACAATAACTATTTTAGTCGTATATATGTATATATTTACTTGAATAAAGTATAATTGTTAGAGAAAGCTTTGGCGAAATTTAGCAATACCGTTAATGACAATAAAGTTGTACTACACGAAAACGATACCTAACATCTGCGCATATAGGACAGTTAGCTAAATCTCATTGCAGTTTTACCCAGGCTTACACGTTGGTATATGCCACCTGGAACTGACAAGGTGCCAATTTTTGGGTATATCAACCAGCTTAGAAAAGCTTTTAATTGCGGTCACCTGCAATAACTAGAGTAGACACGTTCACGCACTACAAATAGACTGCTGAGTACAATTCCATACTGGGCAACTCAATGTTGGTCCACTCTTACTGTTTAAGCAAAACTTAGTAACTCATCGCAGTATTCGTTAGCATAGCAGCAATATTATTCTGGTATTCGTTTTTAGCACAATTTTATTTATGTATTTTATTATTTTATTATTTATTTATTATGTAGGCGATTTATGTATGCATATATGTATGCGTGTTTATGCGCTCAATCCATCTGCGAATGCACGTTATCATTTGAAATTTGATTAAGTGGTGACTAGTAGATACAAGGTTTGCGCCAGCTAAAAAGATTTTAGGGCATGGTCTTGATTTAGCTGAAACATATATATGGACCATACCCGGTAGTGTATGTTAATCATGTTAATCACTACTGTTTTATCATGTAGTTTTTTTTTCTAACATTAGCTTGTTGACATTTACAACAGGCGCGGGATGACCTGTTGCTGCTATTCAAATCGCGCGCTTCACCGCAAAGAAATTCACATACCTTCATTAGTCCAAATAACAGCTTTGATAACCAATACTGTAGATACGTACAATCAATCACCTATATAGTTACAGTGAATAAATTGACTAAATATTTGATAATAGTGAACAAGACGCTCCAGAAGTGAGTTCATGAGCTTTTCGCTTATTCTCTTATTTCAGATAACACCATGGTTTTCTGAAAAGATCCGGAATATGATTGTTCTAAGCAAAGTGCACAAGCAGGACGCTATTACGTTTCTAGACCACGTACAGGAACGGCTTAAGTGTTGTGGTGGAAGAAGTTTTGTCGATTACACAGAAAACGAGATGGACATGCCATGTTAGTGTTATATATGCATATACGTATAAATGCGTAGGAACTATTTGATCATGTTTTGATATGTTAACCTGTCTGCCTTATTTGCGCTGACAGCTAGTCAGAATTTATGCAATATATAATGTCCGTCTTTATTCAATTGCTGTACAAAAAAATGTCATAAATAAAAAAGATGTTATACTGGAATACTCAAGCCGTTAATAGAGCTTTGGCATTATTATGAAGTGTTTATCTTTGTTTGGTCGATGCCGGCCGACTTCAAGTCTAACAGAAGTTTTACTTTTTTTCAACTCACATTCAGGGAGCTGTTATTACGGTGAAGGCAACGTACAGCTGAGAGGTTGTGGAGAAGTGTTAGTGCAGCATTTTAGGGAAAATGCTCTTGCGGTGGGACTCGTTACCCTTGGCATTCTCTTTTTACAGGTATAATATTAACAGGTTCATGTGCGTTTCTCGATTATTTTGTACATGTCGAAAATGATGTATATTCATTATATCTATTTAGTATATTTTTTCAAAGGAGAACCATGAAACGCTGAAGGTGAACCCTTGCACTCTTTATTAGAATAGTCGTTTGTGATCGTGTACTTGTGCGCTGGCGTATATGCACAGATCAAGACATGCGAGCATCCCATCTCCAATTGATCATAGAATTCTCACACCTCTTAAACCAACGCACCCCGGAACCCTGCTAGAGTCTAGTCTATCTTCATGCATGGGGCGTATATACCTTCTTGTTGAATGGTACTAACCTTGCGTGTGTGTAAACGTTTCCACGTTGCTGACTACAGCCATAGATGTCTTGAGAAAAAGATCAAGGCTATCAACACTCGTTCACGTATCGCCAACATTCGGTGCTCGTCTCCAAGCTGGACTTACGTCAGTTGGAACGTGTGCCAATGTGGAGACAATTAAAAAAAATGAATCGCTCTTATACAGCATGGAGCGAAGACACCGACAGATCGGCCTATTAGAAAATTCAATGAAAATAGGAGAACTAACAAGGTTAGGGCTAACGTTCTTACCATGGGAAGAACTAGATATCGTGAATGAGACTGACTTGTGTCCAAACCTTTAGGTGGGCATACAGGGAGATAGATAAACACAGTGTTAGATCGGGTCACGTATAGCGGATTCAAGAAATGTTTTGGGCTGGTGTATCTGTCGATCACTAAATTTTAACCGCAACGGCCTCAACCGAATAGTGAATGATAATATATAGAACCTTGGAACATATCAACGAGTATTGAGATGCTTTTCAAATATGTACGTGATTTCCTAATGCTTCATAGTTGTACTCTGTGGATCTTCGGCCGCTTTTTCACGATTGTTTCAATCAACAGTGTTTATCGCAGAGTATCATTTGAAGCAGTTCGACCCATCACGAGCTAGCGTTATAATTACACATTTCTGTAGGGTTAATTTGGTCTTAAGTTAATAACCTGGTATTAAGTATGTGCCATGCTTTTTATATAATATCTTACTAATTAATGTATTAGTTCACTTCGTAGTTCTAGTCAGCCTTGCTGACCACGAAAAAAAGCTCTTGTAATTTTCGCCATCTCTGTACATACGCGTGATCCGCGCGGTAGTATTGTTTACGTATCTTTGTCATACTATGCAGCAAGTAAATCAACATTCTTATTTATCGAGGTAACATTACACATGTATGTGTACATATTTTTCTTTAAAACTCGTCTTTGTAGATTCCTAAAACATTCGTCATCGACATCATCATGCCCCATAATGCTCGTGTCTTTAAGATGTCTTGCATTCATTTGCACATCAGTGTAAATATAGAAGCAGACGAAAAAATTATCTAAATCCTGTATTTTACTATTTTTCAGATCGGCTTATGCGCTTGTGCCTTGGTGCAGTTCTTCGACAAGCAAGTTGTCCGACCTCGTTTGCAAGCGTCATCTGTCTAGGTAGACTAAGTTTCATCTTACACGTTTTATTTGCACTCCACAATGCGGTGTTGACGAGTCGCTGTCGCCCAAAAATGTTTGCGAATGTTGTAGAAGTCATCGCAACCCGCGAAGTGTCAACAAGTAGTCAACCCTTTGCCAAATTCGTTACAGTGTGCTGCAGTCATACGCACAGAATAAAAGTGTTACGTCTCATCTTGACGGCGGTTCGCTTCCTCGTTAAGACGCTCTATCTTAAAAGTATCATAAAAAAAAGTGACAGTAATGGATATTTGCGCGTTTCATGAGTCAACTAATGTTTACTCCGCTGTTCCATTATACTATCGTGGCATTAGTCGTCATCTCGAACATACATACATACACAAAGATAAGCATCTAACAATTCTGCAGTAAATATATGTCTGCCTAGCAAATATGACTCAGAAATGGTCTTTTTTTTTTATCAAAACCCATGCACATGTCCGCATATATCGGCAGGTAAAAAAAAATAGGCTCTTTTGATGACATCACTATATAGCCACTATATAGCCTAACTATATAGAAAACATAGAATGTCATGCTGTGCTCGACTTAATGTGATAAATAATATGTTCATATTAAACAAGCATTTTTATTAATATTAACGTGCTTCTAGAGATTCTTCTTTTTAGGAAATATTTAAAGCCAATTACAGACAGATTTCATGATATTTTATATAACGCCTTATGCCTATATAACTGGCCTTATGCAATTTCAACACTTGAGGCCTAGGAGAACATCTAATATCCTAATCTTGGATCTGTTCGATAAAGTTTTTACGTATAGAAAAAATAGCGTAATGTCAGCAGCAAATCGACCTGTCTGTACAAACGACTTTACTTCTAAAAGCTCAATAATAGCTCACAGGAAGCTTTGCTTACCTATATCTGTGCATTATACAAAGTACAATCATGTGTTGGGCCAAAAATGTAGCATAGCTATAAAAATATATTAAATACATGTGAGCGTGGTATTCTAGTTGGAAATTTCAAGGTTCAAGGTTTTTTTCAACAATAGGGCTTATCAACTATCACAAAGAGGTTAGCCAGTACCACTAATAACAATGTAATATACTAATAACATTGTAAGAATTGTTTTTATATAGGAGGCAAACGTGGGACTAGCACAGCGGGATAGTTCCAGGATTTCGTCCTGTCGAATACGTCGAAGTGCTAAGGATCCCGAAGTTTTGGTAATGTGTTACGAAACAGGCACACCAAATGTGTAAGGCTTATTTTGTCTTGTAATCGACTGACACATGAGTTCGGCGAAATTTGAAGCGAGTTGCATGGAAATGTATGTTATTTACGAAATGGGAAAGTAACTGAAGCAATACAGAATGAACTGCTGATGAGTATGTTGATGAAGAAACCGCGTGTGTATCGCTTTAATGTATTATCATGGCATAATTGCTTTGAAATTTCCTTAAATTCTGTCTAAACGGTCACCTATGAAAATAGCGACTTTTGGCAGTTACTAGAATCAATCAGTCGGCCCCAGTGAGCGGTGAAGTTTCTGCACAGTAAATGAATACTTAAATAAAGAAAACAGACAGTCCGATCCGAAAAGCAACATGTAATCTTCTGATGCAAAAAAGGATTAATATGGCTGTGCAAGGATTTCATATTTTGGAAAATTTTTCGTTTGCTGTTGTCGCCTGTCGAAACAACAGAAAAAAAACGCTATTCGACAAAACTTAGCACAAATGCTATTAATTTACGATTGCGTACGGCATACGTATAATGCGTGCTTCTGGAGTTAGGTCGACAAGCAGTGCGTTAGGACGAGTCCTCTCATCTTGTGACCAGTTTTCTGCCGGTTGTATCCGTATGTATTTGTCCTTTAAACTAATCGCATTTTATAAATATTTGATCTCGAACATAAAGAGAACAGAGGGAACATTTGAAGAAGGAATATAGATTCAACAAAATACAGGACATAACAACAACAATACAAAAGAAAGACTAGTGGAAGCGAGTGGATACATCTGGAGTCGACTGTCGTTCTGTTAGAAGGCACAACTTTGCATGTTTTTTCAAAATCGATGAAGTAGCGACTACGTACGGCATCATTGACGAAATAACCAGTAATTGTGGTCTACACCTTCTTGAGCGGGGCAATATCAAGCTTCTCTCGGGTCCTTATTGACGCGAATTTGACGTCTACGAACAATCGCCCCTTGGATTTTTTTCTCAGGTACAGTCTCACTGAGTACCTGCTTCGTTGCGTTCATCCGAGACTCGGTCATGGCATCACCAACCCTCTATAATATAAATTGGACCTGTACCAGCTACGAATAGGCTGGTTATTTTGGTCAGGTTATTTTTGCACTTACGCATTTGTTTAATAAAACAGATGTATTGACCAGTTGAATACTGCGATATCTGATATATGCCGCACGGCTGACACATTCGGTCGGCATAAAGATCATCAAGTGACTTCTTGGAAAGCTACGTGATGCTACGTAATTAGTCAATAACAAAAACAGTTTATAGATAATTAGCTGACTCTGAGGGTAAGCTATCTAGCGGAGTTTTTCTTAACTCGAAGATATTTGATATAATCGTGTAGTTTACCATCACCCATTGTTTCGATCCGTTTGTTCTCATTCACATCTATTCACCTTAGCATATTGCATTAGTACATTAATATGAAAAAACAATGTCATTTATACTAAACGTGCTGCTGGCAGTCAACTTGACCTGTTTTCCAAAATTTTTAAACGTTCACGCAGTTGAATGTAGTCACCTTGCCATCGAATTTTACGCTATGGAAACAGTCCGTTTTTTCAGGATCGGTCATTTGAACTGGACACGCTTGGAATAAATATACAGAGGGTGTCGCCGCTATGGCCAGTTTCAACATACATGTACATAAAATTAACGGTTGGGCCTCATTTGATGTCGAGTCTCGTGACAAACAAGTTTCCCTGATAAAGTTGATGCTGCTATTCGTCTTACATAGCTATGAACTTGCCATTTACTTACTGAACTACCTGCATAAGATTCTATTGCTAATGGCTTCTAGCTGTTGTATATCTTGACGTCGTTTGACTTGGTTGCATATATTGGAATTATTCCCTTCCCGGATTCATCGAAAACAATCTCGCTAAGTATTGTTCTCTCGGCTAAGTTGTGACAATCGAGTTGGGTTTGCTGTTCGGTGTTGCGTTTCGTGCCCTTTTTAGTCCTAAAGTCTCGCTTTGCGTTTATTTGTTCATTCAAACAGCAAATCGCGAATGTAATTTAAATATTACATTTCGCTGCGCGCCTATAGTGCGTTTAAGGAAAAACGATGCCTTAGGTCTAAGTTAACTATTTAGAATTTGAATGAAAAATTTGCCCACATTTATTTGCGTCTCTTTCTACTGAATATGCCCCTAATATAAATATATATATATTTTTTTTTACTTATATATGAGTAAAATTATATAATATAATAAAATAATATAAGTAAAATAACAATAATAATAATAATAAATAATAATACGGAATATTTAGCTTGAGGCCTCTCTGGAGTACAAACAAACGGAAGATACTGCTAAACCTGCACCATATTTGTCAGAGTACTTTTGGGTATTACAATGATGTTTTACTGTAAATCCTGGATCCATCGAAAACAAAGTAAGGATCCCCTTGCGGATGTTTACGTTAAGCAAAATTATACAGTGTAATGATACTCGATGATGCCATTGTGGTGAGTCATTCAGGTTTATCGAAAAATGAGGTTCTCTGTAGGCAGACCTCCTGCTTCCGTTGTTCTTAGTTTTAATGTGAACGATTTTCTTGGCTTGCTGGTATCTTTGAAGTACTTTTTTTCACAATTGACTCTGACAATTTTTCTCGTGGATGTTCTCAATTGTTTCCACCCTTTTCACTATTGTATGAACGCTGTCTTCGGCACACAAGCGGTGTTTCGGAGCTTAAGGTAATCTTGTCGAACTTCCTGCCATTTAGAGTTATTGACGTGGTAGTGATACTCCAATTGTATAGGTCTGATGGCGATGAAAGAACTAAGAGCTGGCATACGCTAGCTAATACCATTCAATGGTCATTCCCGAACAGCCTTGGGAGCGATCCCACTGTCTTTATCGGCCGACTGCCAGCCAATCAAGTCTCAACTATTCAAGAACAATAACAATAAACTAACACTAATAACAGCCACCAGAAATTTGGTTCGAATTGAGAGTACATGTCAAGTTTTCTAATGCCATTTATTCAGGCTTTGTCTTTCGACAATTACTACTTCTCGTGAAATAATCAAATATATACTACATCCTTGTCCAAGGGAATAAGGATTCTCGGCCTCACGTTTCTAGCGTTATCTTTACGTTACATAAATTTCTGCCTCTTTGGACCATGTGGGCTAGGCTTCACGGCATATGTATAGTACATGGACAGCACCGATACTTTTCGCTTCCGAAACACCGGAGCAGATCTGAACAGTGAAACTATAATAAAGGATGGCTAGAATCAGAATAGGATATCAGACGGGAGGAACATTGCTACTAATAACTATAATGTAGTGATCTTCGTGTTCTTAAAGGATTCAATTGCGAGACACCTACTAGAAGCAGGCATTTATGAAGGAACAGTAAAATGTGGTTTTAGGAAAACGTTAGTGGGATGAAAGTAAGTAGTGAGTAATCTTCCTGGAGATTAAGAATCGTCCACACAATCTAACAACAAATAGGTTTACAAACATTTCAATATAGACTATGTTTAGTAAGAAGTAATACATACTATTGTGGTGGCGTTTCATTGCTTAATAGTTCTGAGATTATTCGACGCACACGGGAAGAGAAAGACGGAAGCGATCGTAATAGATTCATTTTTACATTTATTAGTATCTATTGTATTCCGTAAAATTAAGCTTAACGATTCTTTGATTTCACACCTACAACGTGCATACAGAGCTGCATAGATAAGCTTTGTGCTGCTTCCTTGTATATTCCCCTTGACTGGTGAAACGTCAAGGAGAATATGACGTTTCACCATAACGCGCACTCAGAATTGCTAGGTCTCATAAGTGAACCTACTCGGCATTCGAATGCCTTTCCGAATCTGGCAAAGTTTTTAAGCGGGATATTAACACGTTGTTTTGCATAGCCGTCAATTTGCTCATGAGATGTATCCATGGCCTGATCGGGTGCGGAGGCGTGACATCGCTTATAAGCCCACGCAATGAAGAAGAACTGCTCAGAGTACAGATGTGTTTCAGTTTAGATTAAGCACTAATTAGAAGCTGGAATTATAATTATACGAAGAGCGGTATTATTAGAAGCTGGAATTATAATTATACGAAAAGCGGTATTTAATACAAGTATCATTCTTGGCTTCTTTTCGTGTTTTTTTAATGAGTTTATATAAAGAATTTCATTCGAGAGTTCGAAGCTTAATTTTTTATATGAAGAGCGCAAATTTATTTCAGCATTATGAATACTAGCAATTACTATTTGTAAACGTCTATCTGATTTTTGGCGCATACAAGTTTCTTAGACATCTCAAACGCCTAGAAACCCACTCAAAAAATTTCTGTTCAAATCTTACAATGTAATAACGTCATAAAAAAAATATCGCCAACGGGCAGATCCTGCCTTTCACGTGAACACGAAACGGATATTGTCACTCACTACAACTTTTTTTTATATTTAACAATAATAATTAACAACTTTATTTAATTAAGCAGGTAATTTACGTTTAATTACCTGCTCTGGTGTATATTGTTCCATGTGCGGAAGGATCTCCACATATCCGCCGCTTGTGTAAAGATACAGTTGAAATGCGTGAAACAGTGCGCGCAGCCCTCCATTATCGGCAAAATTTTCATTTAATAAGACAGTGCCGTTAGATGTTTCATTTGTGTGGAGCGGAACATCAACGCTGTACTGATTCATAAGGCAGGTCGTCGATTTCTAAAGTTAACATAGAAACAAAGCATTTACTACTATCGAGATTAAGTCTGCTAAGCTATCTGCAACGTTCTTAACTGCGAAATGTTATCTTTAATCACTGAAGTTGATTTTCAACATAGCAGTCTTTCATTTGCAGTATTCGCGCATTGTTCATGTACCTAGTCCAGTTAATCGAAAGCGTTCCTGAGGTTTTAGGATTTCGCGGATTTCGTATTCGATGTTAGCAATAACTAATAGTGTGGAAACTTCTACATTTTTTACAACGAGCCAGAGTCACAATAGCGTGCCAAGGGAGAGGTGGCAGTGCTTGACTGTCACTGACGATCGAAGAATACAATGACAAATTCTGTGCACGACATCTATTAGACAAAAAAAAAAGAGCTACTGACGTCTAGTTGTGACAGAAAAACCGGTCTACTCTAAGAATCGAGTAAAAATCAAATAAAGGAAGACCGCTCTTCGCGCTGCTAAAATGAAGGAATGCACTTTTCCTCTTAACACGCTTCGTAATACTGGATAACTTATGTTGTTATTTCGCGTACCTCAAAATTCTGCCTCGTCTGTTCTGACCACCATTTGCTCTTTCCTCCTTTTTTATCAAATTCGCTTCCACTGTCATCGAAGATGCGAAAGATTTCGTGTCCTACGGGGGACGAAGCGAGGTTGATCCACACTGGGGCACCTTCAACATAATTGTACAGCCCCAGACCACCTGGCAGCAACACGCCGTCCAGTTCGGATTCATATGCTGCATTGATATCCTAGACTCGTCTCCATCACGAAACCCACACACAGAAGTCAATACGCGTGGTCGCGCAAAGCCACACAAGTAGAATTGACAAATGATCGATTAGTAGCAGGTCAGTTGTATATGATCGCAGGTATGAACCAAGGGTTTTAAGCATCGCTTCGATATGAGTTACGAATATCGGGAGTTCGACAAAAGGACAACCTATTTTTCGCCATTCATTGCTGGTATTGTAAAATGTCAAAATTGTTTTTAGATTAGAGATTTGATTAAATTAAAATGAAAATACATAAAAATTAGTTCTTAAGTTATGTTACAAATTAACGATCTAGATTCTAGTAGAACGCTGAAAAGCTACCTCTGTTCTTTCAGTGGAAGTGCTGTGGCATTTTTTTTTGGCACACACTAACATGCATGACTTATTTATTATATTGGCAACTGGAGTAAAGTACGAAAATTATTAAACAAGGCTCTTACCGACTGCGCCTTCTGCCACGTCGTCTGCTCGCGATTACTGGACGAACTGAAATATATTAGCCTCGAGGCTACCTTAGCCGATTTGATGTTAAGTATATTTCCGAGGAAATTGCCACCAATCTGAGCCGCGGTTTCTTGGTAGTTGCTTTCGTTGAAAAATCCCGGATATCCGACGTACGCTAACGTATTGTTGATTTTTTTCAGAGCGATCTGCTTCGTCGCCTCGTCCATCCAGCCGAGATTCACAAGGATCTTTCAAATCAACGGTATCGTACAAGCTGACAGCGTCTTTACGAGAGATGATCATTATCGTAGTGAGAGTTGGTGGGATCGACCGAATTTGTGGATTCATAACGTATCTTAATTTTTCTCACATCTGTCTACACCCGCCTAACCTTTGCCTAGGAAAGCCTCGAGCCGATCTATCTATTATCGAATCGTTGGTATGTCCCTGAATACCCCAGATCATGCACTTGTCCAAATTTCGCGGCTACGGCCTAGCCCATGAAGAACTTAAACCTTGAATCTTAGTTGAACGAATTGGAAGTTCGTCAACAAACGTACAAGCATCGGCTGTAGTTACTACCGATTACTGCAAAGTATATTAAGACCCTAAACATTTTCGTGTGTACAACAGTAGAACATTACTCGGAGCGTGTTCATACATAGCTTTTAACGACTAGTACATCTTGTACAAAACTCATTTCGTTAGTGGAAACGACAGTACTTGTGTTACTGCGCTGCCCTGTTCATGAACAAAATGTTTTTCGTGTTTAAGTTTGGTATTCAAGTCGTTAGATGTTACTTTGGAAGACTGGCTCCCAGCACAAAACTAAGCACACCTATACGCGGATTTGCATCTAGAATAAGGCACACACCTCTGCGATGGCAGTCTTGATGAGATTTGCGATGGCGAGCAGTTCAGCGATCCCGAATGCGCTTATGACATGGCGTCCGATTAAAGCTGCCCCTGACAGAGGCAAATATTCATACGCCTATAGTGACAGCCAGCAAGTAGTCAAACAAGCCTTCAATATTACGTTGTTTTGTACATTGGATTTAAACAATTGTCTAATAATAATAATACCTAAAATAGTAATAATTACTAATAAAATTAATTTACATATTGTTGCCAGCTGTTATCAGCCTCACATAATTCGTGTTCACCAGTATTACTAAAGTTTAAAATACTGCTGTTGGATCCTAGTAAACTTAAAAAGCGTGAGTATATAGTTTTATTTAAAAATGGGTGAACAAAAAACATCCTAATAGGTTTGTAAAAAAAATTTCAGCTTCTAAAGACAAGCTATTTTTAGAAACTGAAGTTCACATAGTTCACATTTGTCTAAAGTTATCATAGTTTAGGGAAAACCTCAGGAAATACTACGGCCTTGTTGCTTTAGAGCAAATAGAGTTCCTTCATTTCTTAGCGACGAATTTAAGGTCACATGGGAAGCCTATCATATAGCCTATATTGCATAACGCGGATCCTATTGGTACATAATTGACCGGATCGTTTTGATATAACCATCTGTCTATCATATCATTGGACCCTCGTCTGGTTACGTGTCGCTATTTAATCGAACGGACAATCGAATAGGTGCTATTCGATGATAGGATTTATAAAAATAACGTTTTGAAAAAGACAAAAAACAATCGACATACCCTACCTTTCTTTCACAGTACGACACATTGTCAATGTAACACTCCTTATATTTGTCTACAAGGCAAGCTGCTTTCGTAACAGCTCCCCCAACAAATGGTGCAAGTTTTTTCACTAGCCACATCACAATATAGTCTTCGATAATCTGTTCGTTGCCGGATGGCCTCTGGACCAAATCCAACGCAACTGCAATTCCAATCACATCATTCATAATTACTTCGTCTTTATTCGATATTACAATGACACCGGCTAGTTGCCTATTGACGAGGGCAGCCAAGCTGACTCCTGTTACTCGCTCGAAATCTTCAATCTTGCCTGCGACAGCTAAAACAATTGTACTACTAAAGTTTGAAAGGCAACGTTCGCCTAGCATTTGATGCAGTATAAGGTTCGACAGCCGCCTGGGGCTTACGGTTTCACCCCACGATTCAAGCATAATTGTTGTCTTTGTTAACATTAATTTATACTCGGGTCCTTGTTGAAATGTTTTAAGAAAGTGTTCATTTTTGCCGTTCAATAGGCAGGACCTAATTTTTTGTAGGGCATCCTTAACGTTTCTAACCCAGTAGTTTCTAGGTATATCATGTAAATTTATGCGGCTTTTCCTGTCCTCTATTATAACTTTAGTAGGGTTAACCATTTGTTTTACTTCCAACATGTTCTTCGCAATATTCCTCCCGGTTGGGTGTGCTGAGTGAAAGCTTAGCCAAGGTACCGAAAGTCCCCAATGAAGTGATAATCGTCCCAGCGAATATAGCAGCGGGCTATCTAAGTCGGACCTCTGCCGACTCCTAATAAAATTCCTTCTCCGACCAGCGTCAGCGAACCAGTTTAGTCGACAGTCAACAAACAGTGCTTTTACCTTACGTATCGCCTCTGCCACCTGTGTATCAGAATTCCTTGCAAGGCAACTCCCGTAAAGTGTGGAAATTTGCTTGTCTGAAGCGGTCAGCTTTCTCTTTCGCGTCGAATCTAGTGACGCGTTATAAATATCATGCAGATAATTATATCCGATTTCCTTCATGGCAGCGTGGAGTAGAAAAAGATCTTTAAGCGCCCTATGATCCATGAAGATTTTTTTCAGATCGTAGTCCTTTTGTAGGCCACCGCACGTGAACCCATAGAAATCTTCGCAAGGATCAACGTCGTTATTAATCGACTTGACATATGCCTGTCCAAGAACTTCACACAGAGGAGTCTTGCATATACTGATATTAAAAGCAGGTCGCGTGGATACATTGGCCGGCGATTGTGTTGATATCAGCTCTAAATTGACGTCGGGATGATTCTCTTCTGCTTGAGATTTACTGGAACTTGAGTGGTTTAGCACGAGCACGGTAACCAAAAACACGGCAATTAATAGCGAGAGTGCCATTGGAGCCAGCCAGTACCAACGACAGTATCGCTGAAACCTTATGCTTTTTCTATCAGGAGGCACAAATGAGACTTCTCCTTCACTGCCTTCAGTCACAGTATGTCCTGCACTGTCACCGCTATTCTCAGCGGAGGTTTGTTCTTTATTGCCACCGCTATTCTCAATGGAGGTTTGTCCTTCACTGCCACCGCTGTTTTCTGTGGGAGTATTCGCATTAATGGGACGATTCGAGGACATTATCACCGCTGTCGTCACGCACTCTAGTCGGTTGCTATAGTCGGTAATTTTTACTGGAGTCGTGTGTATATCGGTGCTCAGTCACTGGTGAACCTTACCGTTTACTTTTGTCTTGCAGCGTCGAAAGCTGACGAGATCTGTTGTACTAGTTAAATGCGTTGGAATTGCCGACAGCGTGTTGATCGCTGAGGGCTGCGTTGTCTACTAACTAGCGTTACGCCAATGACTGAGGTCACTTACTTCGAATGAAGCACTTTGTTGTCCACTAAGGTTTGAAGGAGGGGGGGGGGGGGGTGCAAATTGAAGATTCTAGAGAGGCGAGCAGTGGCACGATCGTATTGTATTGAATGATTTATGATTACAGCATCGTGTATGCTAGATTGGATTAAGCTTGATTTATAAATATTAGAGTACTCCTTACAGGGTTCGCTTCGCACACATTAAGCACACTTTATTTTATCTGTATAGGGTAAAAAGCTAATTATATTTAAAAGAGCAGTAACTTCGCATAGCGGCAAATTATTCCCTAATAGATACGACTTATGGCTTTTCCACAAAACAGTTTGGCAATTCTTACAGCTATATATATATATATATATATATATAGCTGTTAGGATTAGGGGCTAAGATTTTATCCCGTTTAACTAATTTGAACGTTCTCTACTCTTTTCAATATTACATTATTATACATATATATATATATATATATATATATATATATATATATATATATATAATATATTTTTACAATTAATTACATATAAGCGCAGATGATGCTGATAGATGCTTTGGTGATTGTAACCAGCAGTGCGCTCCGATCGTTTATACGGGAAAAATGAGAACGAAGTTGATAGCCTCAGTTTATAAAGAATTATATTTTATAGAAAAAAATTTTCTAGGTACAAAGTATTTACGGAACGTACTCCATTCTACGCGCAGGCCTCACCAGGAGGAGGAAACTGTAACGACCCACAACGTTTTTTGTTGTCGACGTCATTATAATAATACGAATGTAACTCGGAACTCACATCTGGTATTTGTTGTAACACTACAATGCCTCTGAGGACAATATAAGTACTAAAGTGAAGTTCTATTTAATTTCACTCACTTCGTGGTTAAATCCCAAAACATCTATCTGTGATGTCATATGTATCAAACATCAATTTGTGATTTTGTGAAAGAACAGGATCGGGTTCAACATCTCGAATCTGATTGCAAATGAGTTCGTAATGGTTTTAAAGACTTCCTAATACTGCTTCGCGTTTTGCACAATATCAGTATACACCGTTCTACGTTTTGTGTAACCGTCGTTACACTATCCATTTGTAATATAAACATTTTTTTTCACTGAAGCATAGATATCGTTGCCACTGCGCAGTTCACGTGGCAGCAACAATTCCATTGACAAGATTCAGCCGATCACAAATGTCTGCGTAACTGCTAATCAAACACTTCGTAGATGAGTGACAAGTGTTGCCCGCTCTAATGTTTATGTAACCAACGAAGGGCACTGCCAATAATGCTGACGCCCGATTTAACCCGCAGGCAATCCAAGTACAGATGTACATATACAACTGGACCTACGTATGTAAGGAAGCGGTTAAAGATCTTCATCAATATTTGTATAAATTAAAGATCCACTTGAATACTAATGCATCGCCTGCTCTGAGTGTATACCTAAAACGTTGCTTACGTTCTCTCCGAAGACGCTAGTTCCTCTGATTCTTCTAGGTATAATTTTAAGAATCATGCCTTATTTTTAATTTTCTTTTCTTTTTTACTTTTCTTTTTCTCTTTTTATTCTTTCTTAAAATTCTTAAAGTGATGCTACTCAACTAAAAAAAAATTACGCTTAAAATATTATCGAAATTCAATAGATTTCCAACAACGTTCCATTGTCGTTGTTTGCATTAATCTAAACATTCGCTCCCCACGTGCTTAAGGTTATTTAGGCTACAAAATATAGAAAAAAAAAATAGACTAGAAGACTCTAGAACAAATAACTATTTTTCTTTAATCTGCTTAGTCGAAACTTTTAGGAGCTGTAGGCAGCTGAAACAGCTGTATTTGAGCGTATAACAATTCGTGACACACCATGTTTTACCCAGGGGAGCCGCTTTGTGTTACCTCCTAATGAAGCTTTTCGTTAGATGATATAATTTGGCAGATTAGGGGCTAAGATTTTATCCCGTTTAACTAATTTGGACGTTCTCTACTCTTTTCAATATTACATTATTATACATTATATATAATATACTGCTAACTTTTTTTCGCGTAAATAAAAACAATGTAAGTTGCCCGTTTACCATCGGCACTTGAGTATCGTGACTGGCCTTCGGGCAGGTGACGTACGGTTAAAACAATGTTAGAAATAGGAATTCACTGCAGTGAGTTGGTGATGAACACGTCCAAATACGATCATTACCGCAAACCTGCAATCACCCCGATGGAGACTAGTTATCTTCATCTATGTTACATCTATCTAAGATTACGCATAGCCACCGAAGCTAGCTATGATCATTTTAGGCAACGCTGTGCTTGCTGTACATGGAATAGTGATTCTAAAGAATAAGCCATACATTTCGAAGCAGCAGTTTGTGCTTCAAGCAATGGCAACTGAATCGGTTTTCGTAGAATTTATGAATTTTATTTTAGAGTCACTATATGATTACAGTCGCACAAAACATTAAATCAATAGAGTGAAAGATACTATTATTTAGGCTTGGTAGGTTAAAAGTAAGACCGTTCTCAACTGGCTGCTTGCGATATGATAAATGCATTCATTTAAAACTGGTACCACTGTTAAACTGGTGAAAATCTCGTTGCAAGAGTAACTAATTCGTAGCCATGGCGGAGAACATACTCCATTAAGAAAATTAATGTCTCGAAACCGACGGTCTCAGTTATTGGCAGACTCCATATGACTTCCGAAACATTAGAGTAAGATTATGAGGCGAACCGGAAGATTTATAATAGGGTTTAAATAATAGATTTATAATATATATATATATAATATATATTTATAATATATATATATAATATAGGTTTATAATAGATTTTAAACCGAATATTTGTGAAGATTGCATGCAAACTATATTTCTGTATTTATGGTATAGGAATAAACGGCTACTCCTAAAAGTAGAATGATATTTTTTTGAGACCTTCTTGCCTTGATCCTTCGCATTATTGAAATTCTTGAGCTAACTCCTGAATTTTTTGTATGTAACGATTTAGATCGCGTTGAAATGGCTTGATGCACCGCTCCCATAAGAAAATAATTATTGAGTCCCAAATTTAAGTGGCAATCAGTATAGACGAACGTTGCATTAGTCAATATTCAACCAAATACGGAATAATATACACATTTTTTGCACACAAAAAAAAATGTGCTTTTGTCCTTAAAGTTCACGAATATACCGCAGCACAGCAGATCGCTAAACGAGACTACCACAGGATTGCTGAAAAAGACTATCACCGGAGTACCTTGTGGTAAGTTTTCAAAACCAAATGTCACATTTTAACCTGTACACACACATAATTATATTATTATTATTAAACTAAGCATAGAGTGACCATTAACACTTGACCTACCAAATTTGTCCTGCGCTTGCATGCAGTAAAAAGATAGCACGCACACTCGGACGCTGAACGGAAAACTAAACTGGGATCATAATTTTTTTTAAAAGAAATTAATCAGTTTATTGTATTTTCATTATTTCTGTATATGAAACAAAACGCCTACTACTGCTACGGTGAGTTCTCCGACTTTGGCGTAGAACGTACTGTTTCTTGGAGAGGAAAACGTAAATGAAAAATTACACTCTTCTCGATGGATCAGGTCTGGCTATCCACGCAAGATCACAATCGGAAATGGCTTTCAATACTAGACCCGGTGCGACCCCAAATGCTTGAGCGTTACAATCTATCTCTTGCCTTGCTCTTGGAGTACTGACCAGGCTTTTACATTAATCGAGGGATCAGAGGCTACCACTATCAAGCAACTCTTTCCCTAAATAAGCGATTACTTCAATAGTAATTCATTACTGTTCGACATCTCAGCTAGCAGTCTCTTATTAAGATCGGCTTGTTGTTTCAGGTAGACGGCCCATCGCTCCGCTGTTCTGTGTTCTAATTAGCACCCACCAATTTACTTGCTTTGAAATGACCAGCTGCGGATGTTATACATATGCGCTGGCTCCAAACCACTGAAAGTGATCATACAACACACGATTCGCTGTGAGAACGCACGACTTTAGTGGGCCCTTGAGCAAATAACTTGAAGGAAAATCACCTCCGGTTAAATCCACAGGCTTCATAGTGCTTTAGTAGATCAAAATAGCTCCTAAATAACAAGTGTTAAAGGAATCGTGCATACCTAACGCTGACCAACCTGTCGCCGGCTAGCAAAATTGGTTCTGTTCCCCAAGTGGCCCTGACGATTGATATAGAATCCTCCTGGACGTTGCCAGCTATTATAGCCGCCAATTCTAATCGAGCTTCTATGATCTGGAGAGTATTTACGTATTTCGTAGAGTTGTTTAACAGTCTCTTCACCGAACGTCTCCACATTCGGGTTTCGGGAACGGGCGGTTTGAAAATCGCCAGATCGACTGCTACCCATTCGGCTAAAGCGGTTCTGCTGTTGTCTCGGTGAGTCAAAGTCAGTAGATCCACTTAGGTTATCGAAGAAGCTCTTTTCCTTGTCGTACCCTTCAGTGTGATGGGAAATTCTTTGGTGTTTATCCTTAGCAACGTCCTCGTTCTGCCACTCCTCGATATTAGCGTCATCGGTGGAGATATTCTTTAACCTTAATCGAGTGAACTGCAAATATACCAGTATCAATGGAACATTTTTTTACAGTAAATTATTTTGACGCGTCTAACTTCTCGCGGAGGTGATATAAGGTGGAATATGCCTTACTTTGAAAAGATCTGTATACACGTATCAAACGATAGCACTCGTATTAACAATAAGTGCACATGAAAAGGAGACTAAATGCACGCTCTTTCACTTTAGGTAACTTAGTCGCCATGAGTAAATCATGACTGAACAATGATAACTTCATAACTATAGGTTAGGTGCGGTTACACAACAAATTGGATTGGCTCACACTAACTTCTTGGATGCCCTTTTCAAAATTGAAATCGTCCACTGGCTGCTGTTGCATCCCAGGATGTTTCTGTGGGAATGATCCTTCACTACGCGGATTGATCGAACGCCAATCGTTGCGCTGATGATGTGCTCGTCCTCCAATATTAAAGTTGTTAGCGTTCCCTTCCTGAATACCATATCCTCCGAGAGATCCACAGTGGTACGATCCGCTCTGAGACCCACTGTGCCTGACCATGCCCTCTGTGTGACCTGAAAGGCCGTCAACAAAGATTCGGCCCCGAGGTGCCTGCCTCACACCAGTGCTGCCTTGATATACATCTAGTGAATTCTCGACCTCACGAGTCAAATTCGGGCCTGTCGAACTAAACTATAATATTGCAGAGTCGAGTACAACAAGTGAGGTATGGCACCCCCAACCATTTACAACATGCCTTGATCTGTAATCTGAAAGTGTTCGCTGAGTGATCACTTGTAATGAGCGTGTTGCATGTCCAAATACTAGCGCCTATTATATTAGATGAAATTAACAGACAGCATGTGTATAAAAATATGTAATTGTTAAATTTAAAAGCTATTTTGATAAGATTTACCTCACATTTGGGTTCGTCTTCCTCGCTTTGTTCACGAGCGCTTACAATAGCAGGATCGGCCAATACAGGAGATTCTGAAATGTAATCTGTTAATTTGACTGCATCTATCTACGCGGCGCCACATTGTTATGCAGGTGAAGCACCAAGACAATGTATGTTCTGTCAGAGCCCGTTAAATTAGGTTACCCTTAGTATGTATAAAATTGAATTAGCTGAAAGCTATCTTGAGATTCGTACTCGGAATAGAGCCGGCGCGTTTTCAATTTTAGTAGACAGATTCGTTTTGTACCCAATATACATACCAATATAATTTACATTCAATATACATGTAGGTTGAATACAGTTATGATTTACAGTTGCCTTTACTAACAACTGAAACAAACGGAATCGTCTCCACGAATTTTGACTATGTTATTCCGTTTGTTTGAGACAACCCTTTTCTAAGTGCTGCCACAAATGAGTCACTGAAAAAAAAAATGAATAAAAAGTGATTTGCAAGTTCTCGCGACGAACAGTCGCATAAACGTTCTCAGCAAGGGTATAGCCAAATCCGTACCCGAATAGGCAGTTCGTATAAAGGTTATTTTTACCCACTAATGGTGTTGAACTGCTTGATGTCAGTCATTTTCATGACAATCGATTCGTAGACCTGAGGCGACGCGTTGTACGCGGCCGGCGTATCACGGTGCTCGGTACCAAAAAAGCGAACTAAAATTTTGCAGTACAGACAAATAGCAGAACCAGGCTTCAAGTTATAGTCATCAGGTCTTTATCTTTACATGAATAAGAATTTTCTCACGAAACAGTTTCGTCAGAAAATATTCGTACGTATATTATATGTTCAACCTAATGGACGCACAAAAAGAATCCGCCTGTGAGGCGGTTGACGCTTCCCCCAACAAATTGCGCCTTTTGTTTCGGAATGGCGAAACGAGTTTAATTAATAATCTATCAATAATAATAATGACAATTGAAAAATATACAGGTCAGTCCATACATATATATACAGTACACATACGCTAGTGACGTATACTACATATGGATAATCTGTAATATGTACATCGTTAGATAAGATTGCAGGATGGCACTGTATATTTGTACACTAGTGATCGGTATCTTACATACCATCCCAAGCACTTTAATTATCTGTCTGCATTAGTACGCATCAGATGTCGTATCGCTCGTATATTCAATCATCTGCATAAGGCTCAAACAGTACCTCGTGCTTGTGCGGTATCGTTGGCACGTCGATTTGCTTGGCGCACAGCTCATAAAGGTAATCTATCAAACACATTCGTTCCTTAATTCGTATCTGACCAAGCTGAAGCGTCACTAGCAACTTGGAAAACAGTTGCTGCTGCTAGGTCGAATATTATCATTACTGTTATTGGTACAGATTTCGATAATGCTATTTATTTCTGCAAAATTTCATATAAACAAGAACGTTTGTGTGGAGATTCTGGAATTACTGGACAAACAGAATAAAGAAGCGTCACCCACGTGGCCGCTGGCCAGAAACATAATATCAGACATCAGCCCTGGAAATGCAACATACACTAACAACAACGATTACTGCCCTATGAGTGCTATCGATACATAGGTAGGTAACTTACCATTGTTTAGAGTAAATGTTTGCGCATCTGTATCACCATGATGATAGTATCCTTCATAGCGGCACAATGCGTTCGTGACGACAACCACTTTGTCACCAAGACTCGGGGATCCACCTGCCATCATTTCTTCGTCAATGAAAAATTGCTGCAGCGATAGATTGAGGCACGTTCGGGGGAAAAACAACGCTGATTTCACTTATCCCAGTGACAGCGAGACTACACTGCGTGATCCCGGGCTGACTGAGAGTCGAATTGATGAGAACAAAGGTCGACAGAGCGACAAACTTCGTTCACGGTCGTTGACAAAATGATACTGTTGCTACGATGATGATGCTATGGTTGATATAGCAAATCATTCACGCATTGATGGATATTGACGGCTGACTAGCTGGCTGGTCACTAGATCCACTGTTTCATATAGAGGGCAGCACAGTACAGATGGACTTAAATCGTACTGTAGAACATAACGAAAAATAGAATTAATTGATTTTTTAATGAATTAATTCTTCCTAATACAAAAGGATAGTTAATCTTTCACTGTGTCTGTCTAATCAGATATTTCAGTGTATTCATTCAATATCCTTTGATTTTTAGATGAATTTTGTTTGGTAGAACGAACTGAACGAGTTGGCTGATTGTCGACCAACAAGCGGACTTCGTGCAGCCGCGTTTCGGTAAACGTCGTATGGCGCACATGTCGTAGGGCTCATGCTGTACTTTCGTGTGTTATTACGATACTGTATTTCTCTCATCTCTAATTTGAGGACTAATATCAGCTCTGTTTGTCGCCAGTCCCCTTAACTTGAGTATCCTACCCTCAGAGACGTTTGAAGGCAATGCCGGAACAGCAGTTCCGAGGCGTGCCTAGGATAAGGATAACTGAGAGTCAATTATGACTAATGTTTTTTGCTGGTGCCCGAAACGTGAGAAGTGAAGATGATTTGTTTAGAAGTATGGAAGTCGCTACTGAATTATTGCAACGTGGTTTTGCTTTCGTATTGCGCGACCTATTAAGCGAGCAAGCTTTTCTAATGAGTGTGCTCCTTTAAACGGAAATTCATATTTAATGATACTTTTTGATGACCGCCTTATAGACAAAGCATAATTTCAGTTATTCTATAACGATTATGAGACAAAAGATGCATGGAGTAACGACAAGTATAATCCTCTTGATCCACACAAATTATGTGACAGTGAAATATGTAGTAGATTTTCGAGTATTGCTAATCTATAGCCTATAGGAAGAATTCGTTGTTTTGTGTGAGAGATGGGAAAATGTACTGAAACGCAGTAATTGCCTCTGGTGAGGCATATTAAACCACGCTCTACCACGTTAAGCTCTGCATGGACTCGTTTAGATGTTAGTTACATCATCAGTGGACACCCGAAAGTGTTAGAAGTCGCTCTACGACGCAGTCCTTACTATATATACAGGTTGGCATTCGTTGTGTTACAGTTATCCATTTATGCCTTTAGGGTTTTGTAGTTCCTGTTCGTTAGGCAATACCTGCCCACATTAGTTATCGATTCACTGGCAACGCACCTATGTAGGCTTCCATTTTTGAAAATCACACTCATAGACATTGGTTAGATAAACGAAACATATTTCTCTAGCACTACACAATTGATAATTAATTGGTTGAGGCTCTTTGCTGACGTCCAACCAATAACGCTGTTACGGTATCATTAGAAAACCTCGTTACCAAACGGCCTCACTGTACCTAGCTGAAAGAGATAGTTGGAATAGGTAGGCCTACTTTGTCTGCCCTGGTTTTGTGCTTTAGGTGGTATGATCCTTTACAACCAGTGGTTACCAGTTGATCTTAGGCACACCCAATACTTAAACAAGAGTTAGTGGCAAGGTAGCTGACGGTAACAATGTTATTTCGACGACCTGCAATTTTTTGTTTTTGTTTGCCCGTTGAAGCGCGTAGGCAGCAAATAGTTTTCATATTACACTAAAAACACAAACCGCTGGACTGCTAGAGAGTACCATACAGTAATTATAATGGCAACAGAAGCAGAATTATCGTTAAATATATCGAATTCATTTTGCAGTCAAAAAAATGTCATCCTAAAGTGACTATGTCATCAGATCCTGCTGCCTATGATCAATACTCTATAGTATTGGAAACCGCTTTTAGTTCCTATTTTCTCTTTCAGTGACTACGACCAAAAGGTTTCTTGGAAGTACCTTTATTCAATCAGAAATAATTACTGTCCAATTATTTCTAGTAGATATCGTTATTATATCTTTTATTCTGAGCCATAGCCTGCTTTCGAAATGATGAGTTTAATGTACTCGCGTCGAAGTGGTAGTTTCCTTGTACCGTATTAGGATAGACACGCTCGATTAAACGAACTAGACAAATCGTTAACACCTATCGATGGTGGCGTCCGAACGTGGGTACTTCAATTCACTTTCCTAGATCAATACAAATTTTAGGAAACACGCTGTGTTGCAATGCAATTCTTGCATTGAAATACGCGACAAACTGACAAAGCTTCTTTTTTCTAATGTAAACAAAATGTAGAAGGGATCGCGGGTCAATGGTCACCTGTCGTGGCGTATAATGATTACTTGACTCGCGCGAAATGGTTTCCGAGCAACCCAATAGAACCGAAGCTAAAAGACATCAGCCACGGGACTCGCTTCAATATCGGGAAGCGACACAAGACTCTCAATCGCAGGAATCGAGTTTAAATCCAAGGCGAAACAGCCCGCGCCAACTGAGCAACAGGATGAAATGTTCGCTCAGTGAGAACTCCAGTAGTGATATAGGCGGTTCTGGTACAATAAAGAACTCACAGCCACGGTCACAAACGCCCGGAAATACGCCCACGTCAGAAGGCAATCAAAAGAACCGCATCAATTTGGACGAAGTCATCAATATCATGTCCTCACGAGCTGAAATCAACAGTCCATTACAGTTAAGTAATTAAGTAAACCTCTTTGACGCCCAATGGACCGTTTGCGTATGAGTTCGTACAAGATTTAGATTATCATAATAAGTTGCCTTTTTGCAGCAATTACGTGTCACAAATATCGAGTTCGAAATGCCGCGACGTTTGAAATTTAGAAAATTATCTAACAAGACATTTTGCTGGCGCTTATGCAATGACTAGCAAATTTTCTAAAGTTGATTGGTATCGATAGACGGCTTCTATTCACATGGCCGTTTTGCTGAGAAAGTATGATGGATCAACGATTTTTTGTTACATCCGTACATTCATACACTATAAACTGATGTATATGACGCTACTGCTTGTACCGTAGTTGTCTGAATGATTTCAAAAATAGAGTTGTGTATCAGATACTTTAAATTTGAGGTAACTATATGAAAAATATTTTCATTTGATAAATAATAAAGAGTCCTTCACTCATTTTGCTTGTATAATATTAAAAATGATAATGATGGCTATGTTAACACAATTCAATGACTGGTAAAGTTGCAACATACAAAAACCACTGCTGGCTCTAAACTACTGAACAAATGATCAATTTCCTTCCTTTCTTTTCGTTGTATATGATGGGTATTCAGGTAGTGTATAATGGGATTGACATCGAAAAACTGATGGTAAGATCACAGACATTTTGTAATAAATATTGGTAGATTTATTTATTTGTGCTAACTGAAAAATAGCGCGAATAAAAACGCCGTAGAACCTCTGAATAGAACTGCAATATTGAAATAGCATCTGTGATATTAACTGTTATAGATATATGGATAGAGGCACAGCCGACGCCGGCGGTAACGTGCGCAGCACTGCCACGAAAAAGACTTCAGTTCTTCCACTGCGTATTTATAAAGAGTTACCAGTTGTCCCACTCGCCGAATTCAAGCATCCAGATTTTCCTAGTGAAGAAATGCTAACTGTAAGTGTCCTCGTGAGACAAAGACGTCTTGTTACAAAATTGTTTTTAGTTTTACGTGTAGTTTTGCTTTGATACATTTGATGAGTAACTTTTATTGAGCCATATACATATATATGTCCCGTGGTTATATATATATTAGTCACTAATTCCATATGTGGAAACTTCCAAAAACTAGTGAAAGTCTAATTTCGTGTCGATTTCATGGTTTACCTCATTTACTAGGTTCTTGAAATTAATGGGGCAGGTTCACTACTTTGAGACGTATGCCATTCCTTTCCATACAGCGTACAAAGCAAATTTAGTTGAACTACTGGCGTAGTCAGAAGGGTCTAACATCCGTTTCAAACTGGTGACACGTTCTTTTAAAAAGGTGAAGCAATGTTACTCTAAAGCGAAATCCATTGTATGACAGGCATTAATGAAATTGATCGTCTTGTTTTGGATCCCGCCGTCCTAACCAACAGCAACCAAAACCTATTCGTACGATGTCATGGTACGCCATCGCCCATGTAGGTTGCTTCATGACTTTGACAATAGCCGTTCTGCTGGTCATGATTTTCACCGACATTTCAAAGCCTGACCCGTCAACTAAAACTTTCATGGAGCCTTTGCCACCCCTGAACTGGTCAATATAAACGAAATAATACCAGTCGGCCATATGTGCTGTCTCGAAGAAATAACTCAACTTTGCATTGGAAGAATACTGAATCGCAAAGACTTTTCTGCACATTTTTAATCCTGTTTTATAATACATATTAAGATAAATTAATATATTACGAGAGCATACGCCGTTACGTGTTAGATACATTGTTGTTAATAAGCACAATAACCGTGTTTTATAACAAGGCGAGGAAAATAACACTGATGTTATCCTCAACAGCAGGCAGTTTTACTACAAGCATGTGGCAACAGCCTTTCCTTAAAGATCATCGCATATTGTTCTACATTTAACTGTATACCTTCGATACTGCCTTCGAAAGCATTAACAGTTTCGAAAAGGAAACGCATTACTGTGAACAGCAACTAGTGGAACAGCAGCTAGGTAACGAAAAAAGCAGTCGCAGAGTTAGTCCTGCTCTTAGCACGGTACACGCCCACAATTTTGTAGATTGATAAAAAGTTACACAAAAAGTCTCACAAAAAGTGCTATCGTCGATCAAGATTCCTACAACCATCTTTTGGATTTGAGCACTTAGGAGCTCTGCGACAGTTAAAGATTGCAGCGTTCAGCTTGCAATACTCTAAAGGCACGGCCTGTACATGTCATAAGAGCGGATGCAAAGGATACCCTACATGCTGATGAGCGTAAACTATATCAGACAACACAAAGGTAGATTGCGAAAGGAACATTTTGTGCAAATTTTCTCTCAGGCTCTCTGTCATGTCATGAAAATAGTACATTTGTTGTATTAATGTACAAAAAGGTATCAAAAGACTCACACAATAGGTTCCATTGCAGTCGATTTGTTGTTTACGAGTAAGATATACGTACCAGGTGTTGCTGAAAAGTTTACTCTAAAGCCTTTTTTTATCTAAGAAGCAACTGAAGTACCCAAAGATTCTGCAGATTTTCGAAGTTACACTGACGCAAACGACAACACGAAGAACTTCTATAGAAAGAACATCTATGTGCCAGCTATAGTAAATGCCCTATTGCAACTCGTTAAACTGTTCTAGATGAAGCCGTGTAATCTTTAAACGTGGCAATTTATTTAAGAAGTGAAGAATACCTACTGATTTTTAGCGTTCGCTGAATCAGCTTGCTATATGAGAAACAATGCGGTTAAAAAAATAAAAAGTCGTTAAAGGATAAAATGAGCGCTCAGAAGAAGCATAAATGAAATTGTGTGCAGTTTTTTTTGCGAGCCACTACACTCTGGTAAATATTTTTATTTGAAGTATAGAACTCAAAGCGGTATGTTCCCATTCCAATAAATTTTCAACTCGAATCCGTACGGATGCTATCTTACTCAACGTTCTGATTACCAGCATATACTATGTTCTAGGAAGCCTTATCTGCTCATACCACCGGCAGCTGGTTGTCAGACATCAAGCGTCATCGCATAGATAACTATGCAACAGTAAAACCTTCTTAGAGAGAATGATTCATAAAGGTCATTCATAAGACATGTTGATGACTACAAGTTGAATCAAGTGAGCTAAATGAATTCACGTAAACTGTAATACAGTGTAAATTCTCATATGGTATAGGTCTTATTTCAATTACTTTACATAATCACAATTCAAATGCGACTATCGCATACTCACCTATCCACAAAACTATATATACAGAGACAGTTTCATACTTTTTTTCATACTTTTTTGATACAAGTCTCACTGCGAAAAGTTTTGAAGTAAAGGCTAGTTTTTGCAACGGTAATAGAATTTTCATTGAAGTAAAAAACCTAGGAGTCTTATTAAATCACTAGACACAAAGTCTCTTGAACAGGGTCCAAGCAGGTGAGTCAGTGGCTAACAGCTATAGACCTCTTAGAGACCCATTCGTCGCGGCGTGTTCTTGACTCTAGGGGTAGCAGCTCCCGGCGTTAAGATGTTGCTTCGGGTCGATCGCGCGCTCTGCTGAGCCTCGAAATCTCGCTTTTTCTGCTCGAGTTGAGCCTGCGCTATCTCCATTTCCTCCTCCATTCGAGTTGCGGCATCCCTGTTAAAATCGAGTATATTAATATAGGTGAGTGTTCAACATGTTGAGCTTGTTTTCACGCGAGTAAGTCTATGTATTCGATCGCTAAGTGTTGATTCCTTGAACCGGCTTTCCATAAAACTGCTTCAAATGATCACCATCAAATTTTTTATGTGCTATAGGAAACTTCGATTGAAGAAGACTAACTGAAGCAAAACTAACTAGCGGATAAATGCTCACCAGTCAGTTTGTTCGGGCACTGTCTAGGAGAATAAATTCGACCTGATCCAAAACTCGCTGTGCCTCTGCCGCCTATATCCTTACGACTGTTTTGTATTTTCTACTTGTGTACAACACCCGCTTATTGCACATGCTTCCTATGGTCTAGCCTTGAATAATTGAGTTCTGTTATTGAGTTTCAGGCGCAATGTCGTTCCAAAGTCGCTATAGAAATAAGCTCACCTTTCAACCCGATGTTTCTCCAAACGAGATTTGCCTGTTGTTTTTACGCTGTAGAACATTGGGCCGAGCTCAGCAAGCCAGTAACCGTCAACAGCAGTTACGCATTGCATGTACTCCTTCGATGTCATCACTAATTCATGGTAGACGACATAATCCGGAGTATAGCCCATTCCATACAAAGCTGATGTGGGATGCAGATGGCAAGGCATTCCCGTACGACAATTAATATACTCACCGATTCCTGAAATCAATATTTGATGGTGAACAAGCACATTACATGAGTTTGTACGCTATCAGTTTTTCTGTCGCTCTGTATTTGACCTCTGTGGAAAAGGCATCAGTTGTTTGTGTTCACTAATTTGACATAATGACAGAAATTTTTTTTCATTTTGACTAATAATGGAGAAATCCAAACAACTACGTAACATTACGCTCCTAGGCCTACCTTTGTTCGTAGACAAATCGGATATGCGTTAACAACATATACACAGTACATAAAAAGAGTCAGGGAACTGAAATATTTCTATTTATAATTTACGATGGAATTAAAATTGGAAAAAATGCCAAAAAATCGGCTTCTTATCGACAGTCAGTAAAAAAAACGGAAAACTACCTGACAGTTCCACGCCAATTGGTAGGGTCCACGCTTTAATAAATACTTTTTTTGTCTGTTACGTCTGATACTTGAGCCTAACGGCATCACTTCAAGCTGGTTGGTTTCTGCCAACAAGAAATAGAGACTGCGGCCGGGTTCGAATGTAGACTACCGCATACCTATAAGTTTGGCAAACAAACGATTTTACCTACTGCGCTGTCACGGCGAAAAGATTGTTTTTTTAACTACCTTTAAGTCTTGCCGCCTGATGGAAGAATGCCGATGAGACACATTTTCGCACAACGTCCCAATCCATTCCGCAGGATACGAGGTTCATCTTCTGCTGTTGGAAAATATCTCTCAATTGTTGCCGGACTTCGCGAACTTTACGCATCGATTTCACGTGTACAAAATGCTCTCCACACCACGACGACGAGTACTTCGCCATTCGCCACTTCTGGTACACGTTCAGAAACGTCAAATGATCTGATTCGGGCACCTGCAGCTTCTCTCGGACGGAATCGCTTTCCTCTTCACGACCTTTTGGCCGATAGAATATCGATGGCACCGAAAGCATTGAGACAATCGTGAGAATTTCCTCACTACAGCCCATCTCCTCGGAAACAATAACCATCTTGGAGAGGGGGGGATCCAACGGAAATTCAACCATTTTCCTACCGAGCGGTGTTAGTTGGCCAATGTTGTCGAGCGCACCCAGAATCCACAACTGGTACATCGAGTTGAGAATGTTGTCCTGAGGTGGCGGGTCCATAAAATGGAACTCAAGCAGGTTCTCTACTTTGAGTGACTTCAACAGCAGTACAACGTTGGCCAAATTTGTTCGCTGAATCTCTGGCACGGTCGTGATCAATAGCTCATTCTTGTATTGATTCTCCGTAAACAGTCGGAAGCACACACCAGGCCCCGTACGGCCAGCACGACCAGATCGTTGATTGGCGTTAGCCTGGCTAACCGGGTAAATTTGCAGAGCATCCATACCAATGCGAGGGTTATATACTTTTAGTTTGCAGAAGCCGCTGTCAACGACAAATGATATACCATCGACAGTAAGCGAAGTTTCGGCGATGTTTGTTGCTACGATACATTTTCGAATGCCGTCGGGGGCTTTCTGGAAAATTTTCGCTTGGAGATCACTTGGTAATTGGGAATAAATCGGTAGAATTGCTAGAGGCGGGGCATTGTCCACCTGGCTGAGACGTTCCTGGATGAGGTCACATGTTACCTCAATGTCTTCTTGTCCGGGCATAAAAACTAAAATGTCACCAGGATTTGGCTGCAGGTGAATTTGAATTGCTTGCTTGACTGATCCATCGACGTAATCCTCGATCTGGGTTTTAGCAAAGAACAGATCAACAGGGAACGTTCGACCTGGAACCGTGAAAACTGGGGCGTTTCCAAAGAATTCAGCAAATTTGCTCGCGTCCATTGTGGCCGACGTAACAATTAGCTTTAGATCATGACGCTCGGAAATGACGTCCCTCAGAAGTCCAAAGAGGACCTCGGTATTAAGGGAACGCTCATGCGCTTCATCCATAATAATAGCTGAATAGTTATCTAGGTCATGTAGCCGAAGTTTCTCCCTGAGTAGAATACCATCTGTCATATACTTGATCACGGTCTTGTCCGACGTACAGTCTTCGAATCGAATAGCATAACCGACTTCGGCACCGAGTTTACAACCCATTTCGTCCGAAACTCGTTTAGCGACTGACATCGCGGCAACTCGACGGGGCTGGGTACACCCAATCATGCCGTATTTAGTATAGCCATCTTCATGTAGATACTGTGTAAGTTGGGTAGTCTTGCCAGATCCTGTTTCACCAACAATAATGACAACTTGATTGTCACGAATAATCTAAAAACAACAGCAATTAGAAGCAACTTTAGGTGGGAATAGGTATTTATGCAACATCTAATTTTTTTTAATATAATATTGCTGCGAAAGCCTCGACTGTATTAAACAATAGATGTGGCAATCTGATCAGAGACCTAGATCCCTCTCGTTCTAAAAGAGTAAAACAAAAAACCAATATCTAGTCATCTGTTTGATATATGTTTATGTACTGTTTTATATCTGACCACATTTCAACACTTTTTTTACACGACACTTAAACACAATTTACTTAAGCACGTCATATCAGATTAGAGTTCTACATGTTACTTACGGATGTTGGAAGCACGTTGTTTGTGGCGCGTACAGATTGTCGTACATTTTTTTTATCTTTGATATCATTTATAGTGGCCATATATAGAATTTGTATAAGACTGGACTCAACACGACGTGGGCTGGGTGGTTAATACGCGTCTCTTTGAGTGCGGTGCCATGGTTAACTTAATTAATTAAGTATGCTACCGCACTTCATGGTTCAAATCTCAGCGTCGGCAAAAATAATTATGTGGTTGCCATGCTGGTGGCGAAACACCACCAAAGTCCAACAAGACTCACTCAGGTTATGTTCTTATTGAAGGCAAGTCCTTGACGTTATACCTAAGAAAACATGATAGCGAGGACTTGCTCAGGAAGTGCAAAAAAAAATAAAAAATAGATTTAAAAAATAGTAAAAATGTTGAATTAAATATACACCAAAGTAGCTACTATTACAGGACTAGGTCTTTATAGGCATACGTCAAGTATGTAGCACGCTCACTTTGAGTAGTTCTTCTCGGACAGCGAATACTGGTAGATACTGTCTTTGTTGAGTGATGGTTTTCTTCTTGGCAAATTCGCTACTCTTTGCCTCTTCAGAGTTGTTTTCAGACATATGTTTAGCATACTGATTTTCCTCTTTATAGTCTTTTCGTTCGTCTGTCTCATCTTCCTTCTTCACTCCTAGGATTTCTCCCAACTTTGTTCCAGCAAGTTCCCACTCTTTTTTTTGCGCTTTTCGCCGCTCCTTTTGCTCTCGAAAAAAACGGACCACAGCGCTACCTGTAATTTCAAACACACAATCAACACACATATATACATACTAAGAGTATTATTAGAAGGACTACTGTAATGCAGAGAAAAATTTTCATAGGGTGACGCATCTAAATTAAGAACTTTTCTTATGCTTTGCTTCCAAGACTGTATCTGAAAAAGGATAAATATCTCAACAAGACATATTGCATCTACTGCAAGTGGTATTCCTGATAGCTACCCTATCCTATATAGCAACCATTCACTGTGGTTACGGCTTTGATTCGAGTTCTAAACCATTAACGACTCATTTTCAATGCATTTCTTCTTTGACATGTAGCCTCTTAATAGTAAACGAGTATCAAGCGATACTGATGTGTGTGTAAACTGCTTTATGTCATTCGTAAACACTACGTAGGAAAAATTCCAAGGGAATAAAATTTTGGGCTTTTAGCAGACCAAAAATCTCAAAAAGACTGCTGGCACTTGTGTGGATGACTCAATTGGAAGCTGGTATTCTTCACTTCAAATCGCCTGCTTCTATAGCAAGCAACCGGGTGTAGCAAAAATTTTTGGAGAATTTTGATAAATTATCTTTTAAATCTAAACTCTATTGACGATCTCCCGGTTTACTTCATGAAAGCCTTCTTCAAATGTTTCAGAAGGCGCATAACAACTTTCAATAACGTCGAAACCACGAAAGAAATAAGCATTTAATCTCGGTCGGGATTTATTTAGCAACACTGGATAATGGCTTATTTTTGCTGGAATCCCAAAAACGACCGTTTTTTTTTCGCAGTCACGAGATTTGTTCTAAGAAGGACTGACTATTGTGTACTACTAGGAGTAACGGAGGAACGCATACCTGTTACGGCAAACAACCTGCCAATGTTTTTCCAATTTAAACGCACCACCCTGCGTGCACGAATGTCAGATGTTTGATATATGATCATACACTTAATACATTAAAAACCATAAAAAATTCAACATATGGCTGCACTTAACGGGCAATCGAAAGGGTAATGTGTTTGGTGTGCTGGGTTGCAAAAATGTATCGTCGATAACCAATAAAATCTCAAAGATAATCATTGGACATAATTTACAACAAAGTCTGTAGGCAAAATTCACTGTTGTTAACCTTTTCGTGCTACCACTGCCATGTCGCAGGTCGGATCCTTCACCGGATTGACCGGCTCCGGCTGTTTGGTAAACACGATACGGCCATCGAGGAACGGTGGAATAATATTATGAACAAGGACGTGCACTTTTGCCTCAGCCACTTCGTCCAATTCATCATCCACTTCAAGTTGTTGCACCACACCCGAGGTAAGCATTCGGTTTGTCTCCCACTTATCGGTGTCCGCATTGAATTGACGTTGCCTCGCCGAAAGTTTTTTTTGTCGCCGCTGTTCAAGCTGTTGCTCCCGCTTGTTCAGGTAGTCCTGAGGAACGTCGTTAAACAAATTGTTTGGGTCGTCTTTGCCTTCATCCATCATATACCATTCACGGTCCAAGCGAACCTGCTCTGCGTTCCAGTCATCATCTTCCTCCCAACCTGCATGAGCAACAATACACAGCATAAATAAGATCGTTTTAAAGAAGTATGACCGTCAGCTTAGATAGTAGATAATTTGCCTCGATCCAATTCGTTTGTGTATTGAAACAGATTATAAAACGATACGTGGGCAAGCGACAGACTGACATGCTAAGCGTAGACATCACCGCCTCAAAAATAGCTGAAAATTTTCCTACGGAAATAATGGTTTCGGCTCCCCAGTAAATAAGAATTAATATCTGAAGTAAGCCCAATATAGGAAGTATTCGTCCAAGTGCGTTACACTTAACTATCTGAAAATATCCTATCGCATACATCCAGATGAACTCTGGATCTTCCGCTCTTCTACAGCTACTTGATTACAAAGCTTACCTTCTTTCCTCAGGTCGCTGCTTTCATCATCCCAATTTGAATTCGATGGTGTATCATACGGTTTAAGATGCCTAGGTGTTTCCATGTCTTTTTTCGTGCTACGATCTGAACGAATGCTCCAATTCTTTCGCTCACTCTGTAAAGTTTTCCGGGACGAATCGCTAACGCCGCTTCTCGTTGACGATGGCTCTTTTTCACGAGACCTATCTCGATAGGATCGCTCCGAAAAATCACGCCTGTCCCATTTCTCAGTGCGTTGTGATCGCTCGGATCGGTCAGAACGGGATCTGCTTCGGTGTTCCGATATGTCTAAATCACGATGACTGTGACTACTGTATTTGAAACGTCTACCGTTGTCCACCAGTCATCGAAGAAAGCAAATCAATTATTTTATTTGTTTTCTTCGTCTTCACCTTAGATTTCCAAGATACGTATGGATGTATCCAGTTGTTTTTTATTGTTTAACTAAATGTTCATCTTTTGCTGACAGGTAAGCATAGAAGTTAAAAGTGGATAAACACAAGAACTACTAGAGTAGCTTTGAAAAATCTATATCAAAAATTAAAATGCGAACCCGCGTTAACTGTAATTTACCTGTTACGGTTACGGTCTCGATCTCGATCCCTTGGACTCGCTCGATCGTCGCGACTTCTCGATCGTTCATTTCGATGGTCATCCTTTTTTTCGCGCTCTTTTTGCCGCTGGTCGTTCTTGACCTCGATACCTCGACTCTGAAGTGCCTTTCTTCGCTCAAAGTTCTCTTTTACCCCTCCGGTATGCGTGGGTGTCTCGACCAGTCTATCACGATAGTGCCTTTCTGGACGGGCCTTAACAGACTCTCGAAGCCCTTCATGGTAGTTGTCCCTGGCCCTATTGCTGTGTTTCTCTGACTCTCGTTCTTTCTGGAGGCGACGTTCCCTTGCAAGTGCATCGAGGCCGAGAAGAGAAACTGAAAATAAATACATCTAGATTCATTGATTCCAAAGTGACCATACACATCATGCGTACTCTCGTTGCGTTCCATGGCTTGCAATTTGAGTGCTACTCAATAAAAACGAAGTGAGTAGTATTAATGGTAGCACTAGCTAGGCGTAGTAGCGGTCGTTAAATTCGCTAAAATTATCAAAATACCAGAATAATGCTCTCTAAAAAATATGCGACACCACCAGAATACAGTGAAAGTATTCTCTATCAAACACGGAATTGAGTTTCCGAAAATTAAACTAACAATTATCGGAACACTGACTGCAGTCACATAATTTCAAGCTAACTATGAGCTACATATAATTTACTACTGTAATAAGAAGCTTACATACCTTTTGGCGGCTGAGGTTTTTTGAATTCGTGTTCTGCAGTGGCCTTTTTCCTAATCATTAGCCCACAGACTTCCTCTTTTGGGGCCTCAAGGCGATGAATGTCTTCCGACATCATATCGCTAACTGATTAAATTAACTTAGCAAAGTGTTTATGATGCACAAATACATTACAACGTATTTTTTAGCACTGGCACATTTTATCGGGGAGTTTTCCGCCCATCACCACTATACGTGATGAAATGTTGTCGAACGACGTTCGATGTCGACTTCCTGTTGACTGTCTGAGGGGCCGATCGGAACCCTCTCTCACAGCCAAGCAAACAGGATAGGAGCAAACACAACCCGTGCCGTGCGTGGGACTAGCCAGTGTGCAGCAATTAAACTGCTCAATACAAATAGATTTTTTTTTACTTGGTTTTTATTCTCAGCTAAGACGTAAATTGAAAAGTTTTCTCCAACGATAATAAAAAGTCTAGAGTCTTTTGGGCTTTGCAGAGTTTTTAGCGGCAAAGGCGCAAAAATTTAAAGGATAGCATTTGATATTGTAGTATGATTTGCGTTAACGATTCGCTCATGTACAAAGCGCAAACCCTGATTCCGTAGTAATTTAATATTAAAAGAAGTTTTTCATTCCAACAAAATGTTGAAAAATTTTTTTGAAATCAGAAAATGATGATTGAGAAACACGGGTAATTGCTCGTAGAAAGTATGCATTAGTCCCAATGGAATGTAATTTTGCCATGTAAAAATTCACTGCATAGACAATACCTTCGTAGTATTAATATAAGATAATAAATATCAAGAAAAAATGATGTTAATTATTTGATATGGACCACAAATAAAAAACTATCCGGCATTTTGTTCCAATACAAAATCTCACCCGGCAAAGTCTGCTTGTCCATAGGTTACCAGCCAGAACCTTTCCTATCTGACTTCAGTAATGGTTCATCTAAAATGACCTTCCCATTATTATCCTTAACGCTTCTTCTTTATCCATCTCTAAGATCCAATTAATTTAAAATTGACCTAGTTCTTAAAATGCTAACGGATGCTTTCTTCACTTCACCCTTCAGCTGTTCGCGTGCTTAATCTCTATAGGTTCCGTCCACCTCTTCTGTTGTTAACCTTCTCTATTTCTTTCCATTATTTTTGCTTTCGTCATCTTTTATCCCGCATGTTGAAATTCCGGAGATGACTTTTTGGCGGTACTTTTTGTGCTTGTTTCGGCCACCAGGTGGCACTATGTGGGTGAAACTGTCGCTGCTGGAGTTCCGCCAATTTAACCACCGGCTTTAATAGCGCACTCGCTTTCTATAGCGCTGCCTAGTTTTAGTTTATGGCTCGTCTGCCGACGCTACTCGATAGCGACATCACAAGAAAAAATATCGCCAGGGCGCGGCCACCCCTATGCTTGTTTTGGTTGGTTGAAAATCGCCGTTTTCGTCTGGCGCTCACTTCATTATTCGGAATTCAAACATTTGCAAACTTAGCCAGGTTTAGGACACCCGTTCATTTGTACTTCTGGCACCGGGGCGCCCTTTATTCTTATACTCCCTTTAATCTCACACGTCCGCTGCGTGCTACAGCAATCGCTCACTGATGCTGACTCCAAAGAGCGCTGATTGTGATGATGTCTGGCGCCAAAAAAATTTCGCCGACTGACCAGAATGCAGAGAGAGCGTAGGCTAAAGTGTGTGTCTGTGTGTGTGTGATTGCGTAGTCCTTTCAGTCTATGTTTGTGTATACTGGGCTCCTAGTCTATTTAATAACAATATCTCAACATCGCTGGGTAAAGCACGCCGGAGCCGCCTTTAAACTGGAGTTGTTGCTAACAACGCCTTGGCGGGCAACATAAAGATAGCGGCAGCAAGTTTTGAAAATCGTTGTATAGAAAAAAATATTTCTGAATTACTATTTGTGTATGTGTATTCTGTGAGCTTTGTGAGTGAGCCTCAACAAAACTATATCGCCAGTAGAAAACATGAGTGAAAATGCACCTCAAGCGGTAACGCCAAAGAGGTAAGTGACTGCTGGCAATATTGTGTGTTTGTTGGAATAGGTTTTGGAAATTTGCTTGAGAAAAGTGCAATTTACAAAGTGAGATATTAATGTAGACTATAGATATCTGCAAGATCTTAGGGAAAAGGTTTGAAGTGGAATCAATATAGACTCTAACAGATTCAAGCTAGGTCTATTGTGCGGGCTTCGTTTTGGGGTGAGCTAAGATGGACGTCAAGCGCTTCTGTGAACTTTACGGACTGGTGAAGGTGAACTGAGTTTCAAACTGGATATACAGTTTCAGCCAAATAGTTGTCTCATTTGAAAAGTGAAAACAACGTATCAGACCTGTAGAGAAGAAGTTTCATCAAGAATTTCAAAAGACACGTAGTTTAATGGAATCAGGATTTGTGTTCTTGTGTTATTTGTGTTCTTGATTACTATTACATTTCGTAACAATACAAGCCTTCGCTCTACAAATTTCACAGTACTTAAGCTTGAGGTATAAGAAGCAAACCTCTACTTTTAATAACATCGTTTAAGTAATATTTAGAAAAGCACATACGCGGTGAAGCTGTATGATTTAATGATATATAGAATCATATATTAGGTGAAATAGGCGACTAGGGACGTTGTCAGAATTATCTAGATGTGAGTTAGTTTTTTTCGCTAACAAAAACTCTAATAATATAATAAATAAATCAGTAAAAAACCTCGTGCAAAAATTATCTCTTCTCCGTGATAGCATTCAAGGCCATTTTATTTTTAAATTTAATATGTATATACTTCCAAAATGTATATAGTATTATATTATGGTACGATTAAACGCTCACTGATCAGTTCAGCGCTTGTGCTTCAAAAAATATAGCTATCTGTAGCTAAAAATATTTCATCTATAGATATTTCATCTGTGCTGACACTCACGCTATCTATCGCCCTCTGATTCGTACGGTTATTATTATTCGGTATCATAATCATCCATTTTTTTAAATAAACAGACTAATTTTCCGTCACGATTTTTATACATATCCACTCCAAGTTAAATAAGGTAACGAATAACTATTTTCAACACCGTATCGTTTTGCAGATCGGCCCTAGCCACTCTGAATGGGGCGTCGCCCTCTTTTAGTCCTTCGCCTTCACCGTCATCGAAATTCTCTCGTGGTCGCCCTCGACTGGATGCGATCACATCACTGATTCGTGAAGGCTCAACCTCCCCTTGTCAAATAAAGTGCGATTTTTGTAATCGTGTGTTTCCGCGAGGCAAAAGTCTTCAAGCCCATCTACGCACGCATACCGGCGAGAAACCATATCAGTGTGATTACCCGGATTGCACTAAGGCATTCGCTCAGAGTGGCCAGCTTAAGACGCATCAACGTCTTCACACGGGCGAAAAGCCATTTAAATGTTCCGCACCAGAAGGCTGCACTAACCGGTTCACCCATGCCAATCGGCATTGCTCTCAGCATCCGTACGCACCACTTGTGCGAACGGAAATTTCAATAGAAATTCGCGAAAATACCGAAAACAAATCACAGGACGTCGTGGAATGGCTAGAACGCTATCGACAACAGAGAAAAAGGCCAAAACGCGTCCTCGGTACAGAATTTGATCAGATGGCTCCGCCGTCTCCCGACGCGCCTGCTCCCATCAGTCCTCTGGAGGAACAGGCCCTAATCACATCTACAAGAGCGGTTTCCCCGGCCACAACACTAACCTCAAACATGTCTAGCAGCATTTCCGAGCAGGAGATAAATAAACAAGACACTGCAGGACTAGCAACACTTTCTTCCCTTACCTCTAATACTCCCGTAAACTCCTGCTGCAACGAGGACGAAAGCATAGCTGTGCACTGCTCTTCTTCAGTGGGAGATACACACAGTTCCCCTCCGTGTGAACAATTCAATTTAGAAGGCTCCATCCAGACACACCGCCTGCCTCCGGCTGCCCTGCAATCCTCGGTCGTATCAGAAGTAAATGGAGCTCCTATTCAGCGTCCTGCTCAACCAACTACTCCGCGTTCACATGTCGTATCTTCCCCTCGCGTCCTCACCCTTCTTAATCCGTCGACGCTGCTTCTATCGCCGCAAGCGCATAAACCTCGTGCACTGCCGGTCTCACCCTCAGCTTCGAATTCACCATCGGCCCTAGTCTCCCCGCCTACGGCACAGCCAGCAGACAGCTCACCTTTTCTAACACCAACGTCGCCTTTGGCCACTTTATCGCGTCCCCAACCGACTACACCAAAGTCATCATTTACGCCACCTCCAGCAAAACGATATTTGCGTGAAATCGCAAGGACGCGTCTCGAAGGAGCCCTAGCTCTAATGGAGTTGAGCACTTCGCCAAGATCTCCCCGACCATCAGTGATTGTTAACGGAGTACTTGACCTCAGCAAGAGTCAGTTGTAGGAGACTCGCAACAACGTCAATAGTAAGAGAAGGGACCGCTATAACAGCAGCGGCAATTATATAAACTATAAGTATTTAGAGCAGCATTTGCATAGAAGACAGCACACAGAATTGGAGAAAAGTATCGGAGAAATCGTTGGGGCAAGGGGTGTGTGTAGACAGCGCAATATTAGGTACTTGTTTAGTAAACCTATATATTGACTTTTCGACCCAAGTGAAGCGAAGGCATTCACACTAAAATCACTTGATTTCATGCTTTTAACACTCACGACATTAAATTCAAATAGGATCATAAATAATTAATATCCACGAAATTAACACTGAATGCTAAGAGGTCAAAAACAACCTCCTGCATAGACACTATTCTGAACTTAAAATAATTAAATATAAAAGAACACAAAAAGACCACATTATGGTATTGCGAACTTGACGTACACTGAGTTCGTTTTCAGGACTGTGTCAGCCGTAATCAGAAGAAGTGATCGTCCGGTAGGATGATAGTTAGAAAAATTAACAAAGAAAATTTGTCGCAGGACGTAAGTAATATAATGTTCTAGAATAGAAATCAGCACTGAATTTCGAAAAACAATCCCGGTAAAATGGTTTTTGAGTTCTTATAAGTCAAGCAACAGCTCACGTTCAAAGCGACACTTTATGCCTTCTCGCGCAAAATGTCTGCTACACAAGATATATATGCTTGTGTGGGTAGCACGCAATCTACTTGATATCTTATTCTATGTGTTGGCATAGTTGTGTAATAGATCACTGCACATTTTCTAGTCGTAAGTCTGTCCCGAACTTATTCTGTTTATATTCTTCTAAACATACTTCTGTATTCTACTAATACTAGCATAAACACTTGCGTATAATTATTCAATCATAAATGGGAACTATTGCTATGCATCTTACTAAAGAATCGGACGATGGTTAGCACAGGATTACGCGTCAAATAATTATAAGCCTCGCATTTCTCAGGTACATAAGAGGATCTCACTTTTCTGAAGACATCTCGTTGATTCCGATTGATTAGAATTAGAAAAAGTAACCTTTCTAAAATGCGCTTTGACTTAACCTTTGAAATGCTTTTTAAAACTGTCGCGACTATGAGACGTCTGCAGTAGATGGCAGTATCAACCCTCTTTAATAATCTTTGCTATTTTCTTTTTTTACTATCTACCTCTTTTTCTATCTAGTATTTTAAGAGAGCGGTGTTCAAAAGTGTACAAATTGTAGCAAAGTCATGTTATCTATTTTTTAATCATATAATTGTAGTCGAGTAGTCTTCGAAACGAGAAAGACGTAGCACAATTTATTTTCAAGCTTTCATGTCGTACAATGTCTCAGATTTTATAGATCGCATTACCGATGGTGTTTTAGTCTTAACTGGATAAGAAGACTCTACTTATACACACACACACATATATGCCTATTACTCGTCACCAGAAGTTGATTATTCTTACCGATAGCCATAGAGTCCATGTAACATTGTCATTATCTTTATCTGACTTCCATCAACATCACAGAATAATATTAATAAAGTTTATACTATGATAGTACTAAAACATGGAATTTATCATTTTGCGAATTTCATAGCTAATTAAGCTAAAGGAAAAAACGTGCCTACTGCAAGGCACAAAGTAATAACCAAATATAAGTTATGTTATTTTAATATCTGAATTTTATGTGCACATTTATGTAAGTATCATTCGATCTGTTCAAGCTACCTATGCATTTTTTTTCGACCTAGTTATCTCTGTCTGGTCAAACAAAATATTCCATAGTTTTTTTTTAAAAAAACCCGTATTTATTAAAATAAAACTATAAATGGTCGCCACTGAATATCGGCTATCCGATCAGTTTTCCGCGGTACCCTCAACCACCGGGTTCGTTGTTGTTTCCCATTCCTATTTTCTTCCATTTTTTAAGTGAAAATCTCTTTGCACGCATGTCACGTCGATAACCATAAAGGTAATATCGAATGATATTAGAAAAATAATAGTTGTCGAAATACTAACATATATTCGAGTTTTCACGATGTTTTTATTATCTCTGCTTCCAGAACGAATAGCGACAATGCTATTCGTGTTGTTATAGTTCCGTCCTGTATCATAATCGATTGCCCCTTTTTGTTCCCTCGATTTGCCTGCTTCTTTTTTACATATATATCCATATGCTGACAGCTCGTGTCACTTGCTCTTTGTCTTCTCCATCAACAGCCCATATCATATTCATTATTAATTCCTTACTATTAATATGATCACAGCAGCCTCACTCCACGATACTATATATATATATATATATAGTAATAGATTTGAATACGTTCACAAAGATTATATATATATATATAATCTTTGTGAACGTATTCGAATCTGTTTATTATTTGGATTGTTATTGTCCTTGCTACTTCCCAGATTTCCGACATTAGCGTATTGTGTATTTGACATACATAGTCGCATTGTTCAATTTGCTGTGTACTTTCTGTCGGAATAATCGAAGACCTATAAGATCTATGGCGAAGAATTGTACTATCATTCGTACGCTTTCACTGCTGCTAAGGTGACTTGTCACTTTCCATTTATCTAAGTCATTTTATTCCTTCAGTTATGATTATTTCCATTCGTTTTACCACATGTACTGCTTATAGCTTCACAATGTCATTTCATTTACAAAGGCGAGCACTTAACACTAATTTTGTCTGAGTAATATATATATATATATAGTTTGATACCCTAACCATTTTTACTGTTATTATCATGCGCTCTTGTTTCCCGCCCTTTTTTCGCTTCTTATCTTGGTGTAGCCAAAGTTATTCACAATATATGATTGCTTACGCACCTGACGCTTTGCTCATCCCGGCCAACAATACAATCTCGTTTCCCTGTGCTAACCTGTTTTCGACATCTCAAGCATCTTCTTTCCTTCGTCATAGTAGAGCATTTGACACCTATTTTGCATGATCATTACTACAATATGCACTAAAACATCGTAGCTTCCGCAGAGTCGTTGCGAGGCAATTCACGCAACATATCTTCCTGTGGCGTTTCACTTTTTCTTCGTAAGACCAACTTTTAAGAAATTTTATGTATTTTCTTCGACTCTATAGACAGATTTTTGTCAAAGACATCACTCGTTATAGATTTAAACACGTGGTTCTTTCGTGCGGTAATAATAGGAGTTATAAAATCGATTTTTATTTATTCTCTTTGACAAACACAAAATAGCAGCATCTCTTAGAATGGTGTGACGATCACAAAATATATAACTGCAAGCTTATGTGTGTGTGTTAACATCAATCCACGCTTGCGTGTTACTTCTCTACGAGGAAAAACTTTCTTGCATAATTCCACCAAGACTAGACCTGTCCCCGAGGCTGGAGTACTTCTTTGACAATTTCGACGTTTTTGCCCTTTCTCCCACACGCACTTACCCACGCCAGAGGACCACGTGCACATCTAGAAACAGCATAGCACATTCTCAGAACACAGACATACGCTCACACACGCCTGCACGTGACGAATTATACAAAAGCAATTATACAGCCGCAAAGCTTGACTACATTTTTGTCCTCTGCTCCACAATGTCCTGCGCATCCCGCAGGAAGAGATGGCATTGTCGGCTGTAATGATTGAGGCCGCTTCTAAGCGACTCAATAACCGCCACTGGCAAAGACGCCGACAACTGAAGAGAGGACTTATGCATAGAAAACCAGTCGTTAGCTTGATACATCAGCAATTTTTTGTCGTAGTTATGTTTAACCCTACTGAATACTTGGCGATACCACGAATACATCGTTCTTAAAAACTTCGCGTTATAAATAGCACATCCGTTTTAATATCCGTCCCGATTCTCGCTATTGTAGGTCATTCGTGTTTTATCGGTAATATATTCTTTCCCTGTATATCATAGTTCCTACGTTATCTACTTACTATAATTCAGCTTCATCACATAGATTTTTTTTCTTTTTCTTCCATTGTTTTCTCGTATGCCATAAACCTCTTTGCCTAACTAACAAGAGGCATTTTCTCTCTACTTTGTTAGCAAGTTGGTCAGGTCATCCATCTCCTGATTTTGCCTTTATGTTCCTACAGGTTCGCCGGATACTAATCGGCGGTAAGGCGGCACCTCGAATTAGCGACCAAAAACACTTTCAGCTCCATCTGGCTTGTTTTCGTTAGAATCTCGATCCAAGACGTGCCACATGGCAGCACGACATCCCGTCATGTACGACGAATGCAATTATCAAGAAGATATCACCCTATTGATTCATTGTCGCCACTAGTCCAAACGTTACGTATCATCTCAAAAAACATGTATAAGTCAAGTTATATTTTATAAGATCGATCTCCAGACCCTTTTTCAGATAATAGTAATATTTTGTTAAACAATAGTAAGTGTGTTTACAGAGGAAAATACCGAGTTGTCTTTAAGAGTTTGTATTGTCGGCCAACTCGTTTGTGTCAAAGGAGGAAATTCGCCGACAAAGAGAAGAACGTCGAAGTGGTCTGCATAAATGTATTGCAGTCGACCTCTAGGTGTAGTTAGGTCATGCCTTGCTTATCTTTTGTCCTTGCACGCTTTTAATTTTCGACATTTTGTAATCTAGGCGTAGAACAGAAGCCACACTGTGGTCCATCACAAGTAAGTTAGCCATTGGTATATTCGCCTAACATATATGTGCGACTGTCGGATATTAACTCCATGGACTTTGTAACAGTTTCGTCCACAGGTGATAGATAGTTGACTTCAATTAGGCTTCATCAACTTATGTCGCTCAGTACGAAACCATTGCACCTAGCCAGCTAGTTGAGCTCACATATCGACTCGAACTACATACAAAAATTAGTTATTGTTTAGCTGGTTCGCAACTCAAGAAAATCGCATTCTATGATGTTTTCGATATAGTCTAGCGCAGTCTTTTGTTCCAGTTGTTCCTTTGGTGCTTCTTTCTTCGACGTCTGGTGTTGAATCCCGTGCGATAATCGGCGGGACAGCGAAGGCTGTTGAACTAGCAGCGGATGGCTTTCGCCTGTAATTATAAGAAAAAAGTAAACGGTTCTTCAGTAACAACAGTTGAATCGTCTTAATGGTGCAATATACGCAAAATTGATGCAGGGCGCAGACTTTTTGATCGTATTGTATTATTTAATAACTACTTCGGGTAACAAGGTTAAACATAACGAACATGTGTGATCGCAGTGCACGCAATAAGAACAATAAGATTTCAGTGCCACTAACCGGGCATCACTTTAGGCTTGTTGCTTTCAATTAACGTGTTGAAAAATGGCTGAAGGTCGGCAAGGCTCTTTATCGACGTGGCATCCATCAACGGTCGTCCAGGCACGTAGTGTAGCCTTGTGCGATTACCTGGGAATCTCTGGTTTAGAAGAGTCGCCAGACGTTTCATGTGCGGTACAAATCCTTCCCCTGTAATATAGTAATCGAAAAATAATCTATACAATAATTCCATGAAAAGTAACTGCCACGGTAGCACCTTTGTCGAAACGTACTCGTATACTCGCAATGGACTTCTCCACACTGTACTGCATAGGTTGTCGGCTTGTTAATTCGAACGCTTTCCTTTATGGTACAAAATTGTGATTTAGTCATTTCTGAACCAACTAGCTGTCTAGAGATCAGCAGTTGTCAGCTATTTTAGCTAGCAAATTAATACAAACCTTCATTTCCATCGACTGATGGTGCACCGTCTCCGATAAACGCCCACCGATAGACCTGGAACTGCGGTAAGAGATCTGCTGGCATAGCGATTGCCATGTCCAGTAATTTACACGCTGATAAGTATAGCGTTAATAGGGACAAATATGCAGGCGTAGTGTGTGAGGCCGACGTCGCTTGAAGGTTGTAATCAAGCGACTGCAGATGTGAAGATGCTACTGCTTTCGCTATTTTCTGACCCTCCGAATCCAACAGCTCTTGCTCCATCATCAAACACGCATGCACGAGTTCGGTAATTATACCAGGCCACATCGATGTGACGTGCGATGGCGACATGCGTAGCAGAATCACTCGGAAACAGAGGAACACCGCTGACTGAATAATTGGTACCTGGGAAAGTTTCAGATTCTCAGCCAGGCGTTCTGTAATCATTAGCAGAACAGTAAATAGATTAAATTTAGAAGTGCGGGAGAAACATGAAGCAATCTTTATTTATTTGGTTCATGGTACTTAAGATATGGGCATTCAAATTGTCGTTGTGGATTATAAATAGTCTACCCGGTTTTTTCAACTGTTAAAACTTTTTACTTGCCCTATGTCTGCTATCATCTGAATATGAATTAATCATAGATATGTGAATTGAAGAAATTGAAAACGTTTTCATAATAATTAAGATTGAAGAACTAAATGAGAAATGTTTCAATCTTGAGAAACGCAAAACAAATTTACCAGATATTTCAGGCATGTACTTCTGATACTGGTCGGGTTCCGAACAGAAAATTACGTAGGCTAGACGCTTTAGAAGTTGAGCTCGTTGTTCGTATTCTTTTTCATTACTACCAAAGATGTTTAGACTGCCTGACTGAGGCACTGATGTTACGCGGCCTGTAAGTGGCAGATAAGCTTCCGTTGCGTTAGTTTATCTACTGGCTTAAAGTTTGTTTTTAGATTCTTCGAAAATAGAAGGTGCTCACTTGTTATTTCTTTTACCTTTTCTATTTGAAGTCCTTTTAAAAAAAATTAGCAACACTCAGTAACCTTATTCTAGTGGAACCTATATGCTAATGCAATGATTTAATCACGATTGGTCTGGTCAAACATATGTCCACGGCTTTCGAGGGTGTATTTAGGCCATAAATGCGCTCCTCTTTATTCAGAAATGTAGCTTTCAAGCATCAGAAAAAGACAACGTCTATTTCTACTTGAAAAGCCAAATATTTTTGCACTCACTCATGAAATCCCGGTAGGTTGTCTTGTCGTGTGTCATCAAATGATCGATAATGCTTCGCCAATGATGCAAGCATGCATGGTCCATCTGAAAGAACGATGATTCACAGAGCAGGTCAAAGGCATCCTTTCGCCACGCCTTACGTGTGTACTGATAACCTGAAAACGAAGCTAGTAGCTGCGAACAGGCACGGAACGATGGTCCGTTGTTTTTCGAGTGGTTCCGCAAAAAAGGGGTCACATAAACCATAATATTGGTTAAAAGTGGCACAACTTTATCCTTGTCTTCCGAAACGTACACGATGTCCAAAACGGGCGCAAGGAACTGAAAGTTGAAGTTACAATTCCGATCAGTTATTATTATGTTAATATTTCCTGCTTGTTTATGACAGTAGATTCGAATCGACTTGTGATTATACGATGTCCTAGTGCAGAGCAACGAATATTACGGTGAACGATAAATATAAGTAAGGGAATCTAATATATGCGGCTGGGTTCCAAAGAAAGAACTAATTCGTGAAGACGAACCTATACAAATTCGCCACTTGTACAAAATAAACAGTATGAAAAACCATCAGGACGAAGTGAATACCTCAGCCAGCACAAACAATGCTTGTACGCTATAGGCGCTCAAATTAGCGGAAGTTTCAGCGCTTTGCTGCTTTATCTTCATAGCGTCGATCTGATCGGTGTCCTCGTGCTCGGTGATATCCTGCTGGACACCTGATTTCACTGCCAGCGTACGTCGAAGCCACGTAGTCTGCTCAAGAGAAGCTGAAGCTATTGTGGAAATGCTTTCAATAAGCTTCTGTGCGATCTCCTGGAGGTCTTTTTGGTCCTTTCGGTCTTCAATGAGTGGTGCTTTTTGGACATATTCGTGCAAGATTCTGTAAAGTAGGTAACATTTTTTTTCAATTATTTCTGGGATTGTAACCATCATTAAAGAAAAACTTGTAACGTTTCTTGCAAACGTACCATCTAGCAGAAATCATTTTAACTGGAAAACTACCAGTGCTAATTAGATAGCATATGAAATTATCAGACGCTAAATTATGAAGGACATCTAAGGTCTTACGCAAGCAAGTGGAATTGCACGGGCGGGACGTTGTTGAGATGCTGAAGACCTTCCTTCCACAATCCCATAAGTGACTGGCATGCCGAGCCCAAGTTCTCTGGATGTGGATAATGCTGCAGATAAGCCAACAAAAACTGCAGAACGGACACTTCTAAATTCTGGAGTTTCTTTTTGTCTAACGAGTTTGGCGGATCCTTGAAAATCTTTTTCACGAAGTAGACAATACGCGTCAGGCTGAACACCGTTTTCGGGTCCTGTCCTACAGGCGGAATCGACCCTGTACTCGAATACAGATCGCTTTTCTGCTGCGACAGCTGATAAACAAGTTCAACGAGCAACAGTTGCTCAGTCGTCCAGATTGGCGGCACCACGTTGCCATGCTTACCACTTTTGCGGGCTCGTTCGTGCCACACAGCGCCAACAGCAGCAAGGAAGCTATCACCGTAGTGCTCCGATATCGCCTGCAGGCACTGAATCACCTGTTGCTTAACGAGCCGCGGTGCTCCCATCACCACGAGAAGCTGATTGGGTCGGTGGTCGCCACTTCCGCGTTCAGCCCGTTCGGCTTGGGCCATTGCCTGCCAAACGGTTAAGAGTGATGATAAATAGCGCTGCAGCTCGAGAAGCAAAGTTCGACGTATCGTCACCATGACCGGGTTAGCAGCAGCGTCTTTATGCGCTCCGTCCTTCTGCTGAGTGTCGGATGCGAAAGCGTGGAAAAGGCTCGATAGTAACGGAGCTCCTGTCGGATTCTGAGCCAGAGGCTGCTGTTTGGCACTCGACGGTGACGTTTCGTCCAATAGACAGTAATGAAGCAGCGTGCGTAGATTGCCAACTGAGGTTACTATGTAGTCGGGCGGGCAGTTCTAGTGAAACAGATAGAAAACTTTTTTTGTCTAATGATTTCTATCGAATATAATTGAGAGCACGAACATAAGTTCGACACTAATTTACTAATAGGCATAACGAACTTTCCGTTTTAATTAACACTGCTCGCTTTGCAATCTCAAGTGCCTGCAGCAACAAACCGTGCGATTATTTAGTTACAAGAGAATATTTCATTAGGGACAGGATGCTGTTGAAAAAGCTGAGCATTAAAATGTTATTCTGCAAAGGGGCCGATTGCCGGCAAACCCTCGCGATGCAGAATTACTTAACGGGAACACGTCACTATATTTTCTGTAGAGCTCTAAATTTTCTCATTGTTTTTCAACTCACCGCTGCGGGAGCCGCCATCTTACTCGCAGCTGCCTGTACCGAACTAACAATGGTCTCGAGGTTGAGACAGAGTTCGTTAGCAATTTGAATGATGAAACGGGATACGCTCTGCGAAGAGTTCCGAACCGAGTACGGAAGAGACGTCATTGTCAGTTCCATCCAATGTGACTGTAAATGCAACTTGTGTTGTTGTTTCAGAGCGATCAGGGCCGCGGTCGTGAACATCGTCTGCGATGGAATCGGAACGTCTGAACGGATTTCGGAGAAAAATTGCCGGAAACAGACATACAACAACAATATATATTGATTATCTCATTGCAACTTCATAGATCTGAATAAATTTTGTAGGTGTTTCATAAGCGTATCGTAGTATAGAAGATTGCAGCCTTTAGGCTACAAATGATTGTTATAACGTGCGATAAGATCTGTGTTCATTTCACGTACTGTTCACGTATTTCAGCGTGCTTATTTGAGGCTTGAACTTGATTTTGCCGAAAGAGCCAGCTTTATTGTCTGAAATTTCGCCGCCCGATTGCGGCTTGATCACGCGGTCTTCCAGCTGGATCAGCGAGCACATCAGTTTCAGCAAATGCACTTGGAATGTATCCTGTGACCGGCAAAAAAAATTAGAGGTACGATTTATAATATGTATTTCATTGACTCGTTTATTGTTTATTTAATGAAAAATATAATAGCACGAAATATATGCTGGATATGTACAGGTGTTTATACCACGAAACTAAGCGGTATTCTTTATAAACATCAGCAGAATGAACTTACCGTAAACTGTACAAAAAATGAACGATAATGATTATTCAAATACTCGCCAGGTACATTGGCAACGCGAATTTAATGGAAACCGGGCATCACTATGATTATGCTTGCTTGTACATCAACACTTGTGAACATTAGGCTGTGATGTAAGCAGTTTATTCCTGAGCAAAAAAATAAGGCTATTCCAGTAGTTTTTAGTAGCTTTTTTAAGGATTGCTAGCTATACCGATAAGTATAGTCGGGAACCAAACGAATGCTACAAATAGTTAATCTAGTGAGCCACGTTTTAAACTAATGCCGAACATAGCAATTACCTGAAACTCCACTGTTTTTTTATCATTGAAGTCGATTACATGGAAGGTAAAGACGTCCGCATTTTCTTTTTCAGTTCTTTGCTGGAACACCGAGGCCACAAGACAATGCAGCAGGGTCTTTTGAACTTTACACCTGTAAATGTATATTTACAACGATATAAATACTTTCGCAGCGGTAGAAACCAGATTATATAAAGCATAATCAGACAAAATTCTATGTGAAACAAAAATACGATATGTACGCCACGGGCGAACCAAAGCTAAGTATACAACACATCTGGAGGGTCGTTTATTTTTCTGAGTGATTTCACTGCAGTCGGACACATCTCTAGATATCAATGTAGAGTACGACATACACAATCTCATTAGTCTCTACGCTTCTCGCTGACCTGTTGAGGAGCTCCAGAACTAGTCCTGGCAGTTCTTTGCGAGTATGCATTCGCTCCTCAAGCATTTGGAAGATCGCCTGCAGGACATCACACGTTAGCAGGCGAACGTTGCAATTACCCACGACATCCCGTGCCGTCATCGGGCCTTGCTGAGGCACGTGCGGATAATATGAGCGAAGATATTGCAGGCACAGATAAACCAGCACGTCGAGATATTTGAATGAGCGGAAATAGTTAAGCTGCTCACTTGACATGTCGCCCTGTAGAAACGAAAAGTATGAAGCATGTAAGCACGACTACTAGGAGACCATAGGTAATGACTTTATGTCGAGCGGTGAAATACTAATAGTAATTGGTTATTGGTCTCACGTAGAGCATACGAAAATACTCTTGGGAGTGGTCGATATTAAAGAAATGGTCACCTGAAAACTGTCACCATCGATTGCTTTTCGGTGTCTTGCGAGTAGGACATCGACAGGTGGATCCCTTTTTAAAGTCCCACCGTGGTAGACGTGCGTGGTAGCCATCTGCCATAACGCCTCCCTTCGCGATGCGTCCACAATGTTCTTAATTGACTGGAGCGCATATAAAGCCTTCTCTGCGTCGTATACTTGCGAATATAGCAGCATATGTTGATGAAGAGGGTGCACTGGTGAGTCAGCGTTTGGTTGCTAATCACAAAGAGACGTATAACAAAAATGGTTAGTTATTAGCAGATATCTATCGGCTAATACTAGAAGAGTGCTAAAGCAACAGAGTGTGATTTTATTCAGTCTGACTTTTTCGTTATAAACATTCGTTGTCATTTTTAGGTTTTATAAAAAGTTGACTGCATATGTAGCACTTTTTGTCATACGTTTTTTTTGTCTGATTCTCGTTTGACGAGGCGATTGGTCCCAGCAGAGCTGGCCGCAGCGTTCAGAACACCAACCTTGAATGACTCAAGGGTCACCCCATGATCTGAAGTTGGGGTATGCGCCTCAGAGGTTGCACCGTCACGGAAAATCCGTCTTAAATTGGGCGTCTCACTGCCGACACTTACAGTATCGGTGCCACTTTTTACAGCTTCGTCAAGCAGATCATCCATGATTGAATTAACCACCTCCGCAGTGCCTGCTCCAGTGGTACTTGAGATCGTACCAATATTTCCCGGTAGTGATGCTGTCTCTAGATTGCGTGAACATTCCGACTGGGCATCCTCTATTCGAGCCGTAGAAACGTTCGATATGCTTTGTATCTGGAAAAGCAAGAAATGCAAGCACATGCACTTATTAAGTGATATCTATATGGCAGTGCTAATATTCGGTGGGAGCAGTAAGGACCGATTAGGTAATTCAAACGTAAGTAGGATATTAACCCCAACAATCAGGGACATCCAGCAGCTTTTATATATATACATATATATTGTATATATATATATATGTAATAGCAAATATATTATAGATGCTGATATATATATATATATATATTAGTGTTTATATAATATATCAACATTTGAACTGTAATGTCTTTGATGGTATCGAATTAAGAGTCTTTAGACAAAGACGTTTACGTTCTTCCCGACTGTGTTCCTACATTGTTGCCTGTTTGTCGGCTTCGAATTATCACCTAATCATCCCGCAATAAAATACCTCGTCGTAGGAAGCTTTTCGTAACGATCCATGGTCCATACGTGTGGCGACAGATAAATCAGGCATCAGCGATGTGGACGAGTTCAGCGAGTCCGGATCGAGGAAATCGTGCATGAGCGACAACGACGATCCCATCGGATTGACGAACACTGACATCGGTTGTTGGGGGTTCTCCAAACCTAACGGGAACTCTAGATCTTGCACAGCTGACATACCAGTCACGTACTTGCCGACCGGTTTTCCCGAAGCGATGCTTCGTGTATCTAAAGACGTAAGAGCTAGCATGGGTCTGTCTGTTGGAGAAATTACGCCACGATTTTTACCCTTTGCTTTCTCTTCATTCATGCTATGATGGTATATGATATTTCCAGCAACCTGTGAGATAGCATAAATCTTCCGGTCAACATCCTCTTCACGTTCTTGCTGACTTTTCTGGTCGACTGTGATTCGGTGTTTCCGGACGGACACGTGATTGATCGAAACCCGTGACGTGTCGGGGTGCAACAAAACGATAAGAACCGGCTCCAAGATACGATTTAGGTCGCCACGAGACAACGAATGCTCGAGCCAGAACTGCGAAATGGCTCTGTGTGGTCCTGAATCTTTAGTAAGGCAATCCAACATTTGGAAAAGGCATCGGTCGAAATAGCGTAGTGTTGCTTGTGGTTTCTGTTTAATATCGCGGAGCAGGTGCCATAAAACAGCAAACCGCTTCTGGGCTTCGATCTGTTTTTCGGCCGAGTCCGAAGAAAGGCCGCGGCATAAAACGTTCTCGCATACGCCGTCGTTTGGTGCCAGATTGTGAAGTTTCTGCAAGAGCTCGGCCACGTGGAGATGATAACGAGCGTCTTCATCGCGTAGCATCTCCCAGAGACGATTGGTGGCCACTTGCATAAACCGCGTTTCTTCGACGATGAATCTGTGATTTGGGAAACCCAAAATATATATAAATATAGAGAAATTTCGATAGACTTAAATTTGGCTAAACTTGGGAAAGTCGGCTTTTTATTTTACAATCAAATAATGGAGTTAGTTTTACTTGTGCTATAACATCGTTAGCTGAATAGAACTGTATTTTTTAGTTTGCTGAACAAATGACGCTTTTATGGTTTTTGCGGTACCAGCATCCAGTCAATTGACTCCCATTTTCCACGAAAAGCTAAACCTAATTGCTTTTTTTCAACAACTCTCGTACTGCTGTTGTGAAAGTTGTGTTTTTGGCGCGCGTTATTAGATAATTGAGGGCGTCAAAAGGATTAAGAAAATATCATTATAAGAACCTGAGACGCTATCGAATCGGACCATTTCATTTACGCTTTTATAATAGTAACAGTAGTAGAATTTATCGAAGGATCCATGCATGCTCCAAAGTTAGATTGATTTAGCTTTTTAATGTTCAAAAAATACAAACTTGCCCTGCTGTCCGTTAGAGTCTATTGCACATGGAAAGGTGTTTACCTAAGCTCAAGTGGATGGATCATTGGCAAGATCACCATGGAGTGAACTCCCTTCCCACGAGCCTCACTCATTAACGAGAGCACAGTCGTCCGACTCAGGTTGATAAGCTCCAGTATCATCGACAGAGTCCACAAGAGGCAATCTGCGTCTTCAGCGAAGCAAGACAACATCAGCATATGCGAAAGCCACTTGGGAAAGCCGTCACCTGAAAATGCAAGAAGTCGTTGTGAGAAAAACATACAACTCTAAGCTAGGTCAATACAACAAACAAAAATGGTGAAAACCTTTACTTACAGATAGAACCCTTGCATTCCAGGACTTGTTTTGAATTGGATCCGAGGCTGACAGGGAAGCTACTTAGCTCAACGATTAGGCTACATAGGGTTTCAAAAGTCTCTTCGCCCCATTGTTGGCGAAGTTTCAAGACGATGCCGGGAAACTCCGTAGCCGACGAACCCACCACATTGCCCACTGGAATCTGATAAACCTGAAATGTGCGATACAATAGTAAATTGAATTTAAGCATAGACAGTCCTCCATTTTAGATATTGAAAAGAGCTTCACGCTACAAACATATTAAGTTTCGGGTTTTGTACTGCTGTTGAGTATTACACTATATAGCTGACTCCCACACACAACCCGTATGATTTAAAACGCCAAGCCGTTTCCTTGTATAAAAACAATTATTTCAATGAAGGCTAAATTACATCTTCTGTTCTTAAATACGGTAACCATATATGGCAATCTGTCTCTGTGATCAAATGCCCAGTTTTCTACGTAAATCACTTACCTCGTCTTGCTGTAGACACTTCTCGAGCAACCTCGATAGGTCCATTTCGCGGTCCCTAGAGTCGAGCTGCCGTTGGCAAAGGGCTCCGTGGAAAAGACTGTAAGTACATACGTCTCTATCAAGCAACTGCGATAGCTAGACAATTAACTGGCTCGCACGTCACGGCAACCACAACAACGTAATAGTGCACAATAAACATTCAACTATAAAACGAAGATGAGCGCTGCATCTCACGAGAAAGTTTAGCAAAAACAGAAATCGCATAGAGTACAATAGAATTTCCTACCAAAAAAAAAGCCAAAAAAATTAGACCATCAATCATTCGACGATATTGGCCTGTCAGTAATATGCTGGATGCAGACGACACGAAAAGCACAAAGTAAACTGGCTCAGCTTTGATTAATATACGTAATTGTGATGCTTAAAGGTTGAAACATAACGATAATATATATGTGCATAAGTATAATAATTTTCCTTTAGCTCTTATGCCTGCATTAGCTAACCGAAATAGATATCTGAACTCTGAATTAAGCAGTTCAGCAGTGGTGACCACGCGTTAAAAAGTGCATCTCTAAACTGTAAATATCAGATTATAATGTACAGATGTCTGAAATCCATGAGTCGTTGCATGATCGCACGTGCTTTCGAACTCTTTTGTTCTTCCATGTGGGATACACCAAATATGTTTGTCACGGACAGAAAGCGGCGCCACGTTAAATAGCTCTGAGACGAGAATTAGCAAAAGCGTATAACGAATATGTATACACAGCTAAACAAGTGCCATTGTATTTGAAGATAATATCTTCTGCCTCCGTCGTACGTCACACTGTGTATCAGTATCATATTTAACATTATAATGATTATTCGCGTTGATACACGTTGATGTAGTTCAGCTCAATTCACACATGTAACATGTGCTTCGTCTATTTCACTCAACTCTCCCAATCGAATAACTTATGCCCATCCATTATGGTAATTTCGCGTATTTGTGCGAAAATTTCAGATATGTAGTTGAACAACAACATTGCAACAAGTTAGCCCCACGCCGACAACAAATTGAACAGATAACATTTTATCCGTTGGCATTGTTATTGCTTTTGGCATTACTATTATTAGTCCACTCTCCAGAGGAGGCTTCACAATATGGTATCTGAAAACACGTCGCCAAACCGTATCGGGTGAATGGCTGATTAGGAAGGCTCAGAATGTCAGAGAAGCTTCATCATGAAAAGGCATATAACAATGGTAATTTTCAAGCAGAGATTTAACTACTGGAATAGAGAACTGGCATGCATTTCTCAATATCAGGCTTTTAATCAGCTAATTAGATATTTAATAGAACTAACGGAAAGCAAGCTGAGAGCACACATTCGATTGAAAACGAATTGCTTGCTTGATTTGAGTTCAACACGTTACCCATCAGCATTTAATTTCTCCACCCTTCGTCTTGCCCTGAACTTGTTGGCACTCACTTGGCAACCTCCTGAGGGTTTGCGAGCACTTTTAGCTCGACAAATTTTAAGAATAACTGTTGGAATGTCTCGATACAGCTGCTGATCATCGAGGGTAGTGTTGTTGAACGCTCGATCTCTTCCTGGGTAAGGCTTTTGGCTGATTTGATAGTCTCGATCGAACAGTTTGACGCATTGCGTGAATGCGTCGGCCGGTGTCCAGCAACGCCTGACGCAGTCACCGGATTGGGATTTTGAGGAGTTGGCGTCGGAGACTGGGGCGGCGACTCCGCAAGACCCTCTTCCAGAATCAGATCAGGCGGTTGAACCTACGCCAGAAATTCACAACACATTTATACAAAAGGAAGGAACGAATTCAGAAAAAAGGTTACAACGACACTATTTTCAGGTGACGCCTCTCGGTTGCGAGTACTTGGAGAAAGCTGATACGTACAAGACGTGATGCTCTGATTCAAAACTAAATTTTACGAAAAAACATGAAAAGCAAAAATAGATAATCACGGAAATCCTTCCAGAAGTTGTTGTGTCGAATCGAAGCATCAAGCTGAGCAGCGACATATCGGCAGACAAACGATGAAGGTGGGTCTGGTAAAATTATCAGTTCACAACCAGGGCCGAATCGTTTAAATGCGAATAGATTAGTGAGTTTGCTAACCTTTTGTAATATCCTCGAGCATAGCTTAAGTGCGGCGAGAAGCTGCGGCATCGATAACCGTTCACAGGAAACTACTAGTGCCTGACTTACGTCATGGAGTAATGTAGGAAGATATTCGCAGGGAGCTTCCTTATAAGAGTCTAGGGTAGCTACCTCGAGTAGAAACTCAAGGAGACGGCACACCTCGAGGAGAAGTGGTCGTCCGGAGCCGACAGCCCCTACGGGGCTTTTTTGGTCGGGCATATGACAGTGGTCACACGCCATTTTGAATTCCTTTGCTAAGTAGCTGTGAATTAGTAAAATAAGATGAAAACAAAAAACACAAACAAACGAAACATTAACTCAATATTGTAATGGAAAAAGTTTGTTCGCAGTGTGGGATTGACATATCTAAGATTGCCGTTCTTGTGACAATGCTAAACGTGGCCAGGTTTAATGCTGCTGAAACAAATGGTTAACCAGTGAACACAGTGCAAGGTATTTGTACTTTCTCAGACAGGTACAGAACTCTGGGCTTGATGTCTAAGTGAGTTAGGGATCTAGCTACAAGAGTTTCACAGCTCACTAGATTTTCGTCTGCACATTATTCGAAAAGAAAAACATGAAAAATGAAGCTAGCAACCACAAAGTTAAGATAGACCACATAAATGGAAGAAAATATTATTGCAGTCGCCTTTAGTAATGCTGACTGAGGTGGCTATGATCAAATAACACTTATTTTTCCTTACCCCCAGAGGTACTTTTGCTCGAGGTTGCAGAAGAAAAGATTGGCTGCCTTGATGATGTCAACCTCGGACGTGTGTTTAGCCACTTTTCGGTGGTGGCCTTTTGATTTGCGCAGGTCATGGTCCTCTCTTAACTTTCTCGCCGTATGACATTCAAGGTAGAGTGAACGGAACACATCGATTAAGATATCGTCAAGGATAAAAGCACTTATTTCGTTGCGATCCATAAGAGCCGTTAAAACGCGGTATGGCGATAGAACAGAAAATGTCATCGGAAAGCCTAACGAGAACGCGGCTGGTGAGTACTGAAATCAGATTATGCAAAAGCGGAAATTCGGGAAGTTATTACTAGAACAGGACGGACGAAAAAACAGTAGCAGAATCACATTGTTGTAATAGGGTTATCGAAAAGCATCGACTGCTTTAAGCCGAAATTGAATCAAATGCTTTTATATTTAAACGAACGCTAAGCTAAGTATACGCAGTTTTAACTGATGATATTAAGTCATCTCTCGGATTACTCTATAATGCCATCACTGTAGATCATCTGTGCTTTCTGGGCGAAATTTGTAACAAGTGATTTTTGCATTTCTGCATTAAAATTAATACCATTGAGGAAATTCTGCAGAGATCGAAGCGCGTGACAGAATGTTATAGATTGGGGCGAGATCCGGACTACATGAAGGATAACTCAAATTTCCAGCCTAAGTAAGCTGACTCAGTTTTTTTTGTCAGATAGCTAAACTGTATATGGTCTAGAATATTTTATATATTTTAATGGTAGAAGACGACGCTTTTTTGTTTATTAGTTCTGGTCGCTTGTTTTACCAATTTGTTGAAATTTTATTTTTTGTTGACAACAGGGATCCAAGTCAACCTTTTTGTCAGGCGGCAGCAACAAATAATACACGATTTCTTTCTACCATCGCCTCCTTCGACCAGTCTGAACTTTGCTAAGGATTGTCGAACACATCTATTTTTATCTTCTTTTTTATTTGCATATTAGTATACACTATCTATTTTTAATCCCCATGACTGATTGCTTTACAAAGAGTTCACCGCCTTTCTGAAAATTTCCACAAATGGAAATATGACTAGGTACATTCTTTTGCGTTAATTTACATTTTGTAACTAGTTTTTGTCACATAGTTTGAAACTTTTTGGTGCTGAATGTTTAGTTCCTGAGCGAACACATGTATTTGTTTTGTTCATTTTTCGTAATTGGTCGACCATTGAGACAGATTGGAATTTGTTTCACGTCAAAGCTTGTAGAATAAATGCATTCTTTAAACCATTACTGCCTATACTGCATTTTAACCACAAACACCATTAATTTTTGAACGCCCGGGCAGCAGCTTTCCCTCTATCGTTGTAAAATTATGATAAACAGTGAATTCTGTGAGAATGTCATTTACCTTTAGGGCGCTTTAGGATCTTGAATTTGAATAAATGCATTGCCACAATTTTAGCCCATCTACTGCAAAATGTCAACTTTCAAATGGCACCAAAACTGACCCAAGCAGCTCATTACCGTCGCAAAGTCACTTAAGTAAAAAAAAATGGTCAATACATTTTCGACAACTCAATAAATACAGTGGGGCTGGCATTCTATAAAATATGATCGACTTCTTACGACAACAACAAAACACCAAAACATGAATTAGCGTTCAAATGTCTTTGGATATGTTACACTTACGCTAAAAAGATTTCTTAGTGCTTCAAGAACGATGGGCGCCGAATGTTGTTTAAAGTAGTCCATGGTCGCCTTCTGATTGTCGTTCAGATCGGTGTGGGTAGACATTGCTTGAAGCCCAAATATCCACTGATACAGACGCCGATTAAGGCCCATATCTCTTCGAAGCAGTACGACGAGCGACGACGTGCATAGCCGAATGCGATCCTTCTGCTCAAGAACGCATTTATCGAGAGGGAAACCACCGAGAATAAAATCAAGGGTGTTACGCTGCACCAGAATGGATGTATCCTGCAGTGACGAGCAAACCGCCTCCACCATACAATCTCGGTCAGTGCCGAGAAATTCCATCTGTTCTTCCATCGACAAGTTTCTGTCGAATTTCGACACAACGAAGGTCACCGCAGGCAGACGGATGGCAGGATTGCAGAGCACGCATTTCCACAGGCAACCGTAGAAGTACTGCATGCCCACCCCTGTTTGAAGGTCATTGGTCAAGAGTACATGAGCTGATCTAGTTCGGTTATGTTAAGAGCTAGATTTTGTTTTTCTCTAAATAAAAATAATGAAACAGCTGTACGCATAGACTAAATCCACGAAGAGTAATCGTCTAACATTCGGTTAAATAACAATCGAACTTTTTTTTAATCTTAAAAATAAGAAATAAGTGAAATAAAAATATTTCACTTTAATTCTTTAGCTATATCATATATACACGCTTCGATAACTTGGTAGTGTTAGACATTGATCTACTGTATTATTGTCGTTAGTGAGATTCTCAAAAGATAAGAGGTCCTATACCTTTAGCAACATTGACAAGAAGAACGTTAACGCGATCGAAGAATTCTCCGCCTTCTTCCATGCCCGGTAATACTCCGACTAAAAAACCGTTTAATCCCGGCCGTAGTTTTTCTCCCAATGGTATAAAGTGATCTTCATAGAGTTTGAGCAGAAGAGGCTTCACATTCATTGCTGCATGGCCGAGAAGTGGGAATAAACCAGCGGAATAAATAAAGAGGTCGTGTGCTAGTCGTTCACGGCCAATACAGCGAAAGATGATGTCGTACGTCTCGAGAGCCTTGAGATGCACCCCAAATGGCAGGACAGGATGCATACACTGTGCCAATCGTTTGCCAATAATGATCCGCTTCGGTATGACGGGATATTTCGTGTTCGTCTGCAATAGCTGATGTAGAAATGACGTGGGTAGGCAACGAAGTGTTGAACATGATAAGAGCTAGGAATGCCATTTTTATTTGAACAAAAACTAGAACTATCGCTTCAATAGATAAAACTCGCGCTTGTGTATGCATGCATTTTCGACATTAGTAAAATGCGTTTGACGCCATTAAATGTAATGTGTATGCTGGTTAATAGCCATCACAGCCCCGTGTTGCAGGCGCTGCTGAGACAGATCGCCGCATCTAGCGTAAGCTGATGTGTTATATCATAAAAGCGTTCAGTTCATGACAAGTAGAGAATGTAAAGAAAGTTAAAATAGACTAAAAAGCAATAGTTATTCCCTAATAATTGTCTTTTCGAATTTAAATTCGTTAGAACTCTTATTGTGGATAGGTTCTATTATCACACCTGGTCGTTTTCAAAAGGTACATCTAAAAAATGCCTCGTAAATCCCCCATATCATAGATAATTTATGATACAAATGTGTGAACACAACGCAAGCCGTTGTAGAGTACCTTGTTGAGTTTACTTAACGAGGAGATGAGGTCTTGCCATTCAGACGTAGTCTCGAAGCACTTAAGCGCTTTGTCGACCTGACCGATGTAGCTTTTGTATTTTGTGTCTTGTAAAAGTTCGGCCTCCTCGGCCTGCATCGCCGACAGGGAGCTAGGCCCCGTGGGACCACCGGCGCCCCCTGCTAGGCCCGACGCACTCATCTCGGCAGCGGCACTACCTGCACCACCTCCCGCGATACTTCCTCCAGCACCTAAGGACGCGCCACTTCCAGCGGCGGTCCCGCCACCTGGACCGCTCACTTGCCTATGTGATAGCAATGAAAAAGGGGAATGAAGTAAACGTAAGTAATTGTGACGATTAGTTGTACTTGTTTGTCGTCATTTTGAATAGTGCGCCTTCGACATCGAAATATTGAAAATTTTGTATTAATAATTTTTCTAATACTTCTAGATTATTCAATTGAACAAAAATGCTAATGTGCCATATGACATGGCTCTTATTTCTAGCGCAGAAACGATTGGTAATTTTAAAATCTTTTTTTATCAGCTGAGAATTAATTCGATAATCGAGACCTGATTAGTGAGTTTCCGGATATTATAAAGCACTTAAGGGCAACAACCTTGAGTCGATCAAAAGTACCGAAATAAAATCACGAACACTTGCATCTAATCAAAATCATTACTACGCTTTCTGCTTTAACAAAGTCAAATTGGTAATCGACATTTTATGGAGCCAACCTGACGCCGGAACTGCAATGGGATAATGACCTCAGCTTTAGAATCTAATGCGAATGTTTTTAACTAAAGTTCCTCTGTCGTTAAACACACACAAAGCTACAAATATGTACAACAGTTACTCGCTGCAACTCGTTCCGTTTGTAAATACTTCACCTTCAATTTCAACAATATTTAAACCCGTTTTTATTGTTATTAAGTTTTAATACGTGAAACTGGCATCCCACCACATGTTGAAACGCCATGAAAATACTTATGACTTCTAACTAATTTGAACTTGTTCCCTTAATCGCATTGTGCCTCATATTGGTGGTTCAAGGTATCTTATAAAGACGCCAAGTAAGCCACTTATTTGATTACTTATTTTGCCTATTCCCTGCTTCACCTGAAGACTTCAACTTCCAACGGCTTCTAGTACGACACGGACCTGTTTCATTGTGAAATATGAATTCATTCAGAGAAGGTCAACCATACATTTCTTCCAGATAAATACATGATTTCGAGGGATATCTAGCGGCATTCCCCGTGGGACAACTACGCTTATCAAATCAAAATATTTCTCTCTGTCGTCTATCATATATCGTCTTTGTCATTTTGTTAGATGCGCAGACATTAGAGCAACGGTGTAAACATTAAGTTTGTTGAGAATCAAACGAAAACATAATGGATCTTTATTTGGAAATGATAGATTATACATTCGATATAATATCTCATTGTATATAACGATTCAGCCCAATCTGCAATGCGCTGTTTTCTATTGTATATACGACAGGTAATAAAACAAAGCATGAGTCACATGTTTACGAGAACCGCACTACGAAAGCAGTAGTTTCGACGATGTCAAAAGCAGAACGTTAACATTGCGATTGATACTTGGATCACACTTAGATACTATGACATTGTCGTACAACTCCTCGTTCTTATCAGTTATCACCTAAAAAATTGTTCCATTGAAGTAGACTGTTTATAACAGTTCTTTTCTAGAAAAAAAACTTTCACATGGTGATCTTTTTCTACTTCTGCATTTGGTTACGTTGTGCTAATTTATCTTATAGAAACTCGCAGGTTTATCATTCGCAACGATCAGGTAAGTTAGAGGGACAATACCCTGCTTAATCTTCCTAAATAATCACAGAGCAAAAAGTGTCTGCATTGAAACGACCACTTCTCTTGTACGCGATAAAAATGACTGGCCAGAAACCTGTGTCCTCTTCCAATTCTTAGTGGGACCCACCTTAAAGCAGAACCCGAAGCTGAAACGCTCCTTCTGACGTGATGCTATGAATCCAATACAGAACCACGTATTGTTCGCATCTCTTTAAAAATGCCGAGATACGGCATACTTGCACAAATTCTGTTTTGAGCAGTAGTCAACAGCTGGCTGAGGCTAACACACCTCAGTACTCACATACGTAGATAGTACAATGGAAATTTAAAACAATGCCTAGAAATGTGTATATATATATATGTCAGCTAAGTAATCCTCTTCACCAAAGCGAGGGTGGATCGCACGTAATGGAATGTAATTTCTAATCTATCATTTCAATCGTTATGAGCTCAACAACTTTGATATGCGAGTTTCCCATGTGAAAATTTTAAGTCAAGCAGTATGAATAGGGAAATAGACAAAGTTCTGTTACCTGCAACAGCGTATGTTTCGACAGACCTCTAGCTACACAATTTTCACCAGCCATTGGAAAAAAAGAACGCACACAACCGAACCCGCTACTCTGGCTTCGCCTTACTTGGAACTTGTCCAAAGCGGACAATAGCTGAATAATTGAAAAGGAAAAACTATGCTGGCAACGGCCGACGGAAACCTATGAATATATCTGAAGGACAAAAAAGGTGGCGTCATTTGCCACACGTGAGGCAAACCAGTGCATCACTGACTGCTGGTATAAGGGTGAACGTCATTGTGCCGTCCAGTCGACTGTTACTATATTAGCAACACAATTATTTTTCGTTTGCTCTCGTACAGAAAAGTGACCCGTTTATTTAATATACTCCCATCGGTGCCGCGCATTAAATACTAGATATATGCAAAATTTTTAAATAAATAAGCTGTTCTGCTGGACCCGGAACCTATGCGGCATAACAATAACAAGATCCGCAAAATTTATTACGTTGCTATGAAACGCGTTCCATTTTTCGCTGCTAGGTGTTTAAAATACTTGGAAAACGCGATAACCGCCGCAGTCTATCGATGTCAGCAACCGATCCCATAGTAGCGCAATGAATTACTAAGCCATTAATCATGTAATCAAAATGCTAGATAAAAGTCTATCTACAGGAGCACTTGATAGCTTGAGTTGAAAGGCTTTTATGATTTTTTTTTATTGAATTGGATGGAATGGTTTGATCCTCATGCGTCCACATGAGATTTAAATGTACAGCACGAGTATGTTGAGCCCAGCCACAGTCCCTTTATCGATATTTTTATAATTGTGTGAATAAATCATTCTGATCAAACCAATAGGACAAAGCGTTTTGGGACAAAAAGTTTTGGGACAAAGCGACAGGAACTACGTAATTCTATGAAAAATACCGCATCAACTCAGAGAAAATTTTGCACATATATATTGAGTCTGTGAAAGCGATACTTGTTCCTTCTTAATTTATTAAGTTTTTGTGCTTGATATCTTTGCTTTCAAATGCAACTGGCTAAAATCGTCGGAATATGGGTGGAGACCCAAAACGTCTAAGCGAGGACCTTCTTTCATTTGGTGACATCCAAACGTCAGTGGTATTTGTAAAATGCTATAACAAGCTTTCGTTGTAAAGGATAACAGCGAAACAGTTTTCAGCCCATTCGAATATCTCAGAACGACTGAAGAGGTAAATAGTCATCATTGGCTTGATCTAGATTGTCCGCTGCCATAATAACAAGTGCTCGAAGGACTGTAAGCTATAATACAGGCTCGGTAGTGCAGAAAGGACGAACAACGTTTGTTTTTGAGGATACCGAATGCTACGTCTTTCTCGGCTTATGGAAATAGTGATATACTCGAAAACATGAATAATTTCGTAAAATTAGAACTTTAAATGCACAAATGGTCATAAATTGGTCACATTGGGCAAAATGCTTTCTTTTTTTCGTTTATTTACACTTTTTGCTGGCCTCTATTATCATCTCAGAAATCGACTTGGAAATTTGAACGCCATATATGTCTCGGTGGTCTGTATTTATCGAACTCGCTCGCAGGCGCACAGTTTGCCCGGGTATCTATAGACAGTTGTTCGTCGATTACGGTGCGTTGAAGTGTATCAACAATTGGAGAGGATGATGATCCGCATTACGTAGCCAAAATTAGTGAATAGAGGTAAACCATTCCTACTGCACGATAGAATGCTAACTCACAGAGCAAAAATGGCTTTTTCGTCATTTTCAACTTATGCTCTCTGTCGTTTACCATTTTCAGGACACAATAGTCCCACAAGTTACTTACTTCGAAATCTCGACAACATAGTCATAATTATAAGGTTACCGGGTTATCGAAATTGAGACCTCGTGGAATGACGTATTCTAGATTTTTAGAGCAACAGCATAGTGCCATGAATAATAACGCTGTACACCCCAACTGGAAACAAAAGAACCAAACCTGTGAAAAAGAGTATGAGAAGCTGGAGCTCAGTATATCATGGGTTTCGTCCACATGTAGACTATTAATTTTGTGAGACCATCAATTCCGACATCTGCCTTTATAATATAAAAGGAACTAACTAAACAGGTTAAACTGCTTATGTGCTCCTAATAATGTGATTATAAGAAAACTCCCGTAACGCCTTTATGCTACGCATTTATGTAATATTTATGTAATATATCATATCTGCACAGATCGTTGGATGACTCCGCCTATACAAAACAACCTCAAAAGATCTCCTATCCTTTTCCAGACAATATCGGTTGCAGTGTTATGGCTGAATCCTTATACCCCATTCTATTATTCTGCTGAATGCATGATTTTCGACGGACGTAGAATAAATGCACACTTTGGCATCATATGCTTTACCTCGTAGTAGGTTTTGTTCCTACAGTGAAACCCATGCGGTATTTTCTCGGTAAAAGCTTCCTTCAGCCGCCACAAATGTAAGCTCTAGCCATGCTAACTTAATCGGTTTCTCTACGACTGCTATTTGCTCGTTATGTTTTGACATTTGACTTATTAGCCTTGACTTAATGGGCGCTCTGGAAGCTTCCTATCTAGCGCAAACACTTCAACCTCTTAAAGACGTGAAATTTTTTTTAAGATGGGTTATACCAGGGATACTCTATGGAACAACAAAGAGCTACGAACTCGATCGATAAGGCGACGAGGATTTTTGCGGTTGTAAGATAAAGGTTCAAGGAAACCAACTGTCGTCAACGAGACAACTGATGGCATTTCTACACAGCTTTGTGGCTTTAGGCCATATGCATTTGGCAAAGACCTGCCAAACAAGTAACCACCAGAGAACCTGGTCAATTCAAGACCCGCTCGTCACATTTTTGGTCTCGTTTTTAGCAAGTTGAAACACGAAGTGATTTATCACTTCACTATAAGTCACGAAGATCTCGACAGTGCCGAT